AGGACGGATTGCTCTAATTGGTCATTGCGTCGAAAAAAGCTCCTTCAGACACCCACGCGTCTGGAATTCCTCATGCCAAAAGTCATATATAGCATCTTTTCATACATCAAACTTCTTTTGTTCTTTCAGTCACTTTTATGGAAGTAGATGCCATTGATATTCGCTGAAGCGAAAATATAACTGGAATTTTATGTATTTCAGCCATCAGAATCGCTGAGCAATAACAGTCGAGTGTTTTATTACATGCCCGCTGTGCGATGGCCGTCATTTGTTAGCGGCCTTTATACGACTCCGCTAGAATAGGCCTCGTTCGGAAAACTGCCTACTAAGCATGAACGCCTACTAGCCATATGGGAAAAGCATTGCGATGATGCCTTCTATATATTCTTTGCTCGGAACTTATACGGCCAAATAAATGATGTTTACTTAAATTACTTAATTAATTAATTTACGCAGTACCTAGAAACAAGTTGTACGCGTAACAACTGGTCATAGCCAAAGATTTTAATTTTCCTTCCATTGTCCTGCATCACAGACAAAATTCGACGTTCATTTAACAGTAACACACAAAGGCGATTAGTAATTACCCTTTTAATAGGTCAATGAGGGGTGAGCTCCCAGGGGGCGGCGGATCGAAGTAGTCCGAATAAATCGACATTACATAACTTAAATTATAGCTTTCATATTATCGAGCGACTCACTGGAGCGTTATTTTTGTAGATTCCGGCTTTTATTCATCGCGTTAAGATATTTGCTCACTTTAACGGCTCCGACTTCCACTGATAAGAATTTTGTTGCCAAACATTCGTAATTTATGTTCGCAAATAATGAGCGAAGCATTCATTTTAGCTATCGAGAAAGTTTTTAATGCGAAATTGCAACCGAAAACCTCAACTTTAATGCTACTTGAAAACGCGAAATTATCAAGTGGCGTTGTTTCATCGCAACGAGCGAAATAGAAAAAATTACCGCGTCGTAACATCTGGGGAAAACCCTCTGCGTGACAGACGAGACCAATTTGCTTTAAAGCGAGCTTCGCTGTCGAAAAATAAACGCTGCATTGTATCCGAGTGAGTTATATATGCGCATATATATTGTCCGTACAGATTCGTTTCCAACTCGTGACAAAGAAAGTTATGCGACACACTTGTCATTTAATGCGGCACGCGATTTCAGAGTGTTAAGTTTTATCGACCCTGACAGTGTCTCTTATTCTAATCATGCTCATTGTCTCTGCAAAAATATAATCTTAAGAGATCTCGGTCGAATAGTTATAAAACGTTTTCCGCCTTCTCGGTACAGCAAAGTATACCTACTACATAAACAGAAGTATAGAAGTAATTAACAGTGTCGATGCTCACTCACACACACTTGAATCGAGAAAAAGACAACAGTGTGGTGATTTGTGGGCGTATATAAAACTACAATCGATAGCCGATCAAGCGGTCGAGCCAGTTGACCTCGGTGTGTGTGAGTTTCACATCTGTATGCCGCTCGGGTGTGCGTATGTGTGCGTCGAACGGATGTGGTCTGTGCATACAAGTGCTATTTACTGAGACGTGTCGTGCTCATGCGAATAGAGCGTCGTTATGTAAGTAAGCGTTATGACCTTTTAGAGAAGTATCAGCAGAGAATATCTCTGAGAACAGATACAAGATTATGCATTCATAGTTATGACTAAAGTTTGATTGCATTTCTTACGTGTGTTATAAGTAATCGTTTCAGTTTCTTTCATTTACAAAACAAAAAAATGCATTTTACAGAAAATATAATTTGAGCGATCACTACGTTCATGTAGAAATAATTAACTACACCACGTGAAACATTCGTGATGGACAATATTCGACAGAATTCCTGGCCTTGCAATAAAATCGAAATAATTTTAGCAACAATACTAAGTCTAGGTACATATTCCAATTAATATTAAAACGAAATAAGCATAAAAAATAGTATGCGGCACACTGAACGGTCTACTTTATCGGAATGAGAATTGGTTAAAAATGAAAACGTGTTTTAAAAAATCAAGACCACTTTGCGTAACAAACAATAAGCATATAAACGATCTCATTTCATAAATGTAGGTTGTGGCCACGGTCACTGTCATTTAATACAGCTAACAGTGTCATAAACTTTTGCCATTACGCGTTTTTAAAAATTACGTTTGTGCCGTGGAAATGTGCTGACAAATATAATCGCGATCTGAAATCTTGTTCATATAGCAAATAATATATATTATATACCTATGCATTCAAGTACATACACCCAAAAAACCAAACAGATGTGTATGACATTTTATATTTTTTTAATTGATGAAACACAATGAATTCCTTCATTGCATCAGAACTATGAGAATTGTTTATCTTATCATAACCAAAAGAAAGAGACAAAAGCAGTATTAACTAATCTGGTACAACTACTTAATAACAACAAAAAGGCTTTTTATCTCCAATAAGACTCTTCAAACTGGAAAATATCAGTTTATAAGTATAGATATAATGTGTTGACGTCATAAGACAAAAATGTGATATGGTTATTACAACTAAACAAATTTATTTATTAATACAATTAGGTACCTAATTACTTTTCTTTCATCAATATTAAACCAAGTTTTAAAGAATCTAATAAAAAAAATAAGAAATGTATGGTAACATTAATAAAAGTCAAAAGAACAACACTAAAAAGAAGAAAAATTTAAAACAAAGCTTGATTTTCTTCAGTAAAATTCTTTAAATTTCTATAGAGTTTGAACAAAACAATTGTTCATTTAATAAACACAAAACTTTGTAACAAATTAATAAAACTTAATGAATCTTGAGCCTAAAACCTGATAAGTCGAAACAAATACATGCTTTACTTGTAAATAATGAGAGGTAAAAGTTTTGAATGAAATTCATTCAAACTTTTTACCCAAATCAAACTTAGTTGAGGAGAGTTGTTACTAATTAAACTTTCCAATGGGACAGAGCTCTCAGAACAAAGTTATACTTTATTACAGTTTGGAAATTATTTGATGTACTACTTGTTATAGGTAAAATTTACTAGTATTACAGTATAATTAAGGTAACACATAAGACTTTAACTTTCAGTTAACATTATATCCGCATGTCTTATACTATTTCAGCAAAAAATATTAACAATTTAATAAGATTTCTATAAGATTTTTAATAAGGAGTAGCCACAATGTCAATTAGATATATTTATAAAAGTAACTCATCATGCCTACATTATGTTAATGTATGATGTCACCTGACACTTTTATCAGCAGTCTTATAAAAACTGAAACTTAAATACGTAAAAAATACCAATTTTGAATTTCATATATGAGAATCCAATCAATTTCAATTATTCCCCCAAAACCTAAGACGCAATTGTCATGAATAACACATTAACTTTCTACTTATAAGTAGGTCAGTTTCTGTTTAGCCCCATATGCTTTAATGTGAACGTTGAAACAGTAAACTGTAAGTTCTAGAATAACTCATTTAGTGGTCCGGCTCACGAATTAGCTAAACGCGTGGCGTCGGCGTATGCCTGCGACACCCGTAACGATTACTCAGCCCCCAGCGTAGCGCCCGCCGCCGACTATCGCCTCATCAGAGGACGCTACCGCATTGTGAGATTTCTAATTTAAACCACCAACCATTTCGATGTATATTCAACTGCTTCTAAGGCCGAAATATCGTCGCACGTCAATATTATCAGACAAACTTACCGTATATACGCCGAATCCAACAACAAAGACACAACCAGCCACGCGCTCCAATTACTGGCCACTCACTAATCACGAAATCACTTAGGAAAGCAGCGAAATTAATTCACTTAATAATGTCTAATCGTTTTTAAATCAGTTTCTGAAGTCTATCGAAAGAAGTTTTCAGTTTTTTCACGCAATCACCACAAAACCGGGAAAGCGGATCCTCAATTGCCGCTTGCTACGTACAAAATGGCGGATTCGTGAAATGTGACGCGTTGACTAGTGTTACCAGTTTTGTGAATTCCTTTCCCCATGATACAATACAGATTATCCATTCGCGAATTTGTTTTTTCTTTTAAATAATATGTAACGAGTTTTGGTGACACTTGTAAATCTACAATCGCGACCAATTAAGTCACCCAGCATTCAACTTATCTGAAAAAAGAAGGTATTGCTATTTTGCCATAGTTTATTCTTTTCTACTTTTTCTGCATTGAATTCTAATTTCACTTGAAATTGATTTTTCTCCTTAATAAGGAAACACTGGCGCTATCCGCTGACGCGCCGCTTTTTACACAGATATTAAAAGCTGAATCTTATTGCACAGATAAATGTCATATTTTAAACGGTCTTTTTTTTCAGCACGGACAAGTCTTTTTGTCGATGTTTGGTGGATAGTTAAGTTTGCTTTAAAATTATTATTTTAAAGACAATTAGTAACGGTACTTGTAACTTGGATTTTTTCATTATCCGAACACAAATATGTATTACTACTTATAATATATGTATGATATATTAACGAAAAATAGGGCCTGACAATATTTCCATGCCACGGATATAAAATAGGAAGCTATTTCCTACTATTTAAAATCTTTTTTTAATAAAATCAATAAGCCTTATTGATTTTATTAAAAAAAATAGTCATAATCCCTATTTATGTTTTTGCTTAATAGACTTCCTTTACTTATTATCTTGTCTGTATCAATTAATATCTCTTTAAAAATTAAGAATTATATTAAGTGCTAATAACATATATTATTTAATTAAATTGATTTTACAAATTAAGTATGATATGCAGATATTGAACAGGAATACCTTATATATTAACTCTTAAGTTAAACTTTACACGTTTGTATCTGTTTCCACTGTCAAATGCCACAAAACGAATGTCGATCAGCTGAGTTTTGTTTTCATTGCGTTCTTTCAAAGCTTCTGTGTTTGGTAATTAGGAACTACCATCTTTAATCGAATATAAAATTATAAGTTGTTATTGTGGGTATTTCCCAATTATCCTAAACTACCTACAATGAACGAAATAAAATCCTTAGAACACGCTACCTTGAAGGTAATATTAATTTATTTGTAAATTGACTGTGTAGAAGGATAAAAACTAATTGCGAAGTACGATTGGTAACGTAACTATTTAGCTTTAGTACTTTAAATGCTTAGATCGTTGGTTGAAGTAGTAAGTAAATCGAAGGGTAATAGTTTTGATATTCTTATGCTAATTGTAAATTTTATAAGGCTTTTATTGCTTTGTGTTATTATGTACCCTAAATTTTTATGATGGTCAGACATTTGTCAGAAGACATTAACATGATGAACACAACATTTTCATACATTCTTTAAAGATATCATAGCTACAAACTAATATGCAGTTGTTTGTTTAGGTACTGCCTTGAACTTTTGTATATCAATGTATTCATAAAATGAATTAACTCCTGAAATAATTAGGATTTAGGACCTTTGAAACTCTTGCAACAAAATTGTATGTATATGTAATTACACTTAAGGCACACAATTTATAAGCCTTTTACGAAATAGGTACCATATGAAGTATTTAACAAGAAATACCGTAACGCTCAACGTGTCTTTGATGTTGAGGCCCGACAAGTTGTAGCTGCTGTTGGTGACTTAGATGTTGCTGTCAGGAACGGATCAAGTGCTGGCGATATCAATAATTTGCTTGGAGGAATGGTAACAATAAATAATACACACATTATTGCTGTGAAATAAAAAAACCTAATGTTATAGAAATATTTATTACAAATTGCAAACTCTCACCTGATCTAGAATTATTTAAGTATGGACATTTTATTCACTTATGGCTAATTGGTGATACAATGGGGCCAATAGAGTTGTGTGACTCTATTGAAACTTTGTTTGTATTATGATATTCATACAATATCATTTTACTTTTTAACAGGTAGAGAAGCTTACAACAATGAAACGTAAAGCTTCCGATGCTATTGCTGAAGAAGTACAGGCAGCGTTTGTTTGTAAGAAGCGTCTTGAGCATTTGAAGGAACAGGCTGAAGCTATCGTGGAACCTCACACTGCACAAAACAAGGTAATTTTTTATTATTTATTTATAACTCTATGACGTTTTAAAAATTATGTGTCAGGTTTGGGAGCGACTTGATCTTGTTAATTGATGATGATGAAGGTTTTGTTTGTTGGGGGAATGACTTTGAACATTTCACAATATATTAATATAGTGTATTTTTTATTCCGGTACTATTTAAAAAAAATAATAATTTTAAATGTACGATTTAGCTCACTTGACTTTTGTTAGTAATTTTAGTAATTTAGTACATATATGTATAATGTTACTTTTTTTTGTCTTTAATCTGTTTACTGCCAACTTAGTATATTACCATGTTTCTTAGTTTACTATTCATAATTAGAATTCATCGTTTTTGTTTTTATATATATTTACACGTATTACTGAAAAGAAAAGAAATAATTATTGAAGCAGTTAAAATTACTTGAATTTATATATAATACCAAGAACAACAACATAAATATAACCAAATGAATATTAGTATCTAATTTTATTTTTTTGTTGTTTTCTAGACTACAATGACTCAGTGGCGCAAGGTACGTTTGGATCGTATGATTGTGGACTACTTTCTACGGAATGGATACTACGATTCAGCAAATAAGTTGGCAGATTCACGCAACTTACGGGATTTGACTAATGTTGGTAAGTAATAGATCTTGATCTGTTTCAATCATAAATATTAATATGTAACTTAAATAAATATTAGTAAGTCCTTGCTTAAGTATCAAGACAACGTTACCATGTTTTGATGCTAAAGCAAGTACCCGTACAACTAAAATTAATTAGAACAGTTTTGATATGAAGTCTAATCAAATTTTTTGCTTGTAAATATAAAAACTAGCGCGAGTCACTATTGACTTGGTAAACAAATTTTATATTCTATTTTCAATTTTGACGAGCAATTTCTAAAACACGTTGGACTCCTGGAAATCTGGATATGGGAAATCTGGATATTAAATGGGGTGGTAGGAATGTTGAAATTCTGTCCAGGTTACAAACCAGTGCCTACAGGGGAAAAAACTGTCGAGTTAAATCGCGTTTTGGTTTCCGTCTGTCGATTACCGAATATCCAAATTAAAAATAGGTCGAAGACACATCTACTTTTAGATGTTATATGACTGGGGTATTTCACCTTGCATGAAATAAGCAACAGGCTTATATGTCCGCCTCTAAAATAAAACTAGAAAAGATTTATTATTAATTTTAAAATAAAAGTATCTATGTATATAATTACATAAATAAATAAATAATCCGTTTATTATCACAAAGTACATAATTTACAATAAAATAAGTAATAAAAAATAAACCGTACAATTAAAAGAAAACAAAAAAATTCAAAAAAAAACTCAGCATGTGGTCACAAGCCTCTAGCGTATTTTCATTCTTCCCTATCAGATAACAAGAAGAACCAAAACATGTAAATATTGTGGAAAAGTTGTAATATCCTGTAATCTCAAGAACGCACCTGTTATGTGCGTTTTTTGTGTGGATCTCCTTTTTAACTTTTGGGTAGAATATCTCTAAAGAACGGTCCTAAGCTCTAGATAGAGAAACGGCATTTCGGTATTTTTTGCATTATTGGTTTTCAAAATAAAATACTTAACGGTTTAAAACGCGTTATAATATTAGTGAAACTTATCTGAAAATTATTACAACTGTAGCCCTTGGATTCTTAGTAATCTGATGTTTTATTATAATTCCTTCTTATTACTTGCAGATATATATGCCGCTGGGGCAGAGGTGGAACGCGAGCTAGCCGCCCGACGCACCGGTCGCTGTCTACAATGGTGCGCTGACAACCGTTCAAAGCTGCGCAAGCTCAACTCTAACATGGAATTCAATACGAGGATACAGGTATAAATCTATACTAATTATAAAGCTGAAGAGTTTACTTTGGAGACGAGGTAATCTCAGAAACTATTGGTTCGAATTGAATTATTTTTGTGTTGGTTAGAGAATTTATCGAGGAACGTTTTAGGCTACAAAACATTACGCTGCGATAGGAGCGAAGACACAGATCGAAATGTGTAAAAAACGGAAAAAATTATTAACCTTTAAGGGTTTCTGTTGCGTGTAAATGTTCAAGATACCCAAATATGTATGAAAGAATGATTCCTTATTAAATGATCTAAAAGACGACGGTATTTTACTATGTTTTAAAATAGAAGTAGAAAATGTTTACAGATTCTTTATCAGTCACTCATTCTATTCAACGAAGTCGCTGGCACAACTACTATTAAATATATATTTAATGGCCTTATGTAAATGAGTCCCCAAATGATTGCAGACAGTTATAACAAATTTAAGTTATGGTTCTTTAATTCCAAGTTTTAAGATACTATAGTCATTGTGTCGTTTCTATCTTTAGGAGTTCATTGAGCTGGTGCGGTCGGACAAGCGTCTGGAGGCGGTGCGTTATGCCAAGAAACACTTCTCGACATACGAGGAAGGACAACTTGAGGATATTCAGCATTGCATGGGAATGCTTGCCTTCCCTAAGGATACAGGTCACACTTCCAATATTTTCTGCACGACAACTTTAAGTAGTAACACTTCTGTCTAGGTTACAAGTACTGTTTTATCACAAAGTCGTAAATAACACAAATATATTCGATTTTAGATAGAAAAAAATAAAGACACGCACAAACCCCTTATTTATATAGTGCCATCATGTGAAAAATATTAATGTTTCAAATAATTACATACACCCGTCTGCCACAATTTCATTTGAATCGCTCCAGTTTTTTTTACGGAAGGAAGAAACTTGCTTTATAGATGTTGAGCCGTACGCTCGTTTGCTGCGCACGAGTCGCTGGCAACAGTTGGTGGCGCAGTTCCGCTGGGAACACGCCCGTTTGCTGCATCCGGCGCGTCTGCCTGCTCTGCCTGTTACTTTGCAGCTCGGATTAGCTGCTCTTAATACACCATATCCTTTTTTACATAATATTACTGCATCCAATCCCACTGTGTGTGGTTTTTGCGGTTATCTAAACTTTTATAAATAAAACACTACAAACACTAGTATATATTACTAAGATACTAATATGACTACCAAACATTACTATGAATAGTAAGATAGCTATAGATACTAATATAGCTTGAATGTTTAGTTTAAAAAATGATTAAACTAACAAAAAGGACCTGTTATGAGAGAAAGATACGATTCCCACAAAATACAAAATTCCCTTCTACTCTATTTTGGAGTTTTTAATGGAAGCGTTGCCATTCTTATAATAACTGACTGTAAACATCAAGAGGATTGCTTTGTAGGTACGAAAGGGCAAAAAAATGCATAAACAAAGCATATATCCCGTTTAAACTGTTAAAGTGTTTTATTTAAATGTGTATTACTCACGTAAACAACAGACAGTATTTATATTAATGGGGCATAAGTCTATAGTTTCCCTAACTCCTTACACTCAGTGCTACAAAGAGAGCACCAAGGTATCCGGTTGTCCAGCGTGCCAACCACCTCTCAACTCCCTCGCAGCGACGTTGCCTCACGCGCACTGCTCCCACTCTAGGCTCGTCTGCCGCATCTCCAATAAGCCGCTCAACGAACATAACCAGCCCATGGTGCTGCCAAATGGACAGGTTTATGGCGAAAAGGTGAGTTCAGTATTCAGTGGAATGTATACTAATATTAAAGGGCTGAAGAGTTTGTGTAAAGGCGCCAATCTCAGGAGCTACTGATTCGAGTTAAAAATGTTTTTGTGCTTTAGAGTTGAGACTATAAAACAATGCTACCAATAGAAGCGAAGAAATGTGGATAAAACGGGAAAATTCATCTTTGAGGGTTACCGTTACGTGCGCTGCGAAAAGGTTTGAGGATACCGAAAAAATAACTGAAATAATTATTATATTTAAGTAATCTAAAAAATTATCAGCGCCAGTTCACAAGAAACGTTTTTATGGAAATCAAATGTTGGTCAAAATAATTCATATGGCAACATAAAGTTTGGCAGGTCAGCTAGTATATAATAAAAGTGATGATTCATTTCTTATTATTGTACTAATTGTTGCAAGTTAAGAAGCGACTGGAATAAACATTTTAGACGTAGATTGTTTGTCTCAAAACTACACAACTTTTTTATACGTGAATGTTTTATAATCAAGAGCAAAAGATGCGAATGAAGTATGAACTCCTCAGCACTTTTCTCCTAGACTTAGTTACGCTTACTAAACTAAATGTGTTATTTTATTAAAATCCAACCTCTAAACCTATTTGCAGGCACTGAAAGAGATGATGAAGGAACACGGGTCTATCATTTGTCCAAAAACGAAAGAAGTCTTCTGCATGAAGCGCGTCGAAAAGGTGTACGTTATGTAATCGGTGCATCGTAATGGCGAAGCATTTTTAATTTAAAATCAATTGATGCGGGCCTAGTATGGTTAATTATCTTGAATTTATATTTTTTTTATGATAGAGGAGTTGAACCTATCCTACCCTAGCCATATAATATATAAAAATATGCGTTATCGACCTATTTTGGTTTGAATGTTCGAATATTCACAGACTGAAACCGAAACGCGATTAAACTTCTCGGCTTTTCCATCTTCGTATGGCGATTCGTGACCCGGACAAAATTGTATTTAATTGATACTAGATTTAGATATATAGATGTATTTTTTCAGCACACTTCAGCTTTCATTTCTCTTTGCCCTTGGTCGGCTATTTTTAAATCGTCCTAGGCTCGTAGAAATAATTTGTATTCTTATTAAACCACATAAAGTCTAAGCACTAACTTCAGTTTATATAAGTCCTAAACTTAAATTAAAAATCTATTTAGATCGGAAATTTAACGACACAAATGAAAAAAACGGAAATTTAACGACGGTATGTGAACTGGCATCCACAGCGTTCCGATCTAACAAATTGAGCTACCCTGTCTCGCACGTCAAATGCGAATGTCAATCTTTTCAATCTACATACGTTTTTAATTAATTTAATTTGCCATCATTTGAAATAACCTGTGAAAATCACGAGTTTTCAAACTTTACAGTAGCCATGATAAATCAATATGTTAAATCATTTACGGATGCAAGTTAATTCTAAATATTTAGTTTTTTAATTTTTTGGTATTTTTTTATGTTAAGATTTTAAAGCCATACATCGTGATGTATTTAAATAAAGTTTGCTTGTTTTGCTACTTAGGTTTCTCCTTTTTTCATATGAAAGAATCTCCTATATATTATATTCTTAACTGCCAAGTGAATTATAGTGGCTATTGGTTGATAAAAACGTATTCAAAATTACACACCTACCTCTACCAATTAAACGATCATTTATAAATATTTTGTTGTAATAAACGTCGCATTTTAACATATAGTCACTATGATGGCACTGCATATTTGTCCATTTATAAACTGTGGTTTATTTAAGCCAGTTTAAGCTAAGAAGTTCCATATACATATGTACGAAATAGATATAACAAGTATCATGAACCTAAAAATAAAGATGCCTAAGTTTGAATTTGAATTCTTATTCTATACATTATTTCAAAAACGGTATTATAATTTAAATTACCTTGACACATGTGAGGTGTAGACTGACAATGTCGCCTTATATTACGTGTTAACATAAATATTTATTTAACTCCCTTTTTAAACTACTAAGGTCTAACGCGTTAGTGAAAATAACTGTACGAAGGCGGTTCTGCTAATTAGTAAAATAATACGTACCAAAAAAGACTAAAAATGGATGGGAGATCAAAAAAATCCCCGAGTTCCACTTCGTGAAAACAATCTGTAAATAATAATAAAAAGTCCCGATTCTCTATTACGCATTGCTGTGACAGTCTAGTAAATCTTATTTACATCGAGCAAGTAGTTGGACTTCTGTGGCTTGTCCGACCGGAACAATGTATCGTTTTCCCGAGATTTTTAACTCAGGAATTCAGGTATGTTATGCAAGTCACATTACTATATGGTACAGTGACCTTTACAGGGGCGGTAAATAAACAAAAAATCATCAATAAACATTTATAAATCAAAATAAAACGGTTTAGGTTACAATACTATACAAATGGCCATCATATATCACAAGTTATTAACACTACAAAAATAGTTTCACTTATCAGTAAATTAGCAAGAATTTTTATGAAGTACATATTCGATTTCAAAGTTGTGTTATTTATTTACAATTTAAAATATTTTTATTTCTTTGTGACAAACAAATATTTTTTTTTATTTTAGCTCATTTTTACCTAATCTTACCATTTATTACCTCCCCTTATTCAGAGCGGCCATTTCTTGAACATTTATGACGTAAGATTAATATTCGATATTTGAAATACTATAAATGTGTATACGCATATAATACATTCTTAATTAAAAAAGTAATGGAAGAAAAATGTTTTGCTCTGGTATCTACTTAAACATCATAATTATCACAATATTTAGTGGAGTTTGTACTACGACTAAATGCATGAATTACTATCGACTTATTTGTTTTTACACTTGAAATAGCTCACTAGTGGAGTATTATAAACCTTAGACTTTGAAAAATTAAAGACGATTAATTGAAAACCCTTAAAGAAATTACTTATTACGATATAAAATAGTGATAATTATCACTCAAATCTTATTAAGTGTCCCAGGTCGAAATGGACATCTTGGTGTTTTCATTAAATGTCCGCTAATTCGATATTTCTGGACTAAATATTCTATCTCAAGTCTATGTTCCTATTTGGTTTGAAAATGAGCATTTTTACGTTTTCTATAATTCCTATGTTTCAGTGTTACATCTACATTTCCAATAATACTTTTGTTTGTGGTCACGTACACGGACATCGAAAAAAATATATTTTTGTAATTTTTTAATATATGGACTAGTACTACTTGCACTTACAGCTAGATGATTCGTGACTGATTTATTCTGGTGGGATTCGAACCAGTTGCTCTTTGTCTATTCGATGTGTGACTGTTTACAATTAAACGTTAGCAGTTTCTCTTCAATTTTTGACTCAACTTGAGTAGGCTATTAGACTTATATGAAAGGAAATGCGATAATGTGAATTATGACAGACAGTCGAATTAAATAACTGGACTATAAAGAATTAATTTGAAATTAGTTTAACGATATGTCAAAATATTTGAATCAATTATACAAACTCAACTAACGGGCCACTGTTAATTCATCGATGCGAACGTTGCGACATCTTGTGACTCAAAGGCTTATAGCCTATTTAAAATAAGTATTTCTTGTTGAATAAGTTTAGTAGTCCAATAGCCTACCCAGCCAGTATTTAACAGTAGTGCGTCATAAGAGCCATCAAGAATATCCCAGCCAGAAGTGCAGCGAGGTGCTTAAGTGACTCCCAGCGGTCCTCCTCTCGCAGGAGATCTGGCAGTACCGTTATTAGGGCTATATGCAGGAACCCGCCAGCCGTGAACGGTGTTATCCATGATGTTCGTGCCTCTGACATGGAAACAACAATTAAATATTTATTTATTTATATGAAAAAAAAACACAGTACAAATAAAATATTAAAAGATGAATCCCATTCAGGTTATTGCGTCCATCGGAAGGTCAATACATAAGATAAGAGAATATAAGATACACAACACATATAAACTTTAAATACTATTAACTTAACTTTTAACAAAACTTAACTTTTAACCATTCCTCGTGTTATATAACATTATTTTTAATCATACTCAAAAGAGCATTATGGCTATAAGACGATCAATCGACACATCAAATTTTTAATAAAATATTTGTTAAGTATAAAAAGTTTGAAAAAATGATAATGTCATTGCAAAACGTTGAACAACTGGAAACCTAGAAAAGTTTTATGAGGTTAAAATTATACTATTGACAGCCGTTGCCGATAGATTAAGCATTTAATAAGACCTTTAACCTTAAATGAGTGTTTAATGAGTGAAATATCAGTATAAAGTAAATACATTACCTATAGCATTTCTGGCTCCACTGAAGATGACAGCAGTCATTGCACCAATGAGACCAGCTGATGCTGTAGCCTGAACGTAACAGAACTCCAATTGTTTATTTATTCAAAACTGTTTGTAGTTAACGCGTAGTACACATTTTAATAAAACTCTTTTAAAACGCGAAATATAATATTATTTTAACCACGGCCCGACGGTCTCCCCGTGATCAAGGCTGCTGAAAAGGTACCGAAATGTCGCGCCGTAGTAAAAATAATCTTCAAATAAGTTTAAGTAATATCAACTGTTATAACAGACGGAAGCCAATGCGACAGTGACTTATAACACCTCAACCATCTAATATATATATATTAAAAGCAATAAGTATTAAAAAAAGACTAAATATTTTTTTAAACTGACTAATTTCAACAATAGTATAACCACTCTAATTCAATTTGGTTCAAAAGTATTTTTTTATCGTAAAGACAAATTTGTAGGAAAACTTAATAATGATATACTCACAAGTTGAGCCTTCGCCGCCTCCCATCTTGAAAAACCACTCTTCAACAATATAGCAAAGTCACCGACTTCATGAGGTATTTCATGGACTGAAATTTATAATTTAAAGACTTATACAAGCGAGCTGAAGTTATACTGTTAAAAAGTATATTTCATACCACATTTGTCAAACTTAAAGTAATACGTTTGTTATTATAATAGCAGATTCCAATTTTTTTAATATAACACTTTAACGGTTTAATACACGATATATATTAGTTAAACGTAACTGTAAATCTTTGGAAAGATTCACAGTCACGAGGGGACCACGTCTGCTTCAAAGCATCCGAAACATCGGGCCTTACTTACCGCACTTTAAACCGTTACAGTGTTCTATTTAAATCTGTACTACTCGCATAATCTACAGACAGTATTTACATAAACAAAAATAATTTTGCTTTTCAAGTATGAATGTGTTCTGCTAAATATAAGCGTCCTCACCTAGAATAGCAAAGGTGGTAAGGAGCCCGACACGGAAGCCAACCAGAAACGAACCACCAACAGCCAGACCATGGGTGAAGTTGTCAATCGAATTCGCCATCAAGTTTAAGTAGCCTGCTACCTGCAAACGAGTGTTAAACATCATATATGTAAATCATAACCACGTTTTTTTTTAAATAAATTGAACTTTGATTTTTTGATTGTATATTCAAATATATTAAAACAAAGTCAAAAAAAATATTGACTTTGTTTTAATATACATTATTCTGGAAAGACCAAGCTAGTTTCTCCGAATACCAACGACCAGGATACCGATAGCGCTAGCGTAGCAAATTTGACTTTGATATTAGGAACACCCTCCGTAACCACAATTGCTGCAAAGCATCCAAAGCAGCGGGTCGTAGTTAAAATAAATTGTAAGTAAGTTATCTATTATATTTCGCGTTTACAACAGTCAAAGTTTTATTTAAATCACGAAAGCTCCAAAAATGATATTAACTTCAACTATATTAGAATTCTTTATTAAGCTAAGCCCGTAACTATGGTCATGGCTTCGAATCCCGCACGTGGGTATCATCCATTTTTTTTCAACCTTAAATAGATCCTTAATCGCGTAGATTTTTTGTTGTTTTCAAGCAATGATATTGTGGTGGAACTAGAACTAATATAAATAAGCGAATAAATCTTCTGTGCTATACCATAATGACGATAGTGATTTAGCATAAAACAGGTCTAAACAAAACATTTTTAATGTGCGAAATGTAGGAGATAATTTATTTATACCTTGCAGCAGCCATGGTGACAGATATGAATATGTACTACTCGCGTTAGCTACAGACTGCACATAGATCTCTCAATGTACCAATCTACCGCACATCTAACAACATATACAATATACATACATCTTTTTTCTCACTCTTCTCTTTAGTAGCCTGTTGGGCCTTCTCCCTTGCTTCTCGAAGGAGACAGCGCCCCATCCAGCGATTGCCTTTGCATCGAACTGCGCCGTTTGTCGCATTGATACTGCTGCAACAGGCGCCACCTGGAATAAACGAACAAATACATATCATAAACATAACTAATTTATAGTTTCGACTTTTATGAGATAGTCACACGACTATCTAACTTGTTCGTGTTCCGTTCATAAATCGCGCGGTAATAAAAATATAATGTCTGTCACCCTGCCTCTACGCATTTGGCTAACGTGTTAGGTAAAGCCCTAACCACACAGGAGGAATAAAGGGTTGCTGATGAAAATTTTTGAAGTCATATCTTATAAATTGTTCTGGATTGTACTGCTTAGATTTCATTTCCGCGCATAGTCGGAGAACATTACTATACAAATCTTGGCCGCAACTAGGCGTTAATGGACTGACGTAAGTGCCGCATTCGTCCATCAAAGCCTCTCTTGCCGGACGCTAATTTAATTGACTATAACTGTCACCTGGATTTCGATGTAGCATAAACCATACCTTTAGTGTTGTTATTAAACACACAAGTGTCGTATAAATCCTTGGCGGAGATCTCCCCGTTTCCCCCGCAGACACCCGCCCCGCCCTTCTGCTTTCTCTCAGCCTGTAATAGCTTCTCAATCTCTTCTATCTCTATGTGCTTAATGGAGCCGTTCTTCTTCTCATCCTCTTCTCCCTCGCCAGCCGCGAACAACTTTTCAACTATTATGAACACCAGCATACCCATCAAACACCAAAGGCCACATTTCATGGAGACATGCTCGCCTTCTGAAAATGAAAAAAAATCTACTAAGGAAATAATCAATATTACGAAGATTTAATTTAAAAATAAGTCGTTAAATATTAAAGGTACAGAGCTAGCGAATATTATAATACCTACAGTTAAGATGTCGTAAAACTTCGTACATATAATTATTATACATACTAATAAAAGTTTATATTAAATGTGAAGTTTTATCTTAAACTAGCTGTGCCAGCGACTTCGTCCGCGAGAATCGTTATTTTGGGCATCCAAATTAGATTTAAAAGCGTCCATATAGCGTCGTGGACTTTGTTAAAGATCATTTAAAGGGAAATCATTCTTTCATATACATTTTTAGGTATACTGAACCGATTTCGCAGCGTACGCACCGAAAACCCACAGAGATGAAAAATTTCCCTGTATCTTCGCTTCTATTAGTCTCAGCGCAAAGATTTATAGCCTTCATTGATAAATAATAATCTAACCAACACAAAAATATTTTTTTCAATTTGAACCCGTAAGATTAGCGCGTTCAAACAAACAAACAAACTCATCAGCTTTATATATTAGTTTAGATATAGATTTATACAGATATATAATAGCTATGATTATGACGCGTTAAATAAAACAAATAAAGTAGTCATGTTTTTCCTCTTCACGGTTATTGTCCGATTTATGCAAGACAATGAACTTGTACCTAGTAGGTAATAAGCTTATCAAGTAACTTTGCTGTACAAAAAAAAAAGATTTTTCTCTTTTATTTAACTCTTGCCAACCTAATAATCTTCCATTCAGGAAAGGACCACCTCGTGGTCGTGTCGTCTAGCGTGGCTGAAGCGCGAGAGGTCCTGGGTTCGAATCCCTGACCGAGTCTAGTACTAGCCTATAAAAGAACTGGTCAATGAAACGGATACAGAAATGTATTCGCCCCATTTGGGTAAACAGGAATTCACTTTACAGTAAAGATCACCTTTGTCATGGGTTAAGTAAATTTGACCCACCACGCTGCTTCGGCGTGGTGATGTAGAATTCATCAACACTAATTTGTAGCGGTAGTCGCTTCGACTCATGAACTTGTGGAACCGATGGCTTAATGCGCTCCAAGGTACAGCAATTAAATGACAAAAGGAATATACAAACATTACTATACATTTTATCAGTAATAAACCTTATCTATACTAATATATAAAGCTGAAAAGTTTGTTTGTTTAAAAACTGTCTATAGTTTACGCAAGTAGTACACATTTAAATAAAACACTTTAACGGTTTAAAACGCGATATATTAGTTAAACTTATTTGAAAATGATTTTTAATTTCAAATAAGTTTAACTAATATATCGCGTTTTAAACCGTTAAAGTGTTTTATTTAAAAGTTTGTTTGTTTGAACGCTCTAATCTCATCAAGAACCACGGGTTCGAACTGAAAAATTATTTTTGTGATGGTGGGAGCATTTATCGAGGAAGGCTGATAACACATCGCGCTGCGACTAATAGAAGCGAAGATACAGCGGGAAATGTGAACAAAACGGGGGATTTTTTTCATCTCTGTGGGTATCTGATGCGTACGCTGCGAAAACGGTTCAAGATACCTAAAAAATGTGTATGAAAGAATGATTCCCCTTTAAATGATCTAAAAAAAATCCGCTATATGTCTATCTTTTAAGATTAACTTGCAAGCCCGACAGGAAGGGACGCGATCGACGCCATGGCTAACAGCTAATAGTTTATAAAGATGACGGGGTTTGCAAAAACTAATTTGGATGCTCAAAATAGCGATTCTCGCGGACGAAGTCACTAGCACAGCTAGTCTAAGTATATATTATAATCGTTCAAATTCCATTTTTTAAATTATTTACTTTTAAATACTGTAAAGATTGGGTAATGGACTGAAATTCAGTTTCACTTAAAGTAAATCAATGCGGTTCGGATAAAATTCACTAAAAAAAAGTTAAAAATAATAAAAGTAAAGTTAATTATCAGATTATCATGGATGTCTTATTCTTACAACAATCTATATTATTATAATAAGAATATAGTATTCAAATTAAATTAAACACTTTAACGGTTTAAAACGCGATATATTTTAGTTAAACTTGAAAACTTTGAAAATTATTTTAACTAGGGCCGGACGTTCCGGATGTTATGCAGCACTCCGTGACCACGGCTTCTGCAAAGCGTTGTAAACCGTTACAGTTTATTTAAATGTATACTACTCGCGTAAACAACGACAGTAAATAGTATTCAATTATAATTAAAATAACTGTCTTTAGTGCACGCTGAAAAATTAAGTAACGTAGATACTAAGTAGTGGAAAACAGAACAAAATTTTGGTTCAAGATAATGAGACTGAAAACACTAAAAAAACACGAACCAAATTCGGTTTCGGTTAAAACCGTATCGGCTTAAGTTTTACCATCCTTAGTAAAGATTAATGTCTTAACCGTACAGTAGCAAAGAGCGATACTGTAACTGTGTCGCGATAAACAACGTTATGTTTGCCTAGCATTGCACTCACTTGGAACACAACACCTCCATTAGTCATCTTTAGCTTATATGAAATAAATACTACATTAAACGCGTCATGATTTGCAACACAAAACTTCAACGTTGAACAATTATAGCCTGCGCATGCGGCGTGAATGCTACAAAAACTCAAATGGATCGTTTTAATATATTATAAGTAAGATTATTTCCAGCTATTTGATTAAATAAAACTCGTTTTTACTTTTAAAGGAAAACCAGTTCTACTACAACATATGAAAAATAACATATACTTATATTTAATTCTGATTGTTAACATATTAAATACGGCCTGAAGTTTACGCGAGTACTACACATTTAAATAAAAAACTAACGGTTTAAATCGCGATATCGCCCCCGTCCCCCGTGACCACGGCTACTGCAAAGAATCCTAAACGTGTGGCCGTAGTTAAAATAATTTTCCAATACGTTTAACTAATATATATCGTTTTAACCCGTTAAATTGTTTAATATAAATGTTAAAATATTTTTTCATATGTTTCAGAATGTAATATGACGTCGGGATTAATTCTGAAATCGGGATTTATACATTTCCGTATCAAAGCGTAACTATTGATTCATTTGCTAGCTATGACATTGAATCGTTAATATTCAAATGCCGCTGAACTTGCGGGCGACAATGAGTCCATTTACATATTAGGCATAATTTAACGATGATTTACGATTACCAAAACAAACGTATTGTGTAACATCTATAATAGGTTTTTAGTATTAGAACGCTGAAGTTTTTTGGTTTGAACGCGCTTATCTCAGAAACTACTGGTTCGAATTGAAATTCTTTGTATGCGACCGGTTGCATTCAAACTTTGGGAGCCGTCATACTTTGCTCAGGCAATGGGCACAGAAGCCCAATCTACTACTATTACTGTAAATAAAAGAATAGAACATCATTTGTGTTGACCATTTCTGTAAGAAGGCTTTAGTATAAACTCACACGCTGCGATCAATAGGAGCGAAGAAACAAGGGAAAACGTTGATAAAACTCATTTCACAAAAATGAATTTTCATGCCAAAAATAACTATTTGACGAGGACGAAGTCGCGCGCACAGTTTTTACTCAATAAATGAACGATAAAAAGTCTCCAAACCTTTTGTGCTTGCCATGTCATGTTGCCAGGCCTCTGGTAGTAGGTGAAGGAAGACATCACCTAGTAAGCCCCCCCACAAGCGAAGCTTCATTTTTTTATTTATTAAGCGGATATATTAGTTAAACTTATTTGAATATCCTCAGAGTTGCTGCACCATGCTGAAATATTAAATATGTATTACTTTATTAATGTAGTAAATGAAAGTAAATTAACTACTATTTATAGTTAATTAAAATTTTAATAATCTATACTGATATTATAAAGGACAAGTGTTTGTTTGTTTGTTTGAACGCGCTCATCTCAGGCACGACCGATTAGAATTGAAAAATGATTGTTGCGCTAGTTATCCCATATATCGAGAAAGGCTTTAGGCTTTAAAACTTAGCGCTGGGACTAATAGGAACAAAGAAACAGAGGGAGACGTGGAAAAAATATTCATCTTCTATTGCTTCGTTGCGTGTGCTGCTAAATGGTTCAAGGAACTAAAAAATATGTACGAAAGAATGATTTCTCTTTGAAAGACCTAAAAAAAATTCTACGACAGTATTTGTCTATCTTTTAAGATTAACTCGCAAGAATGGCGCGATGGGACGCGGGCGACATCGTGGGTAACAGCTAGTTAACTATTTTTCTTGTGTAAACCTTTAAGTGCTGTACGATTAAATTTAAATAAATACATAACACATATTGTTAAATCCAAATATGTAATTGTATTTAAAACACTACCGCTATATTAAATTGTTCTCTTTTCGTTCAATGACAATAACCTTTTTCCTTAAACAAATTTACTTGAGATTACACCTACTTTAACTTACGCCAGCCACTACCTGTCGACTTATCAATACCATAATAATGTATTAGATTTAAAAGATTAGCCGCTATCAGTACAAAAAACATGTATCAATTATTACTTTATTGGTTTGAAGTGATTTTGATAACAACTATTGGTTTTATCTGAAGATTTAAAAATATTTAAAATTTTATTTTTATGCTACTATTTATATTTATTCCAGAAACGGATTTTTAGCGGATTAAAACGCGAAATATAGCTATATTTTTATTTAATTCTAATTTAACAGTAGCGCGGAGGCACGTCGGGCTGTAGTTAAAAAAGTATAAAAAATAAGCAAAATACTGTCTGAAGTTTACGCGAGTAAGTTAACTAATATATGAGGCCGTTACAGGCAGAGTAGCCTAACTACAATTTTATGACTTGAGTTATTTATATTTTTATAGTCTGAAAATTGTAACCTCCACGAGCACAGACACCGAAAATTATTAACATAATTCGTACAAAATCATTTTTGCCTAAGTTAATGCGCATTATAGAAAATCATGACTTTGTAATGCGGGCCACTCTGCTAGTAGCCTCAATTTCCATTTTAAACCGTTAAAAGTGTTTTATTAAAATAAAAATAGCTATCATACAGACACAAATATAGTATATCCAGGATTAAGTAACAATTTCCCTATTAGTTTTTCTAAAAATGAAAAGTATATTTCATTGTTACCGAGTTTTATAAAAATAAGGCTTTCGCGTTTCACTTCGGGCACATCCTATAACTAGTATATCATTTATATGCCCGATCGTCTGAACAAAGTAAGATAGCATACATTGTACAATATCGGTCAACTGTCAATAATATCTGGTTAACGAAACAATGGTTCATCTACGTTTATCAGTCACGTAGATTGATAACTTGATAACTTTTGGCGTAAGAATTAACGGCAGAGGTTAAAGAATTACTGTCAAGTACTTAGTAAAATCCAGTCATCGGAGTTACAATATCTTTAATATTATAAAGATGAAGTGTTTTTTTGTTTGAACGCACATCTCAGAAACTACTGGTTCAATTTAAACATTTTGTTTTGCATAGACCAATTATCAAGGAAGGCCTTTCCCCCTTTGAGTTTCCGTAGCGTGCATTGCGAAAACGTTTCAAGATACCTATCAAAAAATACTGAAATGTCCTTCATGATAAAAAAATGTCCGTCATATAATAAAAATGGTTTAATGTAAAATGTGATATTTAACTTTAACCTTTTAAAGTGTCTCATTTAAATTTGTTATCTATATTTTAATTAAATGATATAATATATAATTGTTGTATACTTAAGCATGCTAAGGAATCGACTGTTACATGACTATAGCCCAATAAAAATATGAATCAAAGAATTTCAATGCAAAAACCTTGATAAGGGTCAAGACGATACGAGAAACAGGATCGGCGTCCGAAATTCCTCACGTGGTAAAACAATAAACAAAAGGGTCAAAGAAATAATTCTTTATACATATTATCGCCTAGAGTGTAGACTTATTTTATAGATTTTTTTTATATATATATTTAAGTATTTAAATAAAACACTTTAACGGTTTAAAACGCGATATATTAGTTAAACTTATTTGAAAATGATTTTTAACTTCGGCCCGACGTTTCGGATATATACATATTTAAGTATTATTCATTTTCTTATTTTTGTGTGTCTATAGTTACTGTTTAAATATACTATAAGGAAGTAATATTACTGTTTATTTTTTATAAAGATTATAAATAAAGGTTATTTCGTCATCAGAATACAGTAAGCAGATAGCTCTATTTTTCATGTGCGACATCACGTATTTTCATTTTCCCCTTATCAACATTTTTGGCGGTAACTCGTTAATACCGTCGGCGTTTATAATATTATTTATATATATGCCAAGTCATTTAGTTTTAAGATAACTGTGTCTATCGCATATCCAGTTAATCCGAAAAGGGTTTAATAATTTAGTAGTATTGCGCATTTATAGTGCGTTTTTGCGATAAAAATATTCATTCTCATCTATACAAGTACCTCCGTCAGTAAAAGAAGAAACAGAGAACATAAGGATAAACGATGTAACTAAAAAAAGACTATAATTTATAGTCTTAACTTATCTGAATAGAGTAGTAACACTTTCAACGATTCAATACACGAAATATATTAGTTAACTCACTTTTTAACTACGTCTGGGGTGTTTTGCAGCTTTGGCTTCAGTGGGACTTAATTACCGTCCCTAGTTTTATTGAAAGTAGCTTAAATTAAATGCAAGTATTAATTAAACTGTGCTTAATACTATAATAAAACTAGAGTACTTAGATGACTATTTCCAAGCAGGCAAGTATTTCTACATAAGGGAGAAACATTATATATTTAATTAGCCAGACCAAGCGAATACGATTCTATGAGAAACGTAACAAGTGTAAAATTACTTTTACGCTAGAGAGCTTCTAAATGATATTGCGCTGTGGACGCAAAATAAGTCTTGTTTAAATCGTATATTTTACGACGAAAGCCCGTTTACCCCTCGTGGGGCATGGGGCGAATACATTTCTGTGTCCGTTTCACTGATCCGTTCCTTTAACGTGCAAGTAGTTGATCAGACTTCTGTGCCCTGCCCGAACGAAACCATTTTATGTTTCCCTGGGATTTGAACCTGAGACCTTTCGCGCTTAACGCAATGCTAGGCAATACGTTCAACCATTTGGCTTCAGAAGCAGTAAATAATTAAGAAGTAATATATATTTCATTTTTTAAGAATTGCACCTGTAGTGGTTATGATCGATATGAATAAAACATTGATAAAATAGTAATTCATCAATTTATTACATTCTTCACCTTTATCGACTAGGAACTATAAAACATTATATACTTAATCCTCACAGACTGTTGTTGATTAGACTCTTTAGATAAGTTAACTCTGACTTGAAATTAGTTAACAGCCAGTTATTTTAATCATATTAGGTTTATTTATTTTTAGTATATCTTTGCATTCCAATGTCCACCTCATACAATGTAGCTATTGGATTTATCAAACATTCAGATAGTTTATCTTGATAGAAATCCGTCAACAGCATGGCTTATTATTATCTATTGCTTAATTTGTATTTTTCAGTTTATTTCTAAAGCAAAAGACTGCAACAAATCAAGGGCATTTTTTCCATCTCACTAAAGATTTGACAAATATCTATTGTTGCTAATAAGAAGGTATAATCAGTACAGGAAACAATTGCACAATATAGTTTTTGTTGCCACTTAATTTTTTTTAACTTTATCTACAGGTGTTAAATGGTTCTACTGCTACTGCTGGACTTCCCTTTCTAAGTTTATGGGCCTATCTCATATTTACATCTGTTCAAAAGACGCTTTAGACTTTATCGTCCTAAGACATGTCTGTTTGCTTATTATGTTTCCTTTTATGTATGGACACGATAACACAGATGTTTTTAAACAGGTTAAACATAGAATTTCAGACCTCAGAAACAAAAATTAGGTGTTTATTTACTAGACGAACATGGTAGCTATGAATACAATCTGTAAGTAAACCTATTTATTTAATCAAAACGTTAATTTTATCACAATAACCATGCACTCATAACATGCATATAGATAAGTATTTATGAAGCATTAAACTTTCATAGTTCTTTAAGGAAAACGATGATAAATATGCAATTAAAACTATCACTGGTCAAGTAGTAAACTGCTTTGATTAACAGTTATCATTTTGTTATTATAGGACATCCTTTAATTGAGGAAACTATCTTATAAACATCATTTACTTCCCCAGAAAACAATATAGGTATGTTGTGAAAGACTTTCTAATACTTCATAATATGAATGTGGCTTGATCATATGATATTAGTTAAGTCTAACAAAAAGTATTTAAAGTTAGAGTATGTGAATAGATAAAAAACAATAAATAAAAATAGGAAATTGTAAATGCTTAACATTTTAGGACTCACATACTGGTTGGAAACAGAACATTAAGCATTACCCAAATTATTATTATTATTTAATATATTTAGTGGATTAAACAAAAAAAAACAATAACTAGGTAGCTGTTTCATAAAATCTAGTTAGAAATAAATTTATATATTATTGCAAATCTACAAGATACTAGGTTCTAATTATTTTTTGATAATAAAAATATAGGTGAATTTAGAAAATACTTATTTTAAACAACAATGCAGAAATTACGTGAATTCCTTAGGAATAAAACACGAATCCACAAGAATTCTAGATTATTGAACTCTGTGACCGTTAATGACTCGTGTGTATATAATTAAGAATAGATTATGATAAAAATAAAAAGTTACCTCCGTCTTTGAAAGATGCTGTTTCATTTATCGGAATGATGAGCAAAGGCAAGATCCCGCTCAGGCCTACTAGTATGGACGCAAGAGCCGAAAAGAGCCACGGATGTTCATCCAATTCTTCAATGAAGGTATAAAAATAGTCTGGAAGTATTCCCGCCATAACTGCTTCACTGGATTCCATGCTTCTTCTTTCAACTCTATATGATCCTCTATGATGAAAATGTTGTAAACAAAGGATCTATTATCACGAGTATTTATTGTCTCATATTTTTATTAGGATGCTGCGAGACGACCTAATCTACACTGAGACCGAGACCGTTCACAGGCTGACCTTATCTGTCCACAAGTTACCGATTACAATAACTATATTATTATCCCATAAATGAGATAATAATTCTAAATACAATAGTTCCAATGTGTAATTTCACCAAAGTTCCATTTCTTTGTCGCAGCCCGCTGGCGAGGAGTAATGTCAAAAGCTTTTTGTTCTGACACAAACTACGTAAAAGATTGTACAGACCAATCACTCAATCGGTCTTGCCTCGAGCTCAACTCGCACTTGACAAAAATAAAAATCTCGATAAACTTAGAATGAAAACAAAACCCTAATTACGAAATGTGACAAGAGAGACTTTAACACTGACATTAATAGCAAATGGACATTGCTATAGTTACCATCTCTAAAAATTTCGTAATGTCTATAGTGTCGCTTTACTATATATTCCACAGATGTTAAATTAAAATATTCTTTACTTTCTTACTAAAGGTTTTTTTTGTACAAATTTATCGTTTAAAAGATTAGCATTAATAAAAAAAATCTATATGTTTTAAACTTTAACATTATATTGAATGGATAAATTATTAATGGTTTAAAATTCCACCTTTTCTACTTAATACTAGTAACTTCATTGATTTATTATTATATTTCAAAATGAACTATGATTTGCTCAAACAAACCATTCAGGTGTACTTTTTATTTTGTCTTTAATTCCATTATAATATTTTGAGAGTTTGTTTCATAGGCCTCGAGGTTTCTGTTAACGACTTATTATATATATAATAGATTTATTATTATTTAAGATACATTTTTTATACGACTTAAAAATACGACTCTATAACTTACCTATGTATAAGCTTTATCTCAACTACATAGGTATATTTACGTTAGTTAAAAAAGAAAAAAAATATTTCAGTTATAAAACAAATTATAATTAACAATGTATGTAAAGTGATTCCCGTTCGTCCGTCGGCATCAGAACACGATACGAATGCAATAGGAATCTACTTGGCACCACACTACAACCCAGTTGAAGCGAAATGCCGAACTTATTTTGGCCTGCCAATTTAAATAACAGATATATACATAGCTATAAACACAGGCTGAAAATTAAAATCGGTTACTGCGTGTAGTAATCTAGTAAAAGTTGAACGAAACGGACAGTTACAACGTTCGCGCCAAAACGAGAGTCTGAAAGCTTTCGTCGGGAATGGTGGTTGAGATCTCTTGCCTCGATAGTGCGAAAAATTCCGGGTGACAAGCCAAGATTGAGCGGAAGTGATATTTTAGCCCATTTTGGACTGTTGCCGCAATCATGGCCGCGTGGGGTATTCTGAACGTGGATAGCGCAGCAGCCATCATCTCGAGAGATGATGATCTGGGCGCCAGCTTCCGAAGGAAACATGTGGTATGTTTATATTTAACGGAATACTTTTATGTCCGCTTTTCCTAAGAGAGCATGTTTGGCAATTGTAAATGCACGGCTATAATTAAAGATACGAGACACATTTAATTTAAATTCCTCAGGGTTTAAATATTATCACTTACCATATAGTTTTATTTTTATTTTGTTCATTAAAAAACTGTTAATGTCTTTGTATTAATGCTTGCTGTTTATGTATTTTTGTTACCCTTACGTTTTGTCTCTATACGAATAAAATAAATCTTTTTAGGCGATTGTTTAAGTTAAATAGCATATAAAGATACCTAAGGCTTACAGAATATATAATTTGTTTGAAAAGCAAATACTTCTTATTTTTATTCCAGTACATTTTTCTTATATTCTATTAATCGACAGAAATAAGCACGATGAAGATAAATTAATTTTAGGTAGTTCAACGATGACGTGAAAATAGAAATAATATTTTCCTCAATCTGTTAATTACACATAATATGACATCTAAAACACGACGTATGTGTTCTGTCAGAATTGTTGAAAACTAAAATTGTTTCTCGTTTATTAAAAATTGCTTCAGAGCGAAGCCAAAACAAATAATGGTTCCCTGTGTCTTAGACAATCTTGTTCTTCGAGGCTGACTGAAACATTATCCATCTTACATTCACACTCCAATTTAAAATAAATACAAATTTGTTTTAAAATCAATTTATAAATTTTTTATATATTTAGGACTAATAAGAATATCACGATGGTCATAAGAGTAACACAATGAGAATTATCAAAACCTAAAAGTCCACTACTTTAGCAATGTCTTCTCTATTGGTTTTTATAGTCGACGTACTCCCGCAAAACTGCATTTAAGTTGTGTACCTTTTGCGTTTTAAAACACTTAAAGTGTTTAAATTTAAAATGCAAACCATATTGAAAAAAACTATTTTTTTGCCAGTCCGACCGAGAGAACGCCAGTTCAAGTCCTACCCGACTCAAAAACAATCCACTTTATTTTCGATTTTAACTAATATTGAAATTGTAAAATTCCAAAATGTCTTTTACACATCGTCGAAAAACATTGCGCATTCACATAATGTAATAATTATATCTAATATTATAGTTATGGCAATTGCTTGCATACATAATCGGTAAATTGTAATTATCATACTTCTGACATATATTAATAAAATTAAATCAAATTTTAACTATTCTCATACTTGTTAACACATCTTACAAGTGTCTACAATCAAGCCAAAAGACTTATAACGTGGACACGGCCGCTGCTCTGCGTTTAAAATTAGCCGATAATAATTAATTAATTAAATAAACGTCATGGTCGGCTCGCAAAGCGGCGGATGGCTCGAGTTGACCGCAATATTAATATTTAGTACAGTAGGAGTAAAAAGTACAAACACCTTGTTTGTTTAGTGGCTGAATCGAGTGCAGATCATGAGGCCTCGGATTCGAATCCCGTAGATCAGGTAAAATGCAAGTCGATATTCGGAATTTAAAATATCCAGTATCAGTAAATTATACTATATAAACAATTTTGTGGTGATAGTTGTCGAAGCCAGCTGATTCGTCTCGTAATTGATCAGATTGTGCACAGCCTGGTTGAAACTATGTATTATGTTTGCCCGGGATTTAAACCCAAATCTCGCACTTACCTCAATACTAACTACTAAAAGGTTCAAAGACTCAGTAAAACAGGTGTTTTTAAAATGAACTGCAATTTTATTGCCTGAACTCTAAGCAAAGACCGTGTAAATTATGTAAGTCGAGCATACAATGAAATATTTCATGATTTTTTTAAACCTAAACTCTTATACCTTTTAGTGAAATCCCCGGTTTCTTTGTAGGGCACGGGTGAACATATTTCTGTGACCTTAACACTGTTTGCCTCTCTTCCATCAGACTTCAGTGCTCTGCCCGACCAAAACAATCTATTGTTTCCCTTGTATCCGAACCCAGAACCTCTTGCACTTGCGCATTGGCAACACGTTTAACAATTCGTCAACAGACGCGATCACTTGACCTTTTACGAATTTTTAATTTACATTTTATGGCCACAATAGTCGCTTTTGCCCATGTTTTAAGCTTAGAGATCATTAGACGGTATTGTTTAGTATATGAGTCACAAGTCAGGAAATACCTCACAGTTGCCAACTTATCTAAATAGCAGACGAGACACAAAATACTTTAAAACAAAACAAATTTGGCTAAAATTGAAAATTCCTGTGTGAATGATTACGTAGGTATAAAGGTTTCTTAATTTATATTTCTAAATAATATCTTCAAAGACATCAATAAAAAAGTATGTAAAGATTGTAAAATTATATTTTATTTTGCCTTAACAATACCTACTTAAATACATGTGTTGCAAAATTATGTTCTTATTTGAATTATATAAATTATAAACTTTATTTAAAACAATCCCATAGATAATAATTCTACGTTAATTAACATTGTTATGAAATTATTTAATTTGTTATTATATATGAATTGAACCTACCAAGTCAGTTATGTACCGTAAACCATCAACATGGTTTTCTTATAATACAGTCGTTTTAACACATAATTTAATATATAATATAATTTTCGATGTTCCAATTTTATTATGTAAAAGTTAATTTGTGAAATTGTATTTCCATTACTTGATAACATTCAAGCCCTCTTTTGAAGATACTCAATATAGTCTTCACAGTTATTAACTGAAAACGGTTTTGTTTATTCATTTGAATGTTTGACGCCATGAAAAACATTGGACAGGCAGAATTTAGACAGATGGCACAAACATCCACTCGATCGTTGTTTCTTCAAACAATTCTTCAATAATATGTTCTCGTAGTTTACAACAAGTTTGACCGTAATGAATTATTTGACGAGCTCGTTGGTGATGTGTGGCTAATACGGTTCATCCTCACAGAGTCATTCTAATAAATTTTTAATTTTTCTGAAACATGTTGGACTTCGCCTGGGAATCTGTTTATTAAATAGCTGGTAGAGATATCGACATTAAGCCGTAAAGTTTTATCACGTTTAGGTTTCAGTCTGTGGATTTCCGAATATCCAAAGACAAAATAGGTCGACGCATCTTGTTTAGATATTATATGGCCATGGTGTCTTCTACAATCAAGTGTACTCCATGGTTGTCTGTCCTCATCTATCATAAAATTAAAATAGGAACCCATCGGTTTAAAAGTATAATTGATTAACGCTAATATTATTCGCGACCTACTTGTTCAGACAAAATGCACAAGATTATCTTGACGCATCACTAAAGTGTTGTTTTGGCAAGATGCCTAAAGAAGACCTATTGATAACAAACGATTTGATTTACCGTTTATTGTGTTATATTCCAAGAAATGCATTTAATATTGGCATTTCATCAATGAATTTGCGTTAAGATATACCTATGTAGGTTTTCACGTATTTGTAGTTTGCTATACTGTATAGTTAAAAAGTACAGTCAGCAGGAAAATAAATTGTAGATAAAGAGTTTTTTATCTAAAATTATCAATCTGTATCTATTTTACCATTTTTTTTATTTAATGGCAGATAATTGATAGTCTATGTCTCGACCGAAAGAATTAATTATGTTTTTCCAGGACATTAACGCCTCTCGAGCTAATCATAATGGCTTAGTCAGGGCTTAGCATACAATAGATGAATTAATTGTTCGAGCAATCGAGGAGTTAACATTTCCTGATAATGGCGTCCGCACGTGATGGCGAAACATCGAGAACCTCTTCTCGCTCACGTTGGCCGAACAGCCCGAAAGACAACGATTTGCTGAACGATGGCCGTGAAAGCCTTACACAATTTAATAGATGAATGTTTATGTTTTTACGTAATTACTTTAGTTTAAACTTCCAAACGCCTGTTATAAAATGTTACTGCACTAACAAAGTTTTCAGCAGGCGTCTTAAAATTACTTTTAGTTATTTTTTGTAAAAATAATTAAAAGCATGTTTGTTTGACTTATCTAATTTTCTTTTACGCAGGTTCTACTACTACTAACACCAATGCTCCCCTGCGGACTAAACTACCCTTCGCACGAAAGCTTATAACCTTAAAATGGACGAGTCGACAGAAACATCGAGTGGCGAATGTCCTGTCAAACCAATTAGGAGGAAAAAGGGCCAAGTCTGTCCTTATAAATAACCTAAAATTATATATAATTCACAATAATCGAGCGGGTTGGCTAAGAAACACACTTCGTGTTTTCCACAGGCGCGTGGAAACTGAGAATTTCGATGTTTTTGCCAAGTATGTCTTGTCAAGCGATTTAAGTTATTTTAAATTTTCTTAAAAATTCAACAAAATATTTTTCGTTTTTTATTACGCAATAATGCTTCGTATTATGCTAATTGAACAAAATAAGTATATCAAATGATTACACGTCCAAATTCCTCCGCTTAGCGTCCCAGCTGATTCCAAAATTAACTCGCGTCTTTTCTTAGAAACTAACTGTGCGTTTCTAGCGAGTTTTAGTGATTTTGATGTAAGAGTTTGACTTCAATGCATTTCTAGTGAATTAGTGATGGATATACCGACAGATGTCTGGGGTCAACTGGCCCTTGAGGCCGGCCAGGTGTATTTAAGCGAGGGTGGAATGAGAAGCCCCTTCGCTAATACGGTAATGTAAATTCAATTTCAAAAGTGATTTGATAAAATACTTTTGACTTTAATATATACCTAAATCTTACATACACGAAAAATATGTTTATTTCTCATACTTACAGCACAATTTAATCAAAGCTAAGCTACAATATTATTAAAAACATTCTCATGAATTATGTTGCCTCGCCCTAATTAGCTCTGTACACATAAGAATTATAAGAATGTTTCCACCATGAAACTTTTTATTACAGACGATAGAAAAACTGCCGGACAAAGTGCTGTTGAACATATTTTCATATCTGACGCACCGTGAGATATGTCGTATGGCGACTGTGTGCAAGCGATGGCGGATGGTAGCCTATGACACCCGATTATGGACACACGTCAGCTTGCGGCCCGAGATTTCTGGACTACACGTTGGTAAGTTGATACCCAAACTTCACAGCTTTTTAACCTGTGGCTTGTGACTCAGACAGAATATCGATTTCTACACCCCATCTAATATCCAGATTTTCAGACAAAGTCCAACATGTTTCAGAAAATGTATAAATTGATAATAGAAACATGTTATTTAAAAATCAGTCAGCGTCAGCGACTCGGTAGCTCAATTGGTAAAGCAACAGCACGGAACGCTGACGATGCCGGTTCAAGTCCTCTATCAATCCTGATTTTTTTCAAAGGAGGCAAGGATCATTTACATACTTTATTTGAGGAAGTAAACAGTAACCTCAGAAGTGGGATATCGTGTAGTAGAAAGCGGTTCCTAACACAAGATTTTAATACATTTCGTACGAAATGTTTCAGGCTCGTTGGAATCTCTACTCGCGCTAATTTCAATAAGATTCGGTCCATCACTTCGATACATTGAGTTGCCGATCGAGCTGATCACGCACACAGTTCTTCACGAGCTTGCAGCGAAGTGTCCCAACTTGACACACATGCTGCTGGACTTTAGTACAGGTGAAGTCCATAACATACTTTACATCGACATAGCGGTTATTATTTTATTTATTTATCTTGATTTAAATGAAATATTTAAAAAGAGAAGAGAACAGATACCTAAGTGAAAAGTAAAATAAAATGAAAACGTTACAAGATTTATTTAATTTAAGCTACTTAACTGAGGTCGCAAATTTTTGATGCCTACGTTAAACGTGAAATGAAATACTTTAGAATTAAATGCACATGTAACCCGAAATGTTTATAAAAATATAGATAAACATATAGTCAATATTATTTATTGATTTCTTGAGTTTTCAAGCTGTAATGATTGAGAAAGAATTCTCAACGCTTCGCCATCACGAGTGGCGATCGACGATCAACTCGAAAACTCAAGAAGCTTCACAAAAGCCTTATACAATAAAAAACTATGTATTTCTGTAACCAGCTATGCAACTACACGACTTCTCAGAAATGCAAGCGTTCCCAACAAAACTGCGGTATCTCTGCATCTGCCTTTCTGAAGTCATCTTCATGGAGGGTTTCATGAGAAAGATCTATAACTTCATCAATGGATTGGAGATATTACATTTGATTGGTAAAGATTTTTAATACAAACGTTTAAAAAGGTCGATATCATTAAATAGCAAATATGATACTATAGTTTACCCGAGTATCACACATTTAAATAAAACATTAAACTTAAAACCAATATAAGTTAAACTTATTTGAAAATGATTTTAATTGGCCCGAGTATCGATGCTCTAAGCTTGGTCACACTAAAGATAGTATTTAATAAGCCATTTTCTAATTTGATGGTGGAGAGGGTCTTCCGTGAAGCAATAATTTTCAAAAAATTTACTAATTTCGGTTTTAAACATTAAATTTTTATTTAAAATTTTTAAAAATTCATTTTGCCAGAATATTAAGACGATATTGTATTTGGAGAGAGTTCTAATTTTAAGGTGGTGGTTAATTACTTAATATCAATCAAGACTATACAACATTATATTTAATAAAAGTACTTTTTTCAAAACTATTTCAGGAACGTATGAAAAGGTAGAAGAAGAAGAGGAAGAGATATACGAAGTGATAAACGTTCACAAGCTGAAGTCGGCAACGCCAAACTTGCGTGTCATCAATCTTTATGGCATCAACTTCGTTGACGATTCACACATAGATGCGTTTAGCTCCAACTGCATACAAGTATTATTTTTTTTACAATATATCCTTCGTGTTATGTACTATAGGATATACCGTACATTTTTAATTATTAAGAACCGAACCAACATTGATCAAAGTTAAGCCAAGAACTGTAATTTTGAATTTACTGACTATTTACTTAAACAAAATAAAGACACTGGCTTTCGATCCATATTGGGGAGATTTAAAATTTCTTCATTATTCCATTCTTCCATACTTTCCAGTGATTTCAAACTGTTTTTCTGTTATTCCAGTTGGAATGTCTAGCGGTGAATTACTGCAACAAAGTAACGGGTTCCACCATGAAAACTCTCTTCCAACGATCAAGAAGACTTACCTGTCTGCTTATGAATGGATGCTGTATGTTTTTCTTTCTAATGGAACAAGCAACCAACTTACAAAACTTTTGCACAAAAATTGTAGCCAATTAGAATAAAAAGGATATAAAAGCTTAGAGGAGCTGATTAAATTTATGATAGTATAAATCTAAGTAGGTGCCTCGTATTCGCGTCGCAATTTTTATAAACTAAATTATCTAGTCTCTAGTCTAGTTTATAAACTAAATATACGTGTCAATGATCGTACTATCATACACATGTGAGATGATAATAAACTTAATATCATAAATATATTACTCTTAGGTCTCCAATCAGAGTACGTCATGCAAGTGGAATGGGAGAAGTCCGCAATTCAAGAGCTGGATGTGACAGCAACGGATCTCTCCACGGAGTGCCTAATAGACATGCTCACCCGGATACCGAACCTGAGATTCCTTAGTGCTGGACAAATCAATGGGTTCAATGATACTGTATTGAAGGCGTGGCTCGAAGCTGGCACTACCAGGTATGAGAGTAAACTTTACAGGGGAGTCAACTTGAGGACAGCAGTTTTATTTGCATTAAGGAAATGTTCATATCCCAAAATCTAAAACTTAAAGTTTACTTTTTGTAGGTATACTTAGACGTTTAAAATTTCCTTTTTAATAATGTTGCATTTAGTCGATAGAACATTTTATAATTACTCCTTACATTTATAAAAAATACAAGTCTTTTGAAACGTCAAAACATTTTTTAAAAACAACTGTTCTTTATTAGTTAATAATTGGTAAACCGTTAACTAAAATGAGTCCCCATTTTCAGGAGTCTTCTTGCCTTGGACGTGGATTCATCAGATAATCTTTCAGACGATGCGTTGCATCGTTTCTTGTCTCGTGTGGGAGCTCAGCTGTATGGTCTAGTGCTTAGCGGAATGCCACACATAACTGATCAACTTTGGCAGAGTGTTCTGCAGCTGTTGACTAATGCTAAGTATGTAGTTTACTAGTAGTTTATGTTAAATCTACTTTTAATGATTGAATAATGATCTGCGTTCTTTACGTACCTATTAATACACTGTGTCATTTATTTAGTGCGTATAAGTAAGTATGTTAGTTTATTTCGAAATACAGTTGGAAAAATCTTATAAAAATAAAGATATATTAATGCTCCAAACCTTATAGTACGGGAGTGTTGATAAACATGATATAATCATGTATCTTACAAGCTACGTTTAATTATGATCAAACGTGCTTTTTCAGAATTCTTATAATGGGGACACAAGAACGGCTCGGTGTTAACATTCACGTAGATCAGGTACAGTCGTCCTTAATTATGTATAGAAGTAACTTTGTTATACCTATAACGACACAATGTATATTATATAAAAAAGAGATTCTAGAGTTCCGTAGAAAATTAAGAAAATAAACCTTGAAAAACGGGATAAATAATAAAGGGGATTGCCAAATAACATACTATTATTCGCACGCGCAAACAATAGTGCAAATTGCTAGCTGGGATTATTTTAAAAAGCAGTTTTAATATAATCAATTGAATTTCAGCTAATGGACGGTATCGCCAACAGCTGTCCTAACCTCGAACGATTGGAGCTCCGCTGGGATCCGGAAAATCTTCGCTTCAGCGACAAGAGTCAAAAGGCGATTGATGTGCTGCGCGTAAAATGTCTTAAATTAAAATGTTTGGTACTGAGGTGCGTATTAAACAGCCGAACGGTTATTAGCATTAAGTAAAATATTGGGAAAACTATTAATGTTAGAAGAGAACATAACGGTGGATGAAATACGCCAGCCAATAGCATCTGTCGACATATTTTTGCTTTGGATATTCGGAAATCCACAGACTGAAACCGAAACGTGATTAAAATTCACGACTTCTTCATCTGTAGACGGTAGTCGTGACTGGGACGGAATTCCGATATCCCTACCACCCATTTATTATCCAGATTTCCAGGTAAAATCCATTAAGTATCAGAAAAATTATAAATTGATTAGAAATGGGACCCGCTGGGGATCGAACCCGTTGATTATTAGCCGTACATTAATACCATTATACCGAGCCCGCCAATTTAGTAGTTTTCGCGTTTATTTGCTAATTTAAAATTATGCAGGTATGTATTTGAATTATAAACCAAGATGGCCTTAGCGCGACCTCACCTACTGAATGTATTGGTGACCTTGCGATAGTTTTGTCTACGGTTAATAAAATTATACGCGTGTACACTTCGAATTCATTAACCAAGACGTAGCTTGTTTACAATAAGACTTTTTTCTTTTAGTGACGGCCGCTACTACGAGATCGTAAAGGCGAACTTCGAACGCGCCGATCGAACTACAGTAGTAAGAACTTCGACAAACTGCCGCGTTTCCAACTACTACCTCCTTTCCAACTATAAAGATCTTATATTTAATTAAACGTTTTTATTTTCATTTTCGTTTATTTATTTTAATCTCGAGCATAAAATTGGACATTCACAAATAGGAAATAAATTAAAATCTGGGACAAAAATAAAAAAACGACGCACTACTACTAAATTATAGTTTATTTACATTTCAATGAGAAAATTACTATTTTTATATTTTGCTATCATTTAAATTGTATATTAAAAGCTATGTCTTAATCTATTTACAAATAGATTCGCGTTATTTGATAGACATCCATATTTTTATTTCTTTGCACTAGCAATTTTCATAATTTTTTATATTTCTGAACATCGATAGGAAACATCGCACAAGCGTCCAAGACTTAAACTAACGTCGCACAAACGAGCCATCCATCACAAAGACAAAATTAAAACATCACAGTTACCACCTGATTAATATATATTAACTATACAAAAATACCACTGAAAAACACATTTCTAAACTTGAATTTACTCTATGTTGAGAAAGTCTTCTTCGCTCAGTCATCTCACACCTTCGCCGAGCAGTAGATCTGGGTCTTCATCGTCGAGGAGTATATTTTGGTTATCGCTGTTGTCTTCGTTGCTATCCTCTGAATTGTTGTCCTTCGTCGGATCGTTGTCTATCTTGTAGAGTATGTCGTGGCAGAGAGGACAGCGATCCTGAACGTAGAGCCACTTCCGCAGGCACACTCCGTGGAAGAAGTGGTTGCATCGCGTGATCTTAGCCGAATGCATCTCTTGATAACAGATAGCGCAGACGTCATCCAGACGGTCTAGTTGTTGCACGGAAGCCTCCCTCAGTGAGTTTATCTTATTGACCGCCGTTCGTCGCTTCATGAACACCGACCAGCCGGCGCGCGCTTCACACCAAATATTGAAGTAAGCGTGAATACACATCATCACAGCTCGAATCGCACCTCCCGACTCGAATAGTAAAATCCAAGCGCCGTTGAAAAATAGGAAGATGCCAAAACAAAACTCTATCGTGTTTCCGAAAGCGCGTATGTAGTAAACGTAATCGTCCAATTGCTCCCAAAATGTACTTCTGTACGCGTCTATTAAAAAAAGTGAATATATCATTAGGCTCACTATCACTTTCACGATGACTTCGATACTGAAGGCGCTCACAGCCAAAAGCCATGTAGATATTGTGTGTTGGGACCATAAGTACACTAGCAATGAGATCGGAAAGATTATCAAGAAAGCGCAAACGCCTAATGCCCTGACGTGTCTGTGGGTGCTGGGGTTGTGAGAAGCGCTCAGAGACATCAGCATAGGATTAACGATGTTGTGCAAAAAGTGTAGTAAAGCCGTGAAAAGCAAGCAAAAATTTCGACACAAACGGACGAATCTCTTCTCTGGATTCAGTGTCGTTAGGCCGGTTTGCAGGGCGAGGATGTAAAATAGTATAGCTGATACTGTTCCTATGCTCTTGTCTTCTTCTTCGTCTGTCAACAAGATCCATTGGAAGAAGCTCCCGATGTAGTGACAGAAGAATGATATGACGGAGGTCATGCCGAGAACGGCAGTTATAGTCTCACATCCAGTTACTAACAACGATTTCGCCATCGAGGCGAGGGACTGGACTGCTAGTAACGTGGAGACCTTCAATCCTTCATCGGAATCTTCATCGTAATTATCCATGAGAAGTAACATCGCGTGTTCAGCGACTCGCAATACCCAAAACACTCTGAGGACGCAAGGTATGTTCAAGCGAATCCATTCTGTTTCAACTAGGGCGGATAGTCCAAAATTGCTGACAAAAAGTCTTCCGTGTTGGTATCCAGCATAAATAACATGTATAACGTCGTACGCCGAAGACCAGAGTACGTATTTGACTAGACACAAAGGTAGCAAAGCGGAAAATACTGGCGAATGATGCAACAAATTTGGAGGAACTGGTAGCATGGCCAAAAACGATGGAGCCATAAAGGTGATCGGCAAAAGCTTCTGAAGCGTTTGATGTCGGGGACCGAGATGGACGTTGCGGAATATTACTGAGAGAGTGAATTGTATCGCAAAATTTTGTACGACCAAGATTCCGGGGCCATCGAGATCAAGTAGGCTCTTCAGGTTTAAGTTCAAGATGTCTTCTAGGATGCTCACAGAGGGCTGTGTCGACGTAGCAGCCAAGGTCAACGCTTGGATTTGCTTGATCGCAGAGACGTTGGTCCAGTAGGAGACGAAGACAATGCCCAGCGACAGCAAGTAGAGATAAACGATGATGAGGTGTTTCGTGTACAACACGAAAACGCAGAGTGCTGACATACATCCTGAAAAGACAAAAAAAAGAACATTTTAAGTAAATGTAAGAATTGGGCTTTCCATTGTTAATGTTAAACGTAATCTGATTCTTGTTATGAACGCTATGAAATAGGTGATTGAGATAACAACATAAACCAATCGACATAAACTGTAGGAACGTTATAATAACGCACAACACAGGTACATTAAAACAGTGTATCCTATTCATTAAAAAAACAATCTTGATAACGTTTGCTTCACTAAAAAAATGAGCGCAGCATAATTAAGCACAACAAAAAATAAAACAAAATTCAAAATAATGACGTATGTGATTATTAAATATTGATCGAGTGGCTATTTGTTTATTTTAACAAGGAAGTATTTTTGTAGGAACCTTGAGTTTATTGCTCTTTAGATATACTTATTTTAAATTATCCAAAGAAATGATGGAATTTTGTAGCGAAATCAAATTATTATGTTCTATGGTCAGCTACAGCTTACAGCTTAAAGTATTTAATAATTCCTTTAAAAAAAACACCACGTGCAATAGCACTTATAAAAAAGAATGTAATAAAACAATACATTATTAATTTTTTACCTAGCCTTGGAAGTTGTTTGATAATTAATTAACAAAGAAATGTGGATGTTATACATATTGTTACACAAATAAAGGTCTCTAACTCAAGAAATATATATTTTTAACATTCAAAATTTAACTATTGGTTAAGTATTTTGAATATACATGACAACGGTGTAGATCAAAAAAGTGTACACAACTGTAAGTCCAACATTTCCTATGTTCAGTTCATTCTAATTCAATATTAATTTGACACGACGTATAAAAAAGGATTGCTTTATTTTTATGATTGTCTGTCCGGGCTGATATCTAAGTTAAGGAAAATAGGAGTTCGTAGGCGAGAAGCGAGACACAAAAATCTCAAGTTATATGTGAAACTACCTAAATACAGATTACAAGCAGACATCCTGTTGCATCATGCATTATTACTCGCATTTATATTGTAACACGAGGATCATGATAATTCGTGTTTCCTGCTTTAACTCTCAAATTACGAGGTGAGTGTTAAACGCAACCTGTACTATCATAAATACAAATCTGTATATTCTGAGACAAAGAAACCACTTAAGGCTATGTAATATAAAGTTTAAAAAAAACATTTCATTTAATTTGCAGACGCATTCTATTGTACTATATACATTATTCACACGAAAAACATAATTATGTAGTTAAAATTACAATATGAAATATTTGTAACGTAGCATAGCCATCCCTAAATCTTACGAATTATTTTATGCTTGTCCCCGCTGATATTATAGCTTAGTAGTGACAGAAAAATATGAATAATAATTATTAGATCGATTATACGTTCTTGACCCAACACCAAACAAAAAAATCTACTAACTTTCAAAGTCATTGGCAGAGATTATATTGTACGTCAGCGAAGCCGAAATAGATAAAATTATATCAAGACAATGAGTGATTCATAAATGTGGTTTTGAGCTCGTTTAAATATGATATGAAGCGGGACTTGGCATTCAGGCCAATGCGGCTAGACAACACGGCGTGTAGTCGGGATCCTTTAAATTAAGTTGCATATTTACTTCCTCAAATCTCTATATAAGTTTCGAGAACTCTAAAGCTACCATCAAGTCGATAGTAAGGATACAGATTTTTATAGCAAAAAAGTAAAATATGGTTACCATGTCATATTTGTGATTACTATCAATAAAAAAAACTTAAAAGTCTTGTATTCTTCACAGTGAGGTCAATAATCTGCTACTAATGACGGAACAACACAAAAATATATGTACATATATAAAAAAACAATGTACAATGTAAATATTTACTTATTTAATGGGGTGAGGGCATGTTTTGTGGAAATTGTAGAAAACTACAGTAGGAATAGGATTTCTACATTCTCTTTAAGTGTGGTACCTATTTTGTGTACATTTAAGGGAATATTATTACTGTAGATCGACTCTTAAGATGAGACGTGATGTTCAAGTAATAATCATTCCCTAGAAATCGAACCTAAGACCTCTCGCTCTTAACGCAATCATATAAAATGCGATTAATAGTAACTCACTATAGTAAAGACTTTATACATTCTGTATTTATTGTACGTCATTATACTTGTTTTTAAACATTTCACGACCTTTAATCATGTAGGTCACGAACGCCCAAACCAATAATTATTATCAAAGCAAATCGAATTTCACGCAAATGTAGGTAATCATTTTTTGTTCATACAAGTTCATTGACTTCCAGACATAGGTCATAAAAAAATCATCAGCACTTAACAGTTATTATTGAATCAATTTTAGCACTAAGTAATAATATTTGATAAATCACAGGCTTTAATAAATTAATATCCAAAACTCTAAGCTTTTTGTTTAATATTTAAAAGATCTGTTTTAGAGAACAAATCCAATGAGAAATAATCCTAATACAGTTGTGAAGTCAATTTTCACTCAAATTTAAATTTATACACTCCATACATACACTCAATTTATAAGTATTATAATTATGTCTCTATAAGACATTTAAAACTATTTTCATTACAATTAATAAGTAACAGTGTACTTTTTTGTAAACTTATATATCTATTATCTTTCTAAAAACAAACCGAGATACAGATAAAATTTTCTAAGAGTAGTTAATAACTAAATAAATTAAATACACAATGAATACACATTGAAACTCAAGGGATGCTTGATAAATAATGTTAAAATTATTAGTAAAAATGAGTTGGATAAAAATATCATTCTCAATCACATCATGATTTGCAATAAACTAATATTGACTTGTCATCTTATTTTTAGCTGATGAATTAAGGACGTAAAGAGCTAAAATGTATTAAGAGTATAAAAATTATTTTTGTCCATGTTGTCACTTAGTAGTAAAAAGTAGTATAAGTGTTACATACATACATATTCTTAAAATGTTGCGATTTTTTTTTTTAATGATTATGTGAACACTGGTAAGATACCCACTCGTGATAAAACATGATTCAATTTATTTTAAATTATATTGAGTTTATATTGGCTCTAGCTATTTTTCCGTAAGGTTAATAGAATATGTTTAGTGTGAGGTCAGAGCTCTAGTTAAATGTTAACTGTCAAGTAAAAACATTTGGTAAATTTTATTTATTATTAACACCTAAATCAAAGGTCAGTAGCATTAAGAATGAGCATTGAAGAATATGTTATATCAGTAAGCAAGTTTATAAAAACACAAGTCCATAAATAACATAAAAAGAAATTGATGAGGTATAATATAATAAATATTTATTATTTAGAAATATATTTATATTTTATTAAGTTATTAAAAAATTAATAGAAAAATGTGATGCAAATTTATAATATACTTAAATATTCTATATTCATTTTAAAGTTAAAGTGTTTTATTTAAATTTATATAGCTAGTAGTTATTTACTATCTATGAAACTTAGTGTTATTTTAAATATAAAATACAAAAACTACACTAAAAGAGCGGAAATAATTGTTTCATTTCAATTTTATAAATATTTATAATTAATATTGCCATAAGTTAAAGTTTATAAAAAAGAAAAAGAAATGATATTAGTATTCAAAATTTGTTTTAAAAAGATAAGAATTTTAAAGTAGATAACAAACAAAACTAGCTAATAAAATGAAATATTTTAAAATTTATGAAAAATCTAATTATGTTGTTTTATTTTCTTTTAATAAAAAAAATTTTATTTGTTTTATTTCAATTATTTAAAAAAAATATTAAATAATTAAAATATTGTGTATTTAAAGGTCAATTTTCATTAAAAATTGTTGTATTAAAGGATCAGTTTTTTAACAGTGTTGTTTTCCAGGATAATCCTATGTCACGTACTATTCTAATAAATGCTTTTAAACAAATATTATATTGGTACAAGATAATTTGTTACACAGTTTGTTGTTGCGAAACGTTGTAAGCAATTGCATTACAAGTTGCGAAATATTAAGACTCACCTAAACAGCAGACGAGGAATTTAAGAAGAATGAAGGCGAACGCGTTGTAGAAAGTGGCGTCGTAGTAGATCGCTTCAGTGTCGGATATATCGACGTGGTCATCCGTGATATTTGATAGGACGGACACTTCCTCGCCGGCGGACACGGGCAGCCCGAGACTGATTTTGAGGAACTCATCGACAACAAACAGCGGCGGCACCCTTAGCAACACTTCCACCAGCGCCAGGGCCTTCGACCTCAACGACATTATTCATTTATGCAAAATTTAGAACCCCCAATTTTGCACTCGCCGACAACACGGCGACCGTGAAACAACTTTAATTTGTGCGATACTTTTCTATTCTATTTTGAGATCACGTATTTTTTAAAATGAAAATATGACTGAAATTTTACAATAAAATCTGACGTTTTAAAATTTTGTTGCCAGTTGTCAAAATAGTTTCTGAAGGGTTAGTGACTTAGTGTTGGCTTCCTTAGCTTTATAGAGACAGAGTGTGTTACAACGATGTATAATCTGTTGTCAATCGGATATTGAACATATAAAAATATCTTGTGTAAAATAATTTATTGAAAGTAGTTTTTTATTTGGTTGTAATATAATATTTTCAATATAAACGTAAAGCTTCTTATTTCACTTTTGTACAGCGCCATCTCTTTAATAAAGACGTTAGCTTTTGATGACAAAGAGCGTTTTTCCAGATTCAGAATAGATGGTAAAATCGTCGATCAATTCAGGGAAGTACAATTATTTCTCCGTAAATGAAAGAACGGGTAAATTGGTCGGCGCTCGGCAGCTGGTCTGATGATCCGGCCTTCTATCGCTAATAAATAAAATAGTAATAAAAAGTAGAATTATTGTTATTGCACCTTTAGAGAAGTGATTATTACTTTTACTATCTATATATCTAGTTCTCAATAATATCAGCAAAAAAATTTGTAAGAATACATTTCCAGCGAATCTCTCATTATATTTGTCTATTTGCATTAACTGAAACTATACTTACCCATGGAATACGTTGATTAATTACAGAATAGAAATAGAAACAGAATATTCCTATATAAGTACATGTATATTAATATTATTATAAATATTATTTTAGAACTACCATGCAACTCATTTAGAGTAGGTACTAGAATATTATTTAAATATTTCTAAAAATTAATGTAAAAAATCTGTTTCCTGCACGTTAATATATTACAGTCAAAACGGATAAATAATTTGAACACGGCTAACGGGCTTTTATGCAACAAAGTTCGTCAAAAAGCACTCGAATCGATTTATACCTTAAAAGGTTTCTTCTACGGCTTCGCACGGTAAATTAAAAGCATTGATATTGTGATCGCTTCTGAAAGCGAGCTTTGTAAGCCCGAATGCTTTCTATACTGAGCAGATATTATATCTATGTATATGCTACGGACCCTTTTAACTTATGAACTTTACTGTATAGAAGGAAATTATTAGATACTTATATCGAAATTATTTTTCCGTTAATGTTTTTCAAACCCTCTAAGCTTTTAACAAAACATATATAAACAAGCAAAAGACATGTTATTATTAAAAGATAAGTGCTAAATATAATAATTAAATATTCTAACCACAGATAATTCTTGCTCAAATGCCGCATGTCCCTACTCATCGCATGTTTAAAAAAAAGTAAAATCACAATGATTTGGCGGCAATCTGTCATGGCGCGTGGCGGGCACGCGTCTCCGACGATTACATGTAAATCAATCGTGAAGAATCTCCGAGATAAGTGATGAATCCGTAATAAAATATTGAGTTACATTTATCTTTTATTTACGTTTCTGATTGAACCGTATCACTTTACGGCGGTTAAATGTTATTGTTTCGTATGGGAATGGGTTTGTTCGTTTGTGATGTGCTGTTTTTGTAAGAACCATTGACAAATTTTGTTTTTGAGTTTACTAATAGACTAAACATATTTAATTTTAATATCATCAAAGGCCTTTATTAAGTTGTAGGAATATTTTCTTTGCGTATTTATAACATAAATTTGTATTGTATACACTTAGATAGGATAATACGTAAGTATAGCTTAGGATAACTACGTAAAAATATTAATCATACTAAATGTATATGTCCTAGGTGTTTGCTTAATAGTTACTCGTATTGCCAGCAACAAATGGTAATGTTACTATGGTAAAGTATAGAATTAGTGAATTTATTTATTCGTAACAAGTCAATTAGGTATATCACACCAAGCGTTAAAATAAACACATCTCCCCTATTTTTTGTAGTGAATAAAGATGATACCTGCTTAGCCAAATCGTTCATTGAGAGTCACTTGCCGGCGGGCAAACACAGGTGGAAGCTGATTGTTGCTATTACTTTCTATTACTCCCTATATTTGTTAAACTATTTAAGAACCCCATAATAAAGATCGTTAGTTTCAACACGATATTGTAATGCCTTATTGAAAAAAAATCACGTTAATTTTAATTATGGACGAATAAAAAAAACACTCGATGCTGTAGGTAACCAGGTAACTGTTTACTGGCTTAATAGGTATAATTCAAATAGATTTAGTACCTAAATTGTGTTGTTCAAATGAAATTAATAGTTGGTGCTATTTTCATCTCGTCTTACGTTTAAATTACTCTGATCGGGTTTGAGATATTCGGAATCTTATGCCAAATTTCATCTTAGTTATACATAATATATTATGTACTATATGCTGTAGTAATAAATGGTATAGTACGATATGTAATTGTATACCCGTCTAATTGCTTCACATTTGTTAACAGAAAGTTCTGTGGGTAAATTCAACACGGTCCAACATTAACATTTAAAACTGTATTGCAGTCACATTATTTAGTTGGTTCTCGGTTAATAACAAAGTGGAAAAGAATTTGTCGTTACTATTCGAATAGTCATAACTCATCCTACAAAGTATAGTTAAAACTGTTTCTATCTCATAATGATCGAGAGCTATTTATTTGGCCTCAGAGCGTAAATATATTAAGCCAGTCCATTCGTCCAAATTCCCACCCCCTCTAATCCTCGTTACAGATCCCTGCTCATCCAGGTTTGGGTTACACCGGACAGAGCGACACATGAGCCTTCCGTTTCCGAACGACAGCAGACAGGTGAGGCCGGAAGATCGATAGTGACGTCACAGCTTTAAATACCCTATATACACGATAATACTTCAAATGCGTAGGTTGGAATCAGGTATATATGTTCGATTTTTTAGATAAAATTCTAAATAAAATATAAAATTGTCAATGAGAGTTTTCAGAAGCTTGTATAAATATTCTATGTAATTTTATTTATTATGTGTTTATCTTATGTTATGGTATTGGCTAATCTATACTAATATATACAGCTGAAGAGTTTTGTTTGTTTAAAGTCACTAATAGCCGAAACTGCTAGCTCGAATTAAAAAAAAACAAATTTTGAAGCCCATAATATCTATTCTACGCGGACAAAGCTCATATACCAACCCTTATACTGTATTTTTTGCACGTTACATTACTAAGAGAATTAATACTAAGAGAAATAATAATTTTTTGTGTGTATTGCGAATATGAACGATTTTTTAATACCTTTTTAGCTTCGTGTGAGGTATGTGGACCACCTCATCGCGATCGAAGCAGGCTTTTCTGCTCAGTGAACTGCGTAGTCGCGAGGCTCGTCGGGTGCTCGCACATTACTCTATTCACACGGACTCGGTTTCGACCAACTTGACTCAAACTTTCCAATTGATTTTGAGCTTCATTACTTGGTATATAAAAGTCAAAGTAGAAATGAGTTATGCCTACCAAAAAACGTAATGAAAAATTCTCGCAAAAAAATATTTTCACACGCAAATAAACTGTTTTTGTCAACTCCATGCATCCGTTTACAGGCTTCTTCGAGGAATGGTAGTAAAAACTTGGTGCGTAATTTTTAGCGAAGTTAACGTTTTGACAACTAGCAACACATGGCTAATAATCAATGGTTTGATTCCCACCGGATCTAACTTGTTTGTAATAAATTGCATTCCGTCTGATTACATGTGTTAGGAATATCTACGAAAACGCCGTAAATTTTGATCGCGCGTTTCACTTTCAGTCTGTTAATTTCCGAATGTCTAAAGACAAAATAGGTCGATAGCGCATCGTGTTCGATGTTATATGACTGTGTATTACAGCTATCACGTGAATTCCAGTCTTCCTCTATTATAAAAGTTTTTAAATATATATGTAATGAGAACGAGATCCGCAAGAAAAACATACGCAGGTACTTGTATTAGTATTAAAACATGGATTTATCGATTATGATAAACCTTGACGCAAAATAAAATCTGAATTACAATATCCTATATATATTTAAATAAAACACTTTAACGGTTTAAAACGCGATATATTAGTTAAACTCATTTGCAAATAATTTTAACTGCGGCCCTACGTTTTGTCGGGCCGAATCATATTCATTACCGCAATGCAGCGACAACATAACTAGAATTCGTCTCTAATACGTTCAATGACAAGATGCAGTTACGTTTAGTTTGTCTATGAAACAGAATGCAGATCGAATGGTTGCTCTTCAGAATATTATAGACAATAAGCCATATGGTAAGATGTGACAGGTATTAGTACGGGCCACTGCGCCGCGCTGGGTGGCCCTATCAGACTTAATAAGAAATCGATATTTTGTACAATGTTAATTGATATACTATCGAATTATTTGGAGACTTACATCTATCGAGATTTTTAACATATACAAGATAGTTAATTATGAATGAATAAAATAATTTTTCATATTATTTTATTATGCATTTTAAGTGTGACATAGAATTGTATATGAATAAAAATATGTACTTATAGTCCATCAAATAATTATTATATTATGTTTTCAGTATGGTCTTCATCAATTCTTCTTCTCCCAACATTTCCTGTAAGGCTGTTGCTACATTAGATTACTTACTTACGGGATTTTTGACCTACATTTTCATAATAGACCGCCTGTGTAGCTAAATCTTTGATTGCGCGAGAGTTGCTGGGTTTAATCCAAAATATTTGATTGTTCAGTCGGCCAGTTCACAGAAGTAGGATTAACTACTTGCCTATAAATAAAACCCAGCAGTGAAACGAACACAGAATTGTGTTTGCCCAGCGCATATTTTAATAATCCACCACAGACTACAATCTATCTAGATGAATATAAAAAACTTTGTTTTATGGTCCTAGCCCCATGCAGTAAGGGGGGCAACGTGATTGCACACATAATATTATAATCCACTACAGATTATAATTTGTCCAGATGAATATAAAAGTTTGTTTTGTGATAACAAACCTGAATAGTTGTTGGATTTTAAGAAATCCGTAATTTGCACCGCCCTAGAATAGTTTTAATGTTGAGAGAGCAAATGACAACTTACATTGTCACTTAAGTACACTTTTTCTGTTATATGAAAAAGGTTCCATATTATTAATTCAACATCTATCAATAGTAGAAGTGTTCGACAACCTGAAATAACAGTTCCAGACTAAGCGTCCAATTAATTACTTCATTAGTTATCTAAATAGCGATCACTAAATCGTTCTCACCGCAAAAACAAAGCTTCCGCTGACCGCCATGTTAATCCGATACCTTCGTTGACAGCTACTTTCCCGCGCACAATATGTCGTGTTTTTTTTTCTGAGGGGCACAAACAACCAATTACTGCAGGGGCGGGTGATCACTTAGCAAGCGTGGAAGATAGTCATTTAGCCAGACACACTAGCCAGTAAGGCATCGTCCGTTGTTTAAATTCAAATTGATTTTTTTATATCCCACTTGCCATGGCGCATGTCTGTGATACGAGTAATTCAATTAGTGCTAGTGGATGTTTAGTGTGATTTTGTGATGTGTTTTAAATAATTTGACGATTTTGGATTGCGATGGATTAACTTTGTAAGGTTTGTATGAATTGTTTTCATACAGTATATTTATTACAGTTAAAAATAGTGAGAAGCGCATCTAAGCACAGCGGCAGAAGGTCATATCACCCATCACTCTAATAGAAAGAGATCCCGATTATTTTAATTTTGTTTAAAAATTATTAATTAAAAAAAATAAGGGGCCGGTTGGTAATAGCAGATTGTTCTATTAAGGGTTAATTGAACAATCTGCTATACAGTACACAGTATAAAACGCGAAATATACTATTTACTGCTGCAAAACATCAGGTCGTAGTGACGAATAAAATATCATATTTCACGTACACCGTTATAAATAATTTATTGTCTGCATAAACAACAGACAATACTTTTTCCATCTGGGTTCTACGGCATATGCTACGGCGTAGAATATTCAATAGGTTCATTCTCGAAATGTATAACAAAAATTTAACCATTCTACTATTAATTACATTAACTGTTACAACAATAAGTAAATGTAATATAGTTTTCCACTTATATTTTTATCCTGATATTTATAGTTTTATATTTTTGTCTTATCAACTCGAAATCAATAGTAGAACAGTCAAGCGCAGTCTAGAATATTATCGTTTTTTAATTAATATAGATCTTAAATACCTAGTCTTTGAAAACATTAATATTTTTCACATGTTTTGCACATGAAGGCACTATATAATTTAAAAAGATCGAACGAAAGATTGAACCGACATCGTCAGCTTTCCGTGCTGTTGCTCGGAAAGCTGACGATGCCGGTTCAAGTCCTGCCCTAGTCGAAAATTTTTTCAATTTATTTTCGTTTTTTTAAATTACCTAGTCTTTATTAAAAATATCATGATCTTTTTTAATTTTCGTTTCTGAGTGTCTACGCTAATTCATATAACTATATTTTAGTGTTTGTTTGGCTGACTTTGAAAACTTTTATAATTTTCAAAATATGTAGATTGAAAAAATGATAGATCAATCGAAAGGATCGGGACTTGAACTGGCACCAACATCGTTGCTGCTGCTCTAACCAGCTAAGCCTTGTCGGCTCAAGTATTTTTTAAAATGTAAATAGATTTTTATTCTTATAATGCCAAATATGTACCTACTGTCAGAATACTCGATATACTTTCGGTCGGATGTTAAATTAATTTCTTCTTAAACTGATTATTTTTACGTGCATAATACTTAGAAATAATCTAATGTACTCCATCTTAGTAACAATATATAATATTACGTACAAATTAGTAGGTAATGAATATACGTCACACAATTAAGCCGTCTCTGTAACGTTTGCATTGGGCGTAGATTTTTCTATTTAAAAACAATAACAGGTAAGGTTATTTCGAAATATATGGTTCTCTGGTTTTATAAGAGTTGAATTGAAACATATTTAACAATATGTCTGTATATTTATTTTAGCTACAGGTATGATAGTAGATATATTCAATTTATTACATAGTGTCAGTAGTTTACGCGAGTAGTACAGATTAAGAAAAAACACATTAACGCGATATATATTAGTTTAATTTATTTGGACAAAATAAGTTTAACTATTATATATCGCATTTTAAATCGTCAAAGTGTTTTATTTAAAGGATACTTTTGAGTTTCGGTGTTTCCCAAAACTAGTAAACTTATATACATAGTTTTGGAAAACAGAAAACATATTGGCCTTCCCTCTATTTTTGACTAGGATTAAGTTTGTAAAACCCTAAAAATTTGTGAATTCTTAGTCCGGCCTTTATATAAACTATTGTTTTACGATTCGCTTTTGCGAGTCATCTAATAGTCGGAAAAAACACGGAGTGAGTTGTAATGGTACGATAAATAGAAATAAAATAAAATGGCCGCGAGAGCCTGTACCAAAAACCTCAATAACTTCAAGTTCATATATTTTATACTAATGACTTCAGACTCGGTCGGACAAGTCTTCCTGCAAAAGTAAGAGTAAATTGTTACTCGCGAAATTTCATACGTGATTAACATTTTTTTTTTTAAATAAAACACTTTAACGGTTTAAAACGCGTTATATTAGTTAAACTTATTTGAAAATGTTTTTTTTTTAACTTCGGCCCGACGTTTCGAATGCTTTGCAGCGGCCGTGGTCACGGGGAGACACGGCTGCTGCAAAGCATCCAAAAAACGCATTTTCAAATAAGTTTAACTAATATATCCCGTTTTAAACTGTTAAAGTGATTTATTTAAATGTGTATTACTCGCGTAAACTATACACAATATTTTTTTTATCTAAATCTTACAGAAATATAAAAAAAGAATGAGACAGAAGTAGTATTTTATCTTATTTTACTTCTACCCACGCCCCGCATTGCTGCATTATTTATTAACTGGCTAAAAATGACTAAATGTTGTACACCTTTAGTTTTTAAAGTAAAGCATGAGGAAGCTCGAAGGAAGTGTTTAACCACAAGTTTTTCTGTATAGCAGGACACAAGCAAAACTACTCTAGTTGATAACGACATAAAGGAAGTACAAGTCGAATTCGCTAAAAAAGGCATTTATCCAGTAAACGAGTGTACAAATAGCGTTTACAATAATAATAATATACAGGCTGTATTAGGTACATACATTATTAGAAAATTACATTTTTTTTATATTATAACATTGTCTGTACCTCTTCTGGAGGTTGATTCTATGTACAGTTTGTATTGTAGTAATCGAGAAACAGAATGTTAGCTTTGTTTAGTATTGTCGAAGTGAGCGAGATCGAAGAGTCATCTCATTGCAGTCTGCAAGTGATGGCGAAATCCAGCCTCTTCTCGTTCACGTCGGCCGAACAGCCCGAAAGAGAATGAACGATGGCCGCGAAAGCCTTACACAATGATTAACGATAGGTGACAACGCATAGTCAAAGTCTGACTTATCACGAGATGTACACATGTTAATAAAACATTTAACTTTTAAAAGCAAAATTAATGAATAAAATTATTTACAAATCTTTAACGGCTCGACTATACGGAGGTTTTGCACACCGGGGTACGGGAAGACTAAAGACGGAGCGTGTCCCTGATGCCAAAGTAAAACTCAACTTATACCGTACATACCTGTGAACTCTAGGACACCGTTATTCAATTCTTCTAGGATCCAAACGTGGCTTAGCGTAGAAGTTAAAGTTTGGAGGAGACATAGTTCAAAAATTTGTATATAACTAACATATTTCGCGTTTTAAAATTGTTTTATTAAAAAAGTAACAGATGAGAGAGAATCCCAAAAAATCATTTCTTCCTATCTACTTACAGTACAATTAGATGTTGAAAAACAAAGATTGTTATGGGTTAGGACTTAGGAATATCTCAGTTTTTATATTATTATTATTTTGGTACGATTGACATAAGCCCTTATGATATTTGAAAAAAAAAGCTGCGGCACTATCAGGCCAGTTAACCTATCAAATCTAGGCAGCGGATTTATAACCTTGAACCTTTTTTAAGGCTTCGTATATCGTCTAGCCTGGACGATCACATTCAACAGGTAAATACATTTCTTTAATCTCCCCTTTCTTAACACTATCAATACCAAATACTAACAGAATAAGATGTTTAGGATCCAAAAACTCTAACGTTAATTTTCACATTCAACTAAATAACGAACTAAGAAACTGTAAGTAAACTTTATACTGAGATTCAAAATAAATGTCTATGATCAGTGGGTGCAAACATTAGAAACTATAGAAGTACCTACTTATAAATTATTTACAGCCTTACGCTATGAATCACTTTCAGCTTTTTATAGCAACAAAGCAAGATCAATTTTAACAAAAGATAATCTACTACTGTAAACTCCCAACAACTATTGTCCACTCATGTCGATTAATAAATTAAAAAAAAAAAATAAACAATAAATTAAATAATGTATTTTCAAGATCTATACAGGTGTTCTTTTTCCATGAAATCTACATAGATTTCTTAACTTACTCTCAGTAAGAACCAAATATTTAATATACAAAATAACTTGGTATATCACGCGGACGCTGTCGCGGGCACAGCTAGTGTTAGTATATAGAGGTTACGCGGAAATAATTGATTTCATCTCTCCCATCTCAGCAATGCGTGACTACAAACGACGGAAAAGGACTTGACCCGCCCATCGCAAGGCGTTAGGCGGGGCCATGGACTGCTACGTCCCAAACAACCCGCAGTTCGGGGAATGCTGCCACACGCTCTGCTGCGATCCGCTGCAGCCCTGCTCCTGCGACCAGATCAGGGAGCTGTCTGAACAGTGCTGCCAGGTTCGTCACTTTCCTCAACGCTGTATTAGATTAAAAATCGTTTTTTGATTGTTCCGTGCTCTCTCTAAGGTATTGAGCTACTGTATCCTACACGTGATCGTTGAATTTTTAATTTATTGATGTACGCATGTCAATCAAATCATTATATTACGGAACCACCTACATCGACCGTAGCCTGTACCTTTTTGAAATATAAATATGTTATTATATAGATTAAAATAGGTTAAATACAATGTGTAAATTATGCGACTAGTACGCATATACATCCATAAAATGAATAATGCATAAGTTTAACGAATACATTTCGCGTTTTAAACCGTTAAAAGTTTATTTTATCTTTAGCAGGAAAACGAGAACTGTTGTCCGGAAAATGGGGAGGAATTGAATGCACTGGGCGATTCGATCGCTCCGTGCGACGTCAACCTCGGGGATGTGAATGAGCAGGGCTGGACGTCGGAAGACATGGGCTCCTTTTCCCTTCCTTCGCTGGAGCTGGACCCTCTGCCCTCGCTGTTCCCCTTCTCGCCGTGTCCTGGATACAAGTTAGTAACACACGTTAGACTTTGCGTTGATTTATCGTATGATGTACGATGAAGATGTAATTGCACTCAGTAAACCCAACAGAAGTGAAAATTTAAATATATATTGCGTTTCTTATAATTTGGACTGGCAATAATTCTGCACTAATTACTTTAATTATTGATTTAACAAATAATCTCTAACTGCATTAAAGTGTGTTAAAAATAAAAGCATGTACCTAATGTAATGTTTATGGCACATCTACACGGATGCATATTGAAAAATATGAATATAATTTATCTATTCCAAATAAAATACCTTTTATCTTATTAAACAATAAGAGTTTGACAAAATGTAAGAGAAACGAGAGCCTGTTGCTAAGTTAATAATTTTCTTATTATCTTTATTTACAGAATTAGTTAAGTAGATAAGTATAACATACTAGTGCATATACAGTTCTATGAATGACTAGCTGTGCCCGTGACTCCGGCCGGGTGGAATTGTGTCTTTGGGTAGAAGTTTTATTTATTTAGGCTGTTTATTTATTTATTTTATAAATTTAATAAGACACATGTGGAAATACAGTGTTTTACGGCAACTAGCTTATTAAGATATTCATAATAAGTATATCCATGGTATAGTGTATTTTTTTATGCTTATTTGAGTACACTTTCATAGTTACTTTTGCATTTAAAATATTAGTAGTCAAGTAGTGATTCGTTCCGTTTTACGTATCGATAAGTGCGTATAGTAAATGTGCTTTACGTTGGGTTGCCCCCAACCCCCCCTGGTCTTGCCCCCCTGGTCTTTTTCCTGCCTTTTTGCCCCCCCCCACCCCAAAAAAACCCCCCCCCCTCCCACCCCCCCCCCACCCCCCCCCCCCCCCCCCGCCCCGCGCAAAAAAAAAACCCCCCCCCCCCCCCCCCCCCCCCCCCCCCCCCCCCCCCCCCCCCCCCCCCCCCCCGGTGGGGAGAAAAAGGGGGGGGGGGGGGGGGGGGGGCCCCCCCAAAACACCCCACCCAAAAACCAAAACCCGAAAAAAAAAAAACGCGCCCCCGCCCCCCCCCCCCCCCAACCCCAAACAAAAAAAAAAAAAAAAAAAATTAAAAAAACCCCGCGGGGGGGGGGCCCCGTGGGGTCCCCCCCCGCGGGGCCCAAAACCCGCCCCAAAAAATTTGCCCCCCCCCCCCCCCACAAAGCCCCCCCCCCCGGGGGGGCGCGGGGGGGCGCCCCCCCGGGGCCCCCCCCCCCCCCCCCCCCCCACCCCCCCCCCCCCCCCCCCCCCCCCCCCCCTTCCCCCTTTTGTTGGCCCCCCCCGGGGGGGGGGGAATTCCCCCCCAAAAATTTCTTTTTTTTTTTCCCCCCCCCCTTTTTTTTTTTGGGGGAAGGGGGGGGGGGGGGGGGGGGGGGCGGGGGGGGGGGGGGGGTTTTTTTTTGTTTTTTCAAAAACACAAAAAAAAAAAAAAAACCCCCGCGGGGGAGGGGGGGGGGTGGGTTTTTTTTTTTTTTTTTTTAAAAAAAAAAAAAAAACGAAAACCAAAAACACGCCCGGGGGACACGGGGGCCCCAAAACCCCCAAAAACCCCCCAAACCGGGGAAAAGGGGGGGGAGGGGGGGGGGAGGGTTTTCCCCCCCCCCCCCCCCCCCCCCCCCCCCCGGTGTTGGGGTTTCCCCCCCCCCCCCCCCCCCTATTTTTTTTTTGGGGGGGGGGGGGGCCCCTCCTCCCCCGGAAAGGGGGGTTTTTTTTAACCCCCCCCCGGGGGGGGGGTTTTTTTTTTTTTTTCCCTTTTTCGGCCCGGTCCCGCCCCAAACCCCCCAATTTTTTTTGGAAAACCCCCCCCCCCCCCCCCCCCCCCCCCCGGGGCGGGGGGGCGCCCCCCCCCCCCCCCCCCCCCCCCCCTTCTTCTCCTCCCCCCCCCCCCCCCCCCCCCCCCCCCCCCCCCCCCCCCCCCCCCCCCCCCCCCCCCCCCCCCCTTTTTTTTTTTTTATTTTTTTTATTTATATATTTCTCTCTTTTTTTTCCCCCCCCCCCCCCCCCCCCCCCCCCCCCCCCCCCCCCCCCCCCCCCCCCCCCCCCCCCCCCCCCCCCCCCCCCCCCCCCCCCCCCCCCCCCCCCCCCCCCCCCCCCCCTTTTTTCTCCTCCCCTTCTTTTTTTTTTTTTTTTTTTTTTTTTTTTTTTTTTGGGGGGGGGCTATACGGTACCTTTTTAAGGTAGCAAACAAAGTAGGTATAATTCGGTATTTCCTATGTTTGTGGCTTTTGTTCAGACACATAGGCAGATAATCTTGTGCCTACCCAAACCATAAATGTATGATTGTCACTCGGTAATGGCACCGTTCCCATTGCACTAGATTTTAATTCAGGCACAGAATAAATAGGTGTTGTTATATAGGTTATTTTATTTCACCCCCTATTCCCCCCTAGCAGGAACTCGGGTGGGGAGTGCCGCGAGAGGACAGGGGGAGAGGCAGCTGACGTCCTCCTCTCTCTGAAACATGCCGTAGTCCATAGCGACTGCACGGAGGGCGTTCACCCACAGGTATTTGTCTCGCTCACTCGCGTTCAATTGTTACAGCGAAACAGAGAGGTGGAATCGGAAATGAAATATGAAGGGTGGGTTTCATCAAATTTTAATCCAAAAACTTGTGGGGTATCACTTTATTAGTTGTATTAACAGTGGTCGGCATTATATTGAATGATAATTGATGTCGAGGGCGTTCTGCGGTTTAGGATAATCATTTTTTATATATAAACGGTTCAAAATAAGTAAAATAAAATATACTTTATTCTCATTAAAATTTTAAAAATGATTTATATTCGTCAATTTTTTTTTTGTTTGTATGTCTGTTTGTCGTGATTCTACAGAATGTTCAAAATAGCAACGTAACTGAGAAGAACACCCAAGAAACTCTGTCCGGCTTTTTTAAACTTGTTCACTTTCTTTTTCTTTCTTATTCACAGATTCTTCGTATTTATATGTAGTGTTTTATAATTTTTTACGTAGTTTTACGTATCTGACCCCAGTGACCAGCCAAGAGTAAAAATATAATAAATATTAATAAAAATGATGACTTAGAGGAGATTATTGCTTTAAATAATGCAATAATATATAAGTATGCATTAAAGACATTGAAAACAGGTAGCGTTTGCAAAAATAGTAAGTCGTCGTGGGTATAAAAAAACAAATGAAAGATGGCTGTTCCATTGGAAACCGTAAAACATTTACAGCTTGAACTGTGGTTCGTGACCCGGACAAAATTTCAGTATTGCTACCATCAATTTAATATCTAGATTTCCAGTCTCGTTCAGAAAAATTATGAATTGATTACAAACTTGTGGGACCCGGTGGGAAACGAACCCACGACGCGTTACCCGTTCATTCCTTGGTAGCAACTACACAAAAGATCCCGTCAACAATTACTGTAGAAAACGTGTACAATGTAATCACCGTTAAATCATAGCATCCTAGTATTTTCCAATAGTACTTACTATGTAATGATTAACAGATGATGGTGAACAGCGGCACTGGTTATCCGTACTACGAGCACTATGCTGGCGCACCGATCTTCCCCACGATGAGCGTCAATGTGTCCATGAATATGACGATGCACGGTTGTCAGCCTGATCAACTTTGCTCACAGGTATCTGTGTCTTAATATTCAAGTTAACAAACAACTAGACTCGATAATTAAATAAAACCAATATATAGGTATTAGTTAAACGTCTTTGGAGATTTTTTCAACCACGGCCCGACGTTTCGGATGCTTTGCAGCAGCCGTGGTCATGGGGAGTTTTAAACCGTTAAAATGTATTATTTAAATCAGTACTACTCGCGTAAACGTTCACTGTGATACTTAAGACGGGAAAACAAATGAATCCGTAAATATGGTATCTATAGATAAGATAGATTTTAAGTTGAGAACAGAGAGGCATATGCAATATTCACTTGATGTGACATTTCGACAAGATGGGCTATTTATTCTTCAACCAATTTTTATCGACCTAATTTTGCTTTGGACAACGGAAACAACAGACTGAAAGCGAAACGCGATTTTACTTCAAGGCTTTTTCATCTGTGGACGGTGGTTCGAAATCCGGATGGAATTTCGATATCTTACCATCCATTTAGTCCAAACTTCAAGACGAAGTCTAACATATGTCTAAAAATTAAAAATTGATAACATGTTGGACCCGATGGAGATCGAATCCACGACCCGTGTACTAGCCATTCCCCACGACACTGAACCTACCACATTAGTAAGAAATAGCCATAATTTAAAGTCAAGTTCTGTTTCTCTATCAGGTACAATGGAATCAAAACGCAAATACACCGTCCGTCAATGTAGTCTACCCTCCGCCACAGAACAACCCCACCTCGTACCCATCCGCCACGTATTCCTTTACCGCCGATTTCCGACCTCCAAACCAATCAGATCCACTTATCACAGCCTCCTCCACTTTCAAACCGTTACACCTTCAAAACGCCCAGAAAACTCCCAACTATATTTTCCAACAAAAGCCCAGTTTTTCCCAAAAAATGGGAGTCCTCAAACGGTCACCCACGAAATCATATCAAGAAAGTCAGAAAGAGATGTCGAATGGGTATCTTCTTAATCATCAGAACCAAATGCACCCACAGGAGTATGGGTACAGTTCGTGTATCAATTCTTCGGGGAAAGTCCAAGTGAGTTTTTTTTTTATTTACTTTTACAGTTAAAGTTCGATAAATTGGAATAAGTTTTACTGGAATAGCTTCATAAAGCACGAAGTTTAAAACTGGTGGTCCCATAATAAGCGAGAAAAAAATAATCACAACAAAGCAACATTTGTCGTTATTTTACACAGTATAGTTATTATTATACTCCGTATCAAATGTGATTTATAAATGTATAATTAAAAATAACACCTATATTCACAAAAAATAGAACATAACACATAATGTCTGCCCCCCCCAAAACCCCCCCCCCCCCAAGGGGCCCCCCCGGGAAAACGCCCCCCCCAAAAAAAAACTAAAGGGTTGCTGCAAGTTTCTTGTTAGAATCCACATTTTTTAGCAAGAAACATACAGTTCTACTACATACCTTGCCAAATAAGTCTGCCTTATCTGGCTTCTATAATAACAAATTAAGAAAGGGTGGATCTCAAGCAGCAAACCCGTTTTTCGTTTTAAACATTCAGAACAGTGCATAAGTCTTTTTTCGTTTAGGTTGGAGCTCTAAGCGGTTCAGACGAGGACGAACAGAAGCCCAACCTCTGCCGAATATGTGGCAAGACCTACGCTCGTCCTAGCACATTGAAAACCCACCTTCGCACTCATTCCGGGGAACGGCCTTACAGATGCGCCGATTGCAATAAAAGCTTCTCTCAAGCCGCGAATCTTACTGCTCATGTGAGGACACATACTGGCCAAAAGCCATTTAGGTTAGACTTCTTTTATTATCTTTTTACATTTGTCATTATTTACTTACTACTCAAAAATACTACATCAATCTTCTAGTTTGCGAGTTAAACAGTTAACAGTTATAAGAACTAGAAATAACTATACCAGTTTCGCTAAATACCAACTTTGACGGAACAGATGGCGCTAGCGTAGCAGCTTTTACTTTGACAATAGAGACAGCCTACATCTTTAGTCACTCTGTGACCACGGCTGCTGCATCGGAAACGCCGGGCTGTAGTTACAATAATTATTAAACAAGTTTAACTAATATATTGGGTTGTTCGGAAAGTCATTTCGATTTTTTTTGGGGAACATGAAAGACAGTTTTCGTAATATAAATATTTGATTAAATTATATATTGGCCATTCTGGTTTCGCCGATTTCAGCAACACCTTTTTGCCATCTCGACCTGTGCGTTATTGAAATTGCCGGAATTTGCAAACCAGTTTTGCCTGGGCTCCTTTTAAAACCCCTCTCAACTATAGATATATCATAACCTATAGGACATAATAAACTGTAAATATTTCACGATCTCGTTCCATCGTAGAAAATATTTTTTTGTCTTTGAAATTTACGACCTCTATTGCTCTTATCGAGGGCTTTACTTACATTTTATTTTAATAGGTACTTTTTTACGATATCGGCGGTGCCTTATATGTATACACTGATCAGATGTTAAGAAACTAATTCTTTCCAGAACTTGCACCAGAAGTTACTAAAACTCAAATATTAATTTATCACAGGTGTCCCATTTGTGACAGAAGGTTTAGTCAGAGTTCTAGTGTGACGACCCATATGAGGACTCATTCTGGAGAAAGACCATACCAGTAAGTAATATAACAGCTAATGTCTTTCACTTTGCAAAAAATTAACGAGAAGAGACAGAGAAAAAAAGTACATTACTTACTTTTGATGTTCCTTACGGTCATGTAAAATGGCGGACTCGTTCGATTAGTTGAAACTCTGGACCGATTTTCTACGTTATGACTAGATTTGATAAATATAAAACACTAGCTGAGTCAGCGACTTCGTCCGCGTAGAATAGTTATTTTGGGCAGCTCTATAAATTTAAGCTTTTACCCACGATTTCATCTGTTTCCCGTCGTTCTTGCAAGTTAATCTTAAAAGAGGAGAATTATTCATAGATATGGTTTGAGTATCTTGAACCGTATTTGCAGCGTGCCTTGGTATGATGAATAATTTTCCAAAGTTTTTTCACATCTCTCTTTGTATTTTCGCTTATATTAGTCACAGGGCAATGTTATATAGCCTATAACCTTCCTCGTTAAATGCTCTAACCAAAACAAAATATTTTTTTAATTCGAAACCGTAGTTTTTGAGATTAGCGCGTGCAAACAAACAAACAAACAAATTCTTCAGCTTTATATATTAGTATAGACTACACTTGCTTGCCTAAATATTAAGGTTTTGATAATATTTTCTAAAAAGGTACTTACTATGTTAATGAGAATTGTTCGTGTTCTTAGCTTTTTAATTTTTTACTTATTGCTGGAAAGCATCGGAAGTGTCGGGTATTAAATTACTAAACTGTTTTTTTTTCTGTGTAAAAACCAGACAATACTAAATCTTAACATTATATTTGTTTTATATTTATTACCACAATAGATACTACTAACACGATATAATATATTTCAATTATTAATTACTTTTGGATTTCTATAGTTTCGCCGAGTCTGCTAGTAATGATTAACGTATAAAGTATTTTGCTAACATAAATTTAATTTGTTAAATTAAAAAGCTTATCCTTACCGCTATTTATGTATGTGTGTACTGTATGTGTATAGATGTCGATCGTGCAAAAAGGCGTTCTCAGACAGTTCGACGTTGACGAAACACCTCCGAATCCACTCTGGGGAGAAGCCATACCAGTGCAAGTTGTGTTTACTCAGGTTTGAAGTTTTATACTAGCTATTACGAAAATATCTAAGTACAGTGAAACCTGGTTAATTGGATTCTTTAGGGGCCCAAGACATATGTACCTACCAATTGTTGGGAGTTTACAATTATCCAGTTTTCCAAATAAGCAGTTTTAAACAGTCGACACAGGCCGATGATATGCTTCGACCCCTGACTAAAACCTTCGATTTAAAAGAGTCGGAACTGAAGGTGTATTAATAATCGGAAGTTCCGACTTAACGGAACCGGAGGTGAAGCTTCGTAACATCCCTGCTTCATATAAATTAAAAATCAATTTTATATTGGTTTTTTTTTACGCGTTTAGACCAACGCCACGGAACGCTGATGATGCTAATTCAAATTCTATTCGTGTCGAAAAAAAAATCCAATTTAAAATCGTTTTCTAATTCATTCCATGTGCTTAAATTTGCCTTCGTAATTATTATTACAAGTCATTATATTATTTAACATAACAATATTAATAAACTACTTAACGTCAAATTACTAATTCATTGGTAAGAAAGAAACCCCTCTTAATACTAATCGATTATTACTTTGTAAGCAATTTCTTATTGAGCAAAGATCGTCCATTTTCATAATCCTGAATTTTAAATAATTTTAAAGTAAATTTGCTTTTAAAGCGAAAAGAAGTCAATGTTTTTACATAAAACACTAACGGTTTTCGCGAAATATATTAAGTAGTTAAACTTCTTTAGTTTTCAATCTCCCCGAGACCACAGCAGCTGCAATGCGTTTAGAACGTCGGGCCGTAGTTAAGCATAATTTGTAAACAAGTTTAACTATTTTTCGCGATTTAAACCGTTAGTGTTTGATTTAAATGTGTTTTACTCGCGTAAACTACTGACAATATTTTGTTTCAATCCCACAGATTTTCGCAATCCGGCAATTTGAACAGGCATATGCGGGTGCATGGCAATATATCGGGGGGTATGCTCGGCTGACACATGCATTGCTGTACCATGCATGGATGTCGGTTCAACATTTAGTAGCTATTGCTACACAGCAATTTGTATTGACAAGAATTAAGAACGTTCTAGTTTTTACCGCGTCGTAGTTTGTGACGTTAGACTACGATATGAAAACGCTCAAGCACGTTAACATATTGCATACCTACAAGACGTATTTAACGTCCAGTTATTATTAACAGTGTAAATACTATCAAGGATGTAAATATATCCAGCAGAAACAAAACAACATCGCTGCTGTTTCGGAAAAACCCTACAGTATCTGCTTACCATTAATATCATATCGCAGGGTATATCTTTAATCAATCAAATTATTTATTTAACGCCATCAGTATTAAAAAAGCCAAATTATAGTATTATATAAAGATCTTTTAGTATAGGCGAGATAAAAGATTTTAAGCATTAGTAAGAAAAATCTAAAAATGTTAGCGTAGAAGTATTAAAGTACGTGTATACACAATATTAATACTTTTCTCGCAGGAAAATTAGTATTACTATAGATATGTAGTTTCAATTTAGATGTAAATAAGGCATACTTAGGTCTTTGGTACATGGTACCATGATGTCGTGATAAAGTTTTTATAGTTTATGATTGTAGTATTATATTTAATTATTATATCAATGTTAAGAATCAAAAAGTCAGTAGAATACTTTTATTTTAGTACTTAATTTTATCACCAAGATGATTCTTTATTCCGAACATAAATCATATCTTCTTAATACGTAGGTACATTTCTTTTCGTGTGCAACGCTTTAAGATTAAGGAAACTAGATTCAATGTAAATATTAGTTAGAAATAAGAAGCTGTAAATATATTATACAACTTTAATTTAGTATATTTTGTAAAGTAATTTTAAAAACGCAATCTAGTCAGATATTATGTATAATAATTTTGATGTAAAAACTAAGCACATTATTTTTATTCTTAATGAAGTGGCGGTTTTAAAATTACTAAACCTAATTAAGAATTGATTCAAATCATTTTCTTTGGTAATAGTGTACGAATATACGCAAATAATATTATTTACGTGAAATTTGTGTGTAACATAATATCTATTTCTTGTTAACATCAAACTTAATAGAAATGAAATACCCCAATAATAAACGAAAATACTAAAAAAAACATTCTTTTATTACTTGAGCGGCAAGCGCTGTTTACATTTGTTTTTCGTTTTCTTTTTTATTAAAATTCTTGATATGGATGCAAGTGTGAGTCAAATAAAAATGTATTCATGTTACCATATTGCAATATGAGTTACCACAGATGATACGTTTATGGTTTATATTTGACAATGTACCCACTCAATAAAATTGTCACATCTGAACTTAAAATTTGTAGCTGTATATTGTCAAAAGTGACGTTAGACATATATTACATTTGAGTTTCGATCATTTCTAATTCGGAATTACAATTTCCATTTGTATTACAATTTCTCCAATATCCATTTAATTAACCGAGTTTGAATATAATCCTAGTTGATTAAGGCAATACATTTATATATCTGCATTATATAAACTTCAGTTAACAACTTTCATAAGTGAAGAAAGCGACTAGATACAACTTTTCTGACCACTAATTTCATTCCCTCGTTTATCGCTTCGATCCATAAAGTTACAAAATGACGGAAAGTTCAGTAGATGATGGTGATTTTAGACGAAAAGATTTCATTTGTGGTGTAGTTGAAGGTATGTTTATTTTTAGAAATGCCAATGTTAGTTTTGTACATAAAAATCTATACGTATATCGTTTAGAACACCGGTGTTAATGACCTGTCTATTGTAGGCTTTTACGGCCGTCCCTGGACCACGGAGCAGAGAAAAGATCTGTTTATTAAGTAAGTACCGCTTTTCTATACCACTCTTTTAAACTATATTATTATCTCTCTAAGTAAATAATAATACTTACCACTATACTAAAATGTTTTTCTTCTAACATTCTACTTGTTTACAAGTAATATTTTATACTATAAATAAATAAACCTGGTCTAGAGTAGTCTAAACAATTATTCTCACTTCTATAAATAAAAATAAATAAATAAATCTATATTCTGTGCATTGAATGTATCCTGCCTTGAATTGTTGCTTTTAGTCTTATTACAGCTAAAACTGTTCATACAATTTTTACATTACATTTCAGACTTAAAAAATGGGGTATGGATATGTATGTCTACGCTCCAAAGGATGACTATAAGCATCGAGCTTATTGGAGAGAGCTCTACACTGTGGAGGAAGCTGAACACTTGACTTCTTTGATATCTGAAGCTAAAGCTCAGGGTATAACATTCTGTTATGCATTGTCACCAGGACTTGACATAACATACAGTAGCCAAAAAGAAATAACAACACTTAAGAGAAAGTTGGAACAGGTATGTAGTTTTATGACTCTATTCTATGTTCTATGACTTTCTTTCTTGTAATTAATTTGTGAGCCTTAAAAATGTCATAATGCTTAAAATTGTTATTATCAAGTTATTAATATTTGTTTTATTTAAATAATACAGGTGTCACAGTTTGGGTGTATGTGTTTCTCCCTCCTATTTGATGATATAGAGCCAGAGATGAGTGAAGCTGACAAGCAAATATTTCAAAGTTTTGCACATGCACAGGTAAGGGATATATATTTTTAGCTATAACTGAAATAAAAAATTTACACCTTAGACCTTTGTCTATTTACAAATATATTGGGAGTGATACTTATCCTATATGCGTACATTGTTACTAACATACAAAATCAAATCAAATACTGTTTCAATAGTTGTTTGTTTGAATGTTGTTTAATGGGATTGTAAAATGTGTTTTTTTTTGTCCTTCCAGGTTTCAGTAACAAATGAAATACACCAGCACCTAGGATGTCCCCGATTTCTCCTATGCCCTACACAGTACTGTTCAACTAGAGCTGTACCTACTGTTAACAACTCTGAATATCTTAACACACTAGGAACCAAGCTGTCGCAAGAAATTGATATTATGTGGACAGGTGAGTCAAAGATATTGATACCATAGACACAACATTAATAAGTGTAAACAAGTTCAAGGTTATTTCCTTAGATTTTCCATTGATACAAACCTTGAATGGCATTGTTGTATAATATGGCATACATACTTATGCTTATACTTACTCAACACTTCCCATGTTAGGTATAGGAGATATAATACTGTTCTGTTTCACATACATATTAGGTTTACCAACAGACAACAGACAAGTGAGGCTTTATTGTGCCCCTTTAAAAAAATAAAGTTTTGTTCTTGTAGATTCCAACCCATGATCTTTTGTTTTTAAATGCAGGCAAAATGTAATATGTTTAACAACTTGATCAAGTAAGTGACTGTAGTTGAAAGGTTTTAATGACAAGCTTTCATCTACTATCAGGGAAAATATCACTCAGTTAAGATACAGATTAAGAAATCTTGGTCTAGACTGTTGTATTACATAATTTTATTTTAGGTCCAAAAGTAATATCGAAGACCCTTACAACTGAATGTATTGAAGAAATAACACAGGTGCTAAGACGACCACCGGTCATTTGGGATAATTTGCATGCAAATGATTATGACCAAAAAAGGATATTTTTAGGTAAGTCTTTTACAGTGCTGAGCCTCAAATAAATGTTGTTATAAACATATACGTGAAAGTAACGATCATGCAGAAAACAATCTAATTCTTTAAAATGAAAACATAAAACAATTCCATTTCCAGGTCCCTACTGTGGTAGGTCACCAGAACTTATCCCTTTGCTGCGAGGAGTGCTAACAAATCCTAACTGCGAGTATAATGCAAATATGATTGCTATTAGGACCCTTGCACATTGGGCTAGTTGTAGCTTGGACGCTCCTACACACAGTGAGTATAGTTAGTTACCTTGAAAAAATGGAAGCACATTATGTGGATAGTAGACCAAAGACTGATACATTTTTTATGTTATATTATAATACTACGTTCTTCATACTCCTACCCCATGAACAACTAAAACCATTTCTTAAGTTTGCTTAGATTTTAAACATGAACCTGTGAAAGATATCTTTAGAACGTTTGGATACTAATAATAGTTATATAGAGATGTATATCTCATTTAGAATAAAAACCACCTGCCACTTAATAGATAATGGTAACTTCTGGCAGATAATAAATATTATTTTTAGATGAAGCTGTTTCATGGGATATAAAATTAGAAAGAGAGAGCGAACAAGGTGTATGTGAAGATGATGTGCCTCTCACTCTTGCAAAACATGTCTACCATCATAGGCAGGCTCTAAGGTAAAGCAATGCTAAAATATATATCTGCTTCTGACATCTGATTCATTCATCAGCCCTCTCATTATATGCATTTGCTCTAGGTGAATGTAATTTCAACATTAATACCTATCTTTAAAATTTTTCATCTGCAAAATTGTTCGTCACATTGTACATATTTATAATGATTTTAGACAAGCTATAAATGAGTGGCTCCCAGAGTTTTCCATACCAAAGACGGCCCAGGGACCAGTAATCAAGCCGCAACCAACGGGTAATGTTGACTTTATATTTTTTAAAATTTAGAGGTAATTGACTTAAAATATGATGATGTTATATATATCCATAGATCAATGTACACATACAATATAAAACACAAGTTCAGCTTACTAATCACCGATATTTACTGGTGCCACTTCCTTTAATAGGCATTTCAAAACTTTATTTTTTTTACATATTGCCATTATAAAAATATTTTGTTTTCTTTAAAGATCCGTCTTCTTTGTTAAATAAATAAGTAGGTTCTTGTGTTATAATAATTTAATAAATATATATGGATCGCAAATTCTTGTGAACCTAGCCCCTCTACTACATTCCAGTGCCTCCTGTAGCCATCATACCAATTGTACCATCTGTCAACACTTGCATGTCGTTGGTTAGCACCACAACGACAGCTACAACCAGTACTACAGATAGACCAGCACCACCGGCCATCCCAACTGTAACCACCACACATCTTCAGGGCTTACCAGATATGTGTCATTCACATGTGACACCATCGCTTAGTACTACAGTAAGTCCTTTTCACTTATATTTTAGTATAGTGTTATCATGTGCAAAAAGTATATGAAGTTGCAATAAGCAAATTTCTGCCCAAACTGTTGCTTGCTTGGTGTGTTAAGAAAGAAGTTTCTTGACAAAGAATAGTATTGCATAGTGCAATTAATATTTTTGAGATGTAAACTTAGTTTATGCTAATCAATCATTTTTAACTTATTACTTATATGCAAAAGTAATTGATTCAAAGATTTTAACTAGTCCGTTTAATTGCACTGAAGATTATGTTACTTGTCATGGAAATATGTGCTGTAAGTTCTAAAATTATAAATATTCAAGTATTTACTTTATTGTAATTTAAACATGATTTTCAGATGTCACCAACGGAAACTTTTAACCCGGTCTCAAACCCAGTAATGAACTCCCTAGTATCACCTACAAAGGTCATACTCAATGAATCTATTCCAAACCCCATAATTCCCATGGCCAATTCTAATGTCTCGGTTCCTTCAGAAATACCAGTTTCCACCCTTCCAGTTCCTATCTTAGGACTCAAAACGATAGATGATAAAGATGAAACAATGGATAAGCTGGATGGGAACGAATTGTCCAATGACAGCGTATTGGAGACCAGCTTTATGGATGTAAGGAAAGACGAAGAACAAATTATTGTAGATGATGAGGAACGGAATGGCGAAATGAGCGTTGGAGGTAAGTAACTAATTTCTAAGATATGTTTGCTCTATTAGTCAGTCATTTTAGATAATTCAAGTACATGTAAGTAGTTTACGCGAATAGATACGCTTATAACGACTTAAAGCGCGAAATGTCGGGCCGTAATGTTAATAAATTGTAAAGAAGCTACCTATCACATTTTAACTTTTTAACTAAATTTTTTTTATTGTTTTAAACCGTTAAAAGAGTTTTATTTAAATACATGTAATATTCTAATTACAATAGAAAACTAAGAAATGTATTTTAAATTAATTACACCTTACGTACCTGTATTTAAATATTATGCACAACTTAACCTATAAATGGTAAACATTGATTACCTCAGCTTATATTACTTTTTGCTGTTGTTAACAAATATGTATTCTTTAAATTTTAGACACACCACAAACACTGAGTCCGAGCCGCGTGGTACCAGAAGTGGGATTAGAACCGTTAGATGTTGATCCACCATCAACTAACGCCACAGATTCTGATGTGATTATGAACGACACATACAGTGAGGTAAGGCATATAACAGTCTTAAAAAAGGCTAGCTGATTCTGTCTCTTTCATTCGGATTTTAAATCACATTTGCGAGACGGAGATATAAAATTTAATTTGTTGTGTATTTATTCTTAAGGCAGCATAATGTTGTATGTTTTATGTTATATGATGGGTGTCCTCTATCTTTTGTTATCAGAATGGTTCAATGCAAGTCGAGCCAAGCAGCAGCCCTCTTAGTGGTGATATGATGGTGGAGCAAAACGATGTTACAGATGAGTTAGTGGTTTATTTAAACGAATTTTCTTATACTTACCAATTTTTATATTTGAAACCTTTTATATTTTTCACGTGTTTTTTATTGCGGACCATTGCACATGATGGTTATATAGAATAAAAATCGATTCTGGATTGAAAAAAATTTACGACACGGACCAAATTTTTTTTATTACTATTACTTTGTCAGACATAAATATATATATTATAAATTATAAGAAAAAAATAATATATAAATAATTCCATATATATACGTTCTCATCGATGGAAAGTTCTTGGTATCAGTACTTACTCATATATTTCCGTTATCAGATCATCAGACCCGTTGAACGCTAATCAGCTGACTGAAGACGACCTACTTCTACTCTGTGACCTGTTCTACTTGCCTTTTGAGCATGGTTCGCGTGGTTTGCGAATGTTACACGACTTCCATTGGCTAACGACGCACGCAGCGAGCATCTTACCCCGGGGAAGTAAGCCTGAGGTAAGGAAATATGGAGATTTATTTTTCTTACTGCTGGGATGTTGATCTCTATTTAATTTATAGGGCACGTTTTTTATTGTTTCGATTGGGCAGGAGTACCTCCCAGTAGTAAACTGAATTTAGTACACTACTAAATAAATACTGTTGTATTTGGAACTGGACAAACACAATTGGCGCAATTAAACTAAATGTTATATTAATGCGTATTCTGAAAAAAAATCTTATTGTTATTAAAAAAATTTTTTTCCGAAATAGGAAATAATTAAACGATAATTATAAATAGTTCTTTATGCAACATAGCAAAGACTAATTTTATTTAAAATAATAGACAAGTGAATGGCGTCGTCGTCACCGCCGCTTCACGTGGTGGGCTCACCGAAGCAGGCGACTCGCGCGAAGATTGTCTTTGGCCGCCAATAAAGAACTTCATGCAGAGCTACGGCCTTATCTATGGGATTTGTGCGCAGTTTTGGCGTTGTTATCTGCCTTCTTGAAGTGGTTGGGTGCGTAATCAATCAATCCTAATACATACGTATATCATTAATATCTAGTGCTAATACATAACTTTAATAATTAATTACAAAGATCGCTAAAATTAACAAAGATGCTAAGATAGTATTGTCTTATTATCTTTATTTTTGTCTTTTTCAGAGCTTGGTAAATTTCCTCCAAATATTGCGACCTTCATGCAGGGAAGTTACACATGTAAGTGAATCTTTTCGAATACTTTGTCAAGGTTTATTTATCATAATATACAAACATAGCTTTTTAATGTTCATCTATACAAGTCTTCACACAACTACAAGCTTTATTAGCTTGAAAACTAAACTTTAGTTTTTAGACCTATTTAAACAAATAATTTAACTTTTTATTTGAATTGCTTTTGGAAATATGAAAAATATTTTATTATGACAATGCATTTAAGCGTTATCTAACACTGTTAGTTAAATCCATTTTTTTTTGATTAATTGAGTAATGCTTCTGTTTTATTATTACTAATATTATTTAAAATTTAAGCTGCCTAATGTATTTAAGTGTCCTACTCAAATTTCTCCCTTTTTGTTAATCTTAATCTTTCATTTTGAACTGGAAGACCCCGTAGCACTCCATAGTTCTTAAGTTATTGTTCTATCCTATGTGTGCCAACAGCCAAAGTTATAATAAATAACAACATTCTTTCGACTGTCCTAACATTCGCGTAGGGTTTTCAAAAGGTTGGCGCGAAGCGTTTGAGAGTGGCGCTCAAGAACCGTGGGTGTTCCGCGGAGGGCTTGCTGCAGATTTGCGGCGTCTCGTTCCGTTAGACTGCGGGCCGGATCTGCGGCACTCTTTGCCGAATGCAGTGCTGCCTCCGTTGTTGTGCACCGCACCACAGACTGTCCGCCCCTACACTCCAAGGGATGAAGCTCAGGTGCGTACAAGGTGTATTTATTTCTTACTTGGCATTTTTGGTAAACAAATACACAATTTACATGAAAACGTAATTTTCTCACAAGGTTTATATTGGTTCACACTAAAAACACTTTGAGACACTGGATTATATATTAAAGCAATAAACTACTTCAAATTTAGTTAGTATAAACCACAATTTCATACTAAAATTACTAACAATCCCAAAAATGAATTAAGGCAAATGCACAGGTTAAAATTTCTTTATTGTGACATTTACATGTCAACGATAATAGAAGGTAGAAGTCCCACTCATGCACGATCGCTGAAAAGAGATTTTTTTAGAGAAAGAAGGTTTTGAATATTGAGGTTGTTTGGTCCATATATAATAGATATTTATTTAACGCTGTATCATCTCTGGAAATGACTACACTCTACTTTATTCTTTTAGTTAATAATTTATTATTGTTCGTTTAGGTTTGTATGATATGTCACAAGACCTGCCGCGACGGTGGCGACTGCAGCGACCTGTTTCCCAGTGATCTTCAAAGCTTACCGGCGGATCGGTAAGTTGAAGCCATTAAAAATAAAGACTATCTGTATTTTACGCGGGTAGGAAACGTTAAAAAAATCACTTTAACGGTTTAAAACACGAAATATATTAATGTAACTTATTTACAAATTATTTTAATTACTACAATCAAATAGCTAGCATAGAAAAGTCGATTTTTTCAAGAATGGTACGCGAAGCAATTGAAATAAAGAAACAAGAATTTTAATAGGGACGACGGCCTCAAGTTATCAAAGTCATCGGGCCGTAGTTGTTTTAATTTCTAACTTGGAAATAAGTTTAACTAATATATCTTGCGTCTTAAACTGTTAAAACATCAAACGATTAATATAATAAGATAGAAAAATAAGAAAATATTTACATCTTTAGATTTCCTAATACAAGATTACAATTATATTTTTACGTACTTAGAAGATTTATTTAACATCCTTACCTTATCATTCCTAGTCAATATCAAAAGTGTTTTGTGTTTTTAGGCTAGTAATGCCATTCCTCACTCTGACACCGGAACTGTGTATGGTGATAGAAGATGACGGAGATTGTCCATCGGACGACAATGGTGACGTTGAAGATGATTCTGAAGGCGATAAACCAGAGTCGAGCAATAAAGTTAACGGTAGGTGTTTTAGGGTTGTGAACCTTAATTTCAATACGTCAGGAAAGGTTCAAATTACTTTGCGCTAGACGTTACCTGTAGGACACGTAGCTCAATTGGGTAGAACAGCAACACGGAACGCTATGGATGACAGTTCGAGTCCCATCCGTGTTGTCAAAATTCTTCAAACAAAAGACATTTTGAATTTGTATGAAATTGTTGATCGTGAAAATCTTTCTCCCTTTTGATATTAGCCGCATTAAACCCAACGTATCTTTAGCTGGTGGATTAACTGTATCTGTTTATTTTGCCGATTTTTGTATTAAGTAAATTCCAAGCGTATTACAGTAAAAATCCTCCTAGCATAATTTAATAACCATCGATGTAAAGGCGTAAATTAGATTTTATACTTATATAAATCTTGAGAGAAGTAGGAAACTTAAATCACTCGTGTCGTGTCATTTTAGGCAATAAACCGGAAATCATTGGCTACGCTTGCGCGGCTCTTAACAGTAAGGAGTTCTATAAGAAGCAAGAAATTGCGTGGATACCGGAAATGTGCATCAAATATCCGGAGGAGCTGATACAGAGAGACGATCTCAGTCAAGCTGCTAGCGTAAGTCCCTGAGTTGAATATCGTAACTTTTGTGTCTGGTGCCATATATTTAACCGTGTGAGTTTTTCTCTTTACTCAAATTTTCAGATAGTTGTAGTTATGAAAACTAAAACTTTTAAACAATCGTCAGTGAGGTTATGTGAATTTGTGAATGGCCACATATACGCACTAAATCGGAAATACCTGATTTGGGAAATATTTAGTGCTGGTACAAAGGAGACATATTACAGCTTTTCAGGTCCTGCCGACTGAATTGTCATGTTTTCCCGAGAGCCAAACTCCGGAATATTAACTAAATATACTGTAACAATAAACTGTCATAAAATATCAATACTCTTACTTATAAATGTATATTGATGATGAATGAATGTTGTATTATTATCAATTCATTGAATTTTTATTCCGTTTTTGTTTTGATAGGACTGCATCCGGCACTTCCATCAGTTCAGTACGTTAGAACGTGCTCCGGAGTCGGTGAGCGCCTCTCACCCCGCCTTGTTGACGTGTTGTGTTTTACGTGCTACGAGAGACCCGCATGCGCCGGCGCGCCTGTTGACGTGTCTATTGGCTGCCTTACGGGCTAACGGTACAACATATATTCAGTAAACTTTATATTATAAGAATACCAGATTTAGTTTACAATTTTGACTGACTTGGCTGACTGATTTAGAGTCTCCCAACTTTTTAATTCATGACGTTTTCTTCGACTCCAGGTGCAAACGGTGTCCACGCGTGCATCAATTCGACTGACCATTATCTGCTGCAGTTCTACAATAAACTGGGATTTGTGGAGCTATCTCGTGAAAATGGGCGCGTCTATCTCGCGCGCTCCTTCTAGCGCACATATGTTTACGTCAGAATTGCTACGTTAGGCGTGATACAAAATCTGTTTTAAGTATGTCATATTCAATATACGTTAAAATCAGAAACAAAACAATAACATAAATGCGGAAAAGCATAAGTTAATGTATACATTAACTTAACTTTTTTTGGAATAGTGAGAAACAAAAGTTTTCGAAATATGTAAAGCCAAAATAGTGCGACAGCGTGTCCTTATAATATGTATGTTTATAGGACTGGAGCATCTTACCTTCCACTAAGCGAACCTGACTTTCGTTTCCTCCGTCATATAATAAATTTGCTTCGGTCCAAAGCCTAGTTGTAACTATACTATGAATATAAAAGTTTTCTGTAACGTAAAGCTGCCATTGCTCCGTCATTGAACTAAATAATCTATTTAGTATTGAATAGAAATAATTACAGAATTATTTTTCTGTATATTGCATTACACTAATTTTTTACATTACATCATTAGTCTAAAAATAGCTCATAAAAGTGAAAAACAGAGAAATTACTCTGTGGTTTTCTTAAATAAAAAATTTTTCGAATTAACCTATAATGTCCGTAATAAACTTTTATTAAGAAATAATTTGTCACTGATAGGTCATTTAAATTATAAAACATTTTAAGGCTGTATTTGTAAATATACCATAAACTCATGAATTGTATTTATGTATTTCTTAAAAAAACTTATGTTTATTTAAAATTGACTAACTGTCCAACATCACGAAATAAACGTTCTAATTCTGTAACTTAACTCATCAAAATGTATTTAAGTAATAACTCGCATTATTTTTGCTTTTAAGTATTAAACATTGTATTTCCTTCTATATTAAATAATTGTATGATCAAAATTAAGTTAATTTTCCGAGTTAGTTATAAGAACAAACTCATTAGAATGGAGAATTGTCCTAGTCAAGGCTTTTGGAGACTGAGAGACGTAGGGAATGTGATACTTAGGACATGTTCTGTTACTATGTATATGTACATAATGTATTTCCATCTAGCATTTACTTCGACTATACGCTGCTTAAAAGATACAGATAGCTTAAGATTATAGATAAAAATAAGTATATCTCGTATAATTAATAGTACCTCTAGTACGAATAATTCGAAAGATGAAATACACACAAATGATTTAACATTTACATACAATAATAATCTTGTACTAGGGGCACCGAATGCGATATTGATATCTCTTAACAGGCAAAATAATAATGCAACTCTTAATACTATACATATACCTATGTATGTATTTTATTTTTTAGTAATAGTGCTTAGAAATGCAAAACGGTGTCTTGCTATCATGTAGTGATAGTAATATAAAATATTTATTTCCTAGAAAAACCATTTTGTTAGCTTTGTTTACTAGTTGGTTTTATAAATCATATATATGTATATATTTAATGAAATATAATGACACGCTACATGTAATATGAGAGAGAGTATAAGATTATGTTTCGATTTACTATAATAGTATTGTACTCTATTGCTATTTATAGGTGCCGGCCATCACAGAGAATCAATTAAATCTTTTATTACAAAAATTTGTTTTTTTATTTAAACAATTTAAAATTGTGTAAGAGTTCCTATTATACGATTGTGGTAGGTTAGTTATCAATAGATGGGTTAAGACGGAATAGACAAGTAAAATAAAAGATGAAAAAAGTTTTCAGAAAGGTATTTGTTTTTCTATATCTTTCAAATCATTTATAATTTCTAATCCACAACCGATTTTGAGTTTGTCAATGACAATTCTGTTAATTTCTGTTTGATTTCAGATATCTGAAACAATAAAAGGAATTAATACGTTGTAATTCTGTTTCATAAATTAAAGTCCCGTTGTTCTCCTGACCTTCTGTATTTCATGCAAAAGAACCTTTTGCTCAGTCCTGGGCGTCATTTCATTGGTTTGCAAGTCGATGGCTTCTAAGTTCTCAAACAATTGTTTTATTTTCATCGCTAGGTGAACGTCGCTAGTATTCGTCCTAGGAACGCTAGGCTTAGACCTCCTAACAATGTTTTTCCTGTATTTATCGGGTAAATCCTTTTCAATATCTTCTCTGGTTAAGAATGTCATGTATTCTGGATTCGTGTCGTATGGGTACTGCGGTTCGGAGTAATTCGTAGTATCGTTCGATAAAAACAGTTTACGGTTTTTATAATTTTTCCGCCAGTTGCGAAGAAGTTGCATATTCCTGTTTAAAACGATTATAAACTGTTTAACTCTATTAAAGAACACTTACATAAGTAAATAAATGATGTTAAGAAAGGAAAAAAAAGAATAATTCTATGACGTAACTATAATCAAAAACTAAGATACAATGGAATGTTCATAGTTATTCGAAATTCTTAGCCTGTCTGCAAATATAGCGCTTTTCTATATGTATAACTTTCTGATTGTATCAGAGATTTTTGATTTACATTACAATGTGTACCACCAAAGCAAATACTAACTTTTTGTCCTGAATGATCTTATCGGCTCGAGCGATAAAATCTCTTCGTTTCTTCACTGCGAGATCTTTCAAATGACTTTGTAGAATCCTTTGGTCTTGTTCCGTTTTCCCCGCAGTTCTAATTGGCTGTAAGTACTTTGAACTTTGGGAATGCGGCGTCAATGTTTTCTGCCGACTAATCGCCAATTTCGGGCATTTGCCCTTCAACTTATCATAATACTCACTATCCTCATCTCTTTCGTAAAACTTAACAGATAACTTATTTAGTTTTTTAATGGCACTCCCGTCCAACACCGAGTTGTAACTTCTAGCTTCATTACTCAATATTTCGTCAACCGCTTCAAATTCACTGGCTTTTTCTGAAGAGACGGAATTTACGTCTACCAGATTTGCGAGGAAGTGATTATAAAGAAATTTCAGAATTTTACTAGTTCCCGCGCTTAATATTTCTTTTGGCGGGTAAACTAACGGATTTCCGCTCAATTGAAGTACTTTCAGGCACATTGCAGTGCCTACTTCGTTGGGTAAAGACGTGAGATTATTATTTTGCAATAGTAAATGTGTGAGACAAAGGTGATTTTTTATCGATACTGGAATAGTTTCTAGAGAATTGTCTCGTAAGTCAAGCCATACCAAATTTGGAAATGATGTAAAAAAGTCATTAGGCAATGCCGTAATTTTGTTGTCATGCAAACAAATCATCTAAAATGATAATTATATTATTATTATAATAGGCACATAGCCTTTATAACTACACAATAAACAAAAATTGCTGAATGAAATAAATATACTTACAGTGACTGCCTTATTAGAAGTAAATTTGGGAAATACCTCTAAATTTCTGGACGATAACTCAATGGTTGTTTCAGAATCATAATCTTGGTAATGATCAAAAGGATAAATATCACCCATGATCTCTGCGTATACATAGAATAGAAAAAAATATGTTTGTTTGATCAATAAAGAGCGCGAAGTTTCGTACAATATTCTAAAATGGCAATTGGCGCCATGTTTACAAGTATCAATATTTTTTACAATTTTTTGTAATCTTTTTACATACATATCTTGTTTCCTTCTTAAACATTATTATTAAGAAGAAAAATATAACGGGACAATTTATAAATACTCCAAACGGTAAAAATTACAACTAATACCACAAATATATCTTTTTAATCTGTGGAAAGCAGGCAACACTATCTGTTCTAAAATGTTACTGACATTAGCAATCTGACAACAAACAACATCAACATGGTCTAAACGTCATTGGTGCAGTTACAAGATGGCGAACGTTCGGGATAGTGATACATCTTTGTGGCTGCACAATAAACTCGGAACTTCGAATGATTCGTGGACTACTGGATCAATTTGTACACAACTAAACGCCGAAGTTTTAAAAAATATCAAGGATTGTTTTCCGGACTTGCAAACACAAGTGAAACTTAAATTATTGCTGAGTTTCTTTCATATCCCGCGCAGAAATGTTGAAGAGGTAACTTTTCTTTCTGTTCTATGGTTTTGCGTAACTAGATGACGTATTGCGTCTCTTTCGTATCTATGTGGATTTAAATTGGAATGAGTGAGATCAAAAATACGTAAATAAAATCAACTTTGTTGTTTTAATTTAATATAGTTTTTGAAGACTATTAATAAATTTGAATGAACTAAAAATCACTAAGGCCTAAAGCATAACATGTTTAATATAAATAGAAGCTTGGTGTTCTGTTTTTTAACCCACGTCGTTCTATAAAATCCAAAACATAATTTGTATTATTTATTTTTATGCTAATTTGTGTTGATATTATTACGATTTTAACAATAGTATATTTTATCAAGCACTTGTTTTGATGTTCATTACAGCAATAATATGCATTAAGCTGAAATTCCCATGTAATATAGGTTAGACATGTGTATGCACAAATTTCAACAAATAATTATTAATTTGCATTCCTTAATTCATATAAAATGATTAAATATCAATCTCTTTAAATCTTATACAATATTTATCATAGGTTTAATATGTAAATATACACACTATTAGCCACATTGCTATATATTAGTTATAGTTAAAGTTGCTCAAAGAACGGACAATGTTTCAATATTTTATTTATTTTTTTACTTAAATCAGATTATCATATTGTGCATACCATTCTTATCTTCATCATCCAATTATTACATATCTTCTTTTTTTATATTATAAAGCTAAAATAAATGAAGTCTTGTGTCTTGGATGATGATAAAAATATTTTTTTTTCAGTGGAAAAATGAATTGGAAGAGATTATTGAAGTGGCAGCTGTTGATTCTGACTTATGGGTCGCCATGCTTGCAGAAGTCCTTAAGACATTTCCATCTGCGGGAACTCTCAATACAGAGATAGCAGAGTTTGATGAAACTAGACCAATATTCAGTGATATGATTAATGAGCTGCGAAAATCGTTGGCAAAACATTCTGATCTTGGACTGTTACCACTTGAGTGCCTATATTTAAACAAAAATGCCTTAGTTTCAGTGGTGAGTGGCTAAAAACATATACTATAGATATGATTACTATGCTTTTAAAAAGATATTATTTACTTAAGTCGTAATTACTAAGTATTTACAAAAATAATATTTTCTTCTTACATTACAAAAGCAGAAAGTTATTTCTATGAATTATAATACTGATTAATGATTATAGAAATGCAAAATAATATAATAAAAAAGATACTTTTTATAATTATTTTGTTATTTGCTCTTGTTATTTGCTCTTTGTCTTTGAAAAATAGTTCAAATTTTTTGTTGTCCTTGAAGGTACTAGCTAGTTCTGATGCAACACTGTACAAATCAATAATGTTTGATACAATGTTAAATGATTGCAATATTTTACACTAGCTTCACCCTGCGATGTTACTTTCTTTCAATTCATCAAACAATTAAATTAAATTCTTAAATTTTTAATTAAAATTAAATTCTTTTAATCAGAAACAAAAAAGTTCAAATTTAGCACTTTTAAGACTCTGTTCTGTAATACACAATAAAGTCCATATTATTATTTTTTTATTGCAGGTGGGGCAACAGCCCAATCCAGTGAAACATTTTACACTAAAACGCAAGCCCAAATCTGTAGCATTAAGGAGTGAGTTGCTCACAAAAGCGGCCGAAGTACAAGCAAACCAAAAGAAAGCACAGGCTCCTACTGTGCCTGTTAGAAGTCGAGGGATGCCTAGGAAAATGACTGATACAAGTAACAATACATTCTTATCTTTACTTATCAAAACGACTTAGAATATTCTTATTTGTGTTTTAAATTTTTTTAGTGATATTGGGGTTATTTTTAGGATAAGTGTTGCTTGGTCTTTAAGAAATCAATGCTAGATGACCTGCTAACGATTAGTTAAAAGTTCCCTTTAGTTATTCACTTAATTTTACAAAAACATATTTTCTCTTAGCTCCATTAAAGGGTCTACCATCCCGGTGGGCAGCAAGGACCGGGGCAAGAGTGCCACCTGTACCCCGCCCACCGCCCCGGTCTGGCATCAAACTCCTGGATATTACGGAACAACCGGCTACACATGCGCAAATCAAAAAGAGAAGAAAGCTCGGTTAGAATGTCATGTTTATATCTTTACTTGTCAATGAATCTAAGTCTATATTTTTGGTGAAATGTGGTTGTAAATAAGTTATTATAATTGTCTTGTGTACTTAGTAACAAAATCAAATAAAATAAGTAATAGGTCAGATTACTTAAACCATGTGGTATTTTTTTAGAAATGGAGGAAGGTGTCAAAAAGCCTCCGCCATCTACGTCACCGCCGCCCGACTTCAAAAATGTCAAGAATGAGGAACAACCTGCAAGTAAGTGATATATTGATTTTCAAATAATATTTTAAATTAATTTAATTTTTAAATAATAATGGACATGTCAAAAATTCGGTTTGTTAGTAGTGTATTAGATAATGCCAAAAATCAAGCATAAAATAGTTACGGTGTTGATAAGTGGACCCTAAAAATAGAACGTCAAATAAAGATTCCTTGGCTTACTTGTAATATTTATAAAACGCTCTTCTCACAGCAACAAGCACAGAAGCAAACCCCGAAGCAGAAACGAACGAAGCGACAGAAGCGCCATCTTCACCACAAGGGCAGCAACAGGCGCCTTCATTAACGCAACCACTCTCACAACCACCTCCACTCTTAATACAACAGGTAACACCCTCATTTTTAATTTCAAGCACATTAGAACTATTTTATCAACTTCTGTCGTAGTAGTTTCATTGTATTTGTTGTTTTTACATAATTCATAATTAAAACACGTGAGTATTCTGGTTTAAAATTAATACACTTAAGTGGTTTAATAATTAATACCAATAATGGTTTATAACGCGAAGTATATTAACTTTTTAAATTTATTTAAACTACTCCCTGATGTTTTGGTAGCTTTGCTTTGGTGCTACTAACTTTCAAAACGCTAAAAGTTGAATAGTTGGAGTAAAAAAAAATAATACATCTCCGTTTTTTTACTGCATAAACATTGCAATTTAAATATGTTTATTAAATTTAAGTTTTTTTTGGTGTCAGGGTGCTGCCGGCACAGGAGTGAAACCTCTTGTGGTGGGCGGGCAAGCGCCCAAGCTTCTCATAGCGGGCGGGAAACCAGTACTTGTTTCTGCCCAAAATCTTCTCAACACCTCAGCTCTCATACTACAGCAGGGCGGAAAGACAGTATTACTACAAAACGTCAAACCCGTAAGAATCAGACATAATTCTATATCTATAATAAGACATTCATGTACATCCAAGCATTTTTTAATATATTTATTTAAACCACCTATAAAGACAGTAGTTTCACAAAGACGTTAGCATGTACTTTAGTTTATCTTGTAATCTTAGTAAATAAAAGCACATATGTTAATACTCATTTTATTATTTTAAAAACCAAAATAGTTAAAAATTTATTAATTTAAGTGCATGATACTTTTTAGGTGACACAGCAAGTAGTGCAACAACCTCAACAGCCTTTACAACAACATACGATAGCACATCCGGTAATTTTTAGTTTATATTTCAATTTGTATTCATTTAAACATACCTAATGCCATATTAATCAGTCTGTCTGTTTTTTTCACTCTAAGTTTTGAGTGGGGAAATAGTGTCGTAGTTTTAAGAAAAAATATATTTCTACTAAATTCGTCATCATGTTTGTAAAAAGTCAAAGGTTGTACAGTATCCAACTTAATTTGTTAACATTTATGCTTAAAATAAAACGATTCTGTTGCGTTAATTTAGACTTTGTCTGTCGATTTTATTTTAATGAGAATTAACGTTTGCAGGTTCAAATTCAACAGCCTGTGCAGCAAATCCAGACTGCGACACAACAAGCGCAGTCCCAACCTCAACAAGGACAGCAACAAACACAGCAGACGCCGCAAGCACAGAGCCAACCGCAGTTGCTGCCGCGTAGAGGACTTTCGCTCACGGTAAGATATTTATTTCAATTGCAAATTTAAAATATTTAGATTAGATATTATGATATCTTGTCACTTATGACAAATCCACCAGATTGTGCATGACCCAGCTCCATAGACCTGGGTCTGCACAAATTATATTCAAGATCACAAAATGAAGATTTTTTTTTGATTACAAACCATTTCTTACCTAACTCATGACATATTTTATTCTAAATACACAATTGAAACTTAATTTCTCGTTAAATTATAGTGTCTGATCTAATATGAATTGTTTTACAGCGTGAACAAATGTTGGAAGCACAGGATATGTTCCGAAATGCAAACAGAGTCACCAGGCCAGAAAAGGCTCTCATACTCGGCTTTATGGCTGGGTCTAGAGGTAACTAAACTTTTTATAAAGACAAGGTTATCAATAATAAATAGTTTCTAAATTTAAGTTCTGTGCTTTCTAAAAATCTAAAAAGAAACTAAAATCTAAAAATCGATTTCTAAATTATACAGTGCCATCATGTGAAAAATATTAAAGTTTTCTGTGCTTTTTTTTTTTTCAGATAATCCATGTCCAAATCTTGGTAACATTGTGACAATAAAACTCTCAGAAAATATAGAGAATGTTCTCCAGTCTGACGACACCTACTTGACCATGTTATCAGAGATGCACTTCCAAATGAACTATAACAATGGCCAATGGACGAGGCTCAAGAAATACCGTCATATAGATGGCATGCTACCACAGAAAGTGAGTAAATAATAGATGAGATTTATTTGAGGTACCTCTACAGTGGTATTTTAAAAATTAAAAAATTGAAAATATATGTGCAGGAAATAAATAAATTACAAGTAAACAAAGCAAAGTTAATAGATACATTTGGAGGGTAGATTTTTTTCACTTGGAATATTGTTGCCTTTTGTTTCAGATAAGGTTTTTGAGAGTTAATTTTCCTTCTTATTGTTTTGATAATATAATATATAATGACATTTATGTAACACGAAATATTATGAAAATAGATAAGTGTATATTTGAATATTCTGTTACAGATACCACCAGGTTCCACAGTGATATCAGCAAATAATCAACAGCCTGTTGTGTCTATAGCCAACCAAAGTGTTAGTTAAGTGACATTAGTAAAAAGTGCCAGTGGAAAGTGACTTTTTGGATTGTAATCCAAATAAGTAGCAGATGACAGGGAAGTTGGATTCTCAAAGTTATCTGTACTTGATATACAGTGCTGCTGGAAATGGCATACAATTAGAACAAGTAATAGACTCAAGTTCCATTCATAACCGCAAGTGAAGTATTGTTGTTATCCATGAACTTGACTATAATGGTACAAATACTGGTCTGTGAAAATTGTATCCATGACAACCGCTGTTAACCGTTTTATTGGTAATTTTACGCTATGATTCTGTTTAAGTAGTATGATCTGTGTGAGGAGACATTTATGGAGGTAATATTTCTTGTTATAAGGCTTATTTTTCTTACTTATTAACTATGATATATTTATATTCTTTCTGGCTTATATTTGTGACTAAATGTTGATTGGGGCTCTAAAGATATATTTTAATCTACATGGACGTTATTAGTTTCTCCAAATTTGACACATCATATCTTCAAGCCCTGACCATACATTTAAATTAATTATAAACAATTATGTGTTATGTGCCAAATTGTTTTGCTGTGTTGAACACTTTAGAATTATGGAATCACTAGTAGTATGTATAGAGCTAATCTGGCTTAACACAAACTCCATGATTAGCAAATGCCTTAGACTTATTTATACTTAATCTCATTAGCTGCAATAGACAAGTATAGCAATCAGTGTATGGTGGCTTCATTATTGTAGGACTGGCAAGCTTATCCACATCACCTATATTTTAAATATGATCTGAGTAAGGGAGCAATTTCTATAAAAGGCAAATTCTGGCGGGCAATTCTCAACAAAGACTTACTGAGATGTTTACTTTTGTCTAGCGCATATCCATATTCACTTAGCTGAGGATTGCTATCCAGTATTAAAGTAAATATTTTTACTTTTATAAGATCAACATAATGTATACAATAGATACAGTTTAAGGGGTGAATAGGAATTGTGATGTATAAATATATTATGTAATTGTCCTGGCAATATGATAGCAGCACATATATGTATATTATTTTTACAGAATTACCCCATAATTGAACGAACCTAATGATATAAAAATTAAACAAAAGAAAACTCATAATAAATAATTTTTTAAACATATATTATCGAGTATATACAACCAGATGAGTAAATAAATATTAAAACTGCTGATGCAGTTACCTAAAAATAGGAAAGTTGTTATGATATGGCAACACTGATGTAGACTTCATGTATTCTATTCTGCTATTTGCAATGGCAATTACCATTTTATGTGTGATACATTAGTATGTGTAGTGGTCTTTGGGATTCTACTAACTTTTTTTTTTTCGAATTTTTACGAACAATTGACGGCGAGTGGAATATAATTTATTGTAATGACGTCACGATGTTGAGTATCTCTGGCATGGAGTCGATTCGAGTACATGAAGCAGTAAAATTATGTCCTAGATCGCTTCATATATCAAATGTTTGTACTTTAAGCTTGTTGACCAAATGCGCTGTGAAATTCTATTGCCGAAATAGCCTTCGAATGTGTTCGTGTATACAGTATTATATGGACCATATATACTTTGGTCGTTATCAATGATACTAAAAAAATTGTTTCATGCAATGTTTTATTTACGTCACGTTAAGATGTCATAATAAGGTCCCATCTGCACCAAGAGGTTTACCCCAAAAAAATATGTATGGTAATTATCGCGCTTAAATTCGATCGCCGCACGGTTGGTGTAGGCTTCCAAAACCGTTATCAAAAAATTTAATGTTCTTATTTTTAACGTTTTGATATGGTGTTATCATTTGAAACCTAAACTTACCATCAACTGACGTCACAGAACCGAAACGGTTAAGTGGTACTGTTGGAATTCACGATTTTTTACTATATTCTATGACACAATAATGATATAAATTGATTGTTATTAAAAAATGAAGTATAATTACTATTGCGAAAAAATTTAAAATAATATTTTTATAACTTACAGTCTAAGAAACAACCAATCCTATTACATGATATGTCCATACAAAATCTTTGGAACTTCGGCGCGAATTAGTGCCTTGATTTTTGTTTATATAAAAACAAAGGCTGAATATGTGTTTTAAATGTTATTTGACACAGATGCGTGTCGTGAACGGCTACGTCGGTAATTTTTAATATGCAAACCGATTTTGGACTTGGAATTTTAGTTTAGGCGGAGGGAACTTCGAGCTTGATTTTTTTAATAGAAAGTATCTTTTTCTTACTTTCCAAGACAGTGTAATTGTCAAGTCTACGTATCAGAAATATAAATAGAATTTAATACTTTCAATACTGAAATTTCATGTGTCCAAATAAAGCCACGACCAGTCTCATGATTTAAATCATTTTCACGACATACAAAATATACAGACTATAAATACATTTTCAACGACATGTATGCTACCATTGTCAAATAGAATTAAGTTTTTTTTTATAGAGAATAGAAGAGATTTCTATGAGTGTTAAGTTAGTTTTAATTTTTGTTGTACGATTTCTATTTAATATTATCACTCTGTATATAGTAGATAGTACAAAATATTAAAGGAAAAACATATTTGAAAGCGTATTTTTATTGTTCATCATATTTCCTAATCTAGATGTGAAATGTGTTTACAAAAATATTGGTCAAAATAAGCGCCATAACATAATCTGTAAATTAACTATTGGCGTCGATTCGTTGTCTATAGCTGTCTACTAGAGGGAGACACCGGTACATTGCTGGAATTAAATTATTATTGTTTAAAAATGTTTTTAACACATAGAAATGATTATGATAAGATAATAGATTTTAACTTATGAGAGTTCGGGTTTCGAGTTATGGAGTTCCATAACTCGAAGCCAGTTGGCTTTCTCGTGAATTAAATGAATTAGAGAAACGCATATGAACTTTGTCCCAAGCTATAGGGTGAATTTCGTTGTGAGAAAGAAAATATATTGAAATTGTGAACAATTAAATATGTAGGACTTACCAAAAAGGAACGCAACTTCAGGCACAAAAATCACCAAGCTCCATGCACCTTCTTTTTCATAACGGTACAGAAACCCCAATATTGACACCACGAAACCCATCACGATGAAAGCCAACGTATACCATAAGTATATTTGAAGGAGCCAGGCATATTCCTAAACAAGTTATTATTAATATATATATCGAAACGTAAATCTTAATTGGTTATTGTTTTTATCACTTTATTTATCGTGCTAATTAAAGTAAGAAAAAATATTTAAACTCCAAGCATAAATCAAAAAATATGAGAATAATTTTCTTATAAGAAAAACAAAGTGTCGAGGTACAATTTGTCCTACATGACTATACGCTTATTATGTTAGGTATTCTAATTAGAACATCAGTTAACACACACATCACACTACTTTTTTGCAAATATAATAAATAATGGATCGTCGATTTGTTTCCCACTAGGTTAAGCATGTTTTTATATCGCTTATATTTTTTTACATGATTAAAACAGAGTTAAAGTTCAATTATGTACCCAGAGAACATCTGGGTTTGGAACAATTGGAGTAAGAAATACCTATGAAACATCCGGTAGGGCCACCAACCACTGATGGAATACCCAGAAGTTTGGGTTTATACCGTAAATTTCTCAATAGATATCCATTCTACCTTTCATCGCGTGAACCCTTTACTTGTGGTCCTCTGTTACGAGAAATACTCTAATCACACTCACGACAATTGATCCTAGCAACAAGAGCATATTGGCCATTTGAAAGAATGTAAGTAAAAGACTTCTGAAGGAATCTACGCGACTTCGTACCGCGCATCTATCTGTGTTATCGTTAGACATTATATCAAATATACAGCCAACCTGAAAAAAATACTTGTTAAATGAACGCGAGTTCCTAAACAGGACAAGATACTGACACATTTAAGTACGAATAAAGACTGTAGTCTAGTAAAAATAAAATATAAAACATTTTAAACAGTTTAAAAGGGTAGTTATTGACTACGAGCCTACGTCCCACCTGCTTTGTAGTAGTGGTCGCGGCAAATGTAAATATTTACTATGTTTTTTTATTTCATTGCATTTACAAAGACCAAAGCAAGGAAAAAAAGAGAACTCTAGTACATAAAGAAAAGCAACAAATGATATTAAAGTTGTTATACTTGTCCTATGATAGATATAAGAGCCACACTGCCCCTTGGTGATAGACAACAGCACTGACCGTCTTCACACAAAGTTATTTCGAAAAGACTGTCTAGAACATTAGGTTTTTCCATACTCAAGCTCTTATTTGCTATTAATCCGCTTTTAATTGCTTAGAGTAGACTTAAACAACAAACGAACTTATTCGTTATGACATGTTTTATAAGATAGAGTCAACCAAGAAAAAGATTTTTGAGAAAACCAGAGATAAGGTTTGTAATCACGCCAGAATTACTAACGATGATTTATTTCTATATACTACCTGTATGGCATTAGTCTGGTCGAAAACACGTTAAAAATAACAATCTTCTTGGAATGTTTGTTTTTGACGAACGTCAAAGCTAATTTCACGTTGTCATACGTTTTTATTTTCGACAAAAAATTAATATGATGCATATTTTAAGGATATTAATAGTGATATACTTCATTAAGAGCTCTTGGGCAGGTGATGAAAATCAAGGTTTGATGTATAGATAATAATACTAGCTCTAATAATGTGTTATCATTATGCCTCATAAATTCGTAGATTAGTAATCTATGGATTGCTAAGAAAATTTACATGTTTATATTTACCCTCAGATCCTGACTCGATTTCACCCCACGTCAGAAACTTGGAGAACATAATAAGCAACATCGAGAGTCTCACTTTGCAAGCTGAGAAGTCTCGTCTTGAAGGTATACTGCCTATCGAAGAAACCAATAAGCTTTTAAACAGCATAGCCAAATCCATGGCCGCTTTAACTGAAATGATTTCTGCTAAAAATAACACGTATGCTTTCTTCAAATTAAACGCCGTTGATAGAATTTTAATTCCCAATATCAGGTCTGTTTACCTTCCCCTTCGCGGTCAGTTTCTTATTCTTATCAAAACACTGTTTAGCACAGCTCCAACAACGTCGAGGAATTTATTACCTATTAACATAGTTGACATGTTACTGGACGTGTTTGAGAATGATGACGATCTAGCATTAAAAGCTCACGCGTTAGATATTTTGTACGAATGGCTACCAAATAGCCCAAAATTGCAAGCACGGGTCATGAAATTAAAAGGCCTAGAACCGTTTTACAACCAAATATCAAAGTTGGACACAGACGTTGTATTAAAGCTACTGGATCTCTTCAATACAATATTGGAAGAACATTTGCAAGCGCGAAACAAAGATCAAAGGAACAGGGGCGATTTTGAAAATTATAAACTCTACCAAATGATCGGTTTGGTCGAACGGATGTCGACTGGTACTGTTTGTAATGGCTTGCTCAATATATTCAAAGCTACAACCGCGTTTAGTGATAACAACGAAGAAATACTAGCGCCCGTATTCAAGCTTATGAAAAATATAAAACCTTATTGTATTGAATTGTACCTGGGCAAGAGTTCTGCGGTAGAAGTATTTGCTGATATCACGAAGTATATAAAGGACAATGAGGATATTGATTTCAAAGGTCTCGGTTTGAACATAACGGAAATAAAAATGATTTTAAATGACTATAATCAACAATTACGGGAATATTTTAAGGATGAATTGTGATGTATAAGTCAATGTTGATGTTAATATTGTGTTGATTATTTTAGTTATGTCTTAATAAATAAAGAATTATTCAAGTTTAAGTTAATTACAGTCCAAACCTTTCATATGTTTTCGCGAGCATTGTAATAAATATTTGTTTTACTTATATTCACAAAAGGCGAACGCTCGCGCCATTTTGAAAAAAATATCTGTTTAATATTGTATGATTTTGTGTTCGTTTTGATTTTGACGTTAGCGAGAGTATCTAGGATAAGATATTGTTACGATGTAGTTTTATTTTAAAACAGTAATTATACTAAACATATAAATAAACTAAATACCTGACTTGTCCATGTTAAATAAATATTCGCTTACACTAGTCGGCGATACATTTTTGTGTTGGATTTTACGTTAATTTGGCTTTACTATAGGATTTTTTTGGTTTTTTGTTAACTTTACTTAATCTTTATGAAATTACGTGTTTACTAATTATCGTATTGAGATTTTTTAAGTAATCGCAATATTATTTGATTGATTAATCAACAGAAATTTGTAAACCAACAATTGGTACTATAAAGTTTCATAATAGTGCTTCAAAGCTAACAGCCAATACAATTACACTCGGTGTATTGTCAGGCATTAATATATAACACAATTACAATGTACGAGGACCCTCAACGGTTAGATATCGACCGCAAATAATTTTGATCCACCATTGTGCAACGCAGTAGACAGGGCACAAAGCTGCTGCCTCAATTGTTGCTCCATGATTTATTGTTCAGAACGCTGACTGGATCTGTTGCTACTTAATTTATTAGGAATACTGTATCATTTTTATTCTAGTCTAATAGAATAGGTAGGTAGGTCTGGGCTTAAAAAGAGCAGAGTTCATCTGATTTCATGATTATTAACTGATTTTTATAACTACCCAGCGTAATTTTTTAATCTATTTATTTAGATTAAAAAAATTACGGCACTGGCGGGACTTGACTCCAGCTTGTGGTATCGTATCTTCTTGAGATCATTTTTTTGTTTACGACTGTTTTTATATAATTCGTAGCGCCTTACATAAATCATATACATACTAGTAATAGATACAGAAACGTACTAAATATCCACGCCAAGTTAATGTCTCTAGTACACGTAATTTGCCGCTTGACAAATATAGTGAAATCTTGTTTTCTCTGGGTAAGGTATGGGACGGTCCCATTTCTATATTTGTTTTATTGATCGATGTAATTGGTCAGACCTTTACAGACGGCCCGACTGAAATGACTAGGTTTTCTCGACACCTCATTCTTGAGAGGTGTTATTAGGCAGTGCGCTTAATGGCCTTCTTAAAACGCAATGTACATTAGTTAACTAGGATTTTTTTAATTACGGCCCGACGTTTCCATATTTAGTCTCCCCGTGACGAGGGCTGCTACAAAGCATCCGAAACGTCGGGCCGTAGTTAAATAAAATCCAAATAAGTTTTACTACTGCACATCGCGTTTAAAACCTAAAAGTTTAAATTTAAACTATTAGTTGTTCTTAATTCGTATCATGAGTGTCTATCAAAAGTTTTCCACCCTACTCGAACGCAGGTAAATCTATTACTTAGCGTTTTTATTCAAGTTAAACCGCAATTAATTTATTATAGCTTCAATGACACGTCATTAGAATCAATCACCTTGGGTGGTCGCCATTTTGTTTCTTTTGTGCTTCTTCCTTCCGGTCGCAATTGTGGTAACTCAAAATTAAAATGTTTTCAATATAAATTGAACTATATTAAAAGTTTACCATTTATCAAATACTGAGCAAGTTTGGTTGAAGTAACAGATTTAGTTAACAATACAGTAGCTACTTAGATGCATGGACGAAAGTAATTTAGTATAAATTAAAAAGAGATGCAATATTCCAATTACTTCTAGCATGCAATGCTTTTCAGAAACTTAATGTATTATGCGGAAACTTCTTAGAAATCGAACCATAACGCTTAATGATAGTGCTGTTGTTTTTTTACCTTTTTATATAGTACTTGCTGAGCCGGTAAATATTTGTCTTGTAATATAAATAATTTTACTAAAATGTGTAGTAAAAAATAGGGGTTGATCGTAGGGGGGGGATTATTGGGGGGTTTTTTTTTTTTTTTTTTTTTTTTCTCCTCAAAAAAAAAAATTAATTTTTTTCCCAAAAAAAAATAAAAAAATTAAAGGGGAAAACCCCCCCCCCCCCCGGGGGGGGGGGGAGGGGTGGGGGGCTTTTCCCCCCCCCCCCCCCCCCCCCTTTTTTTTTTGGGGGGGGGGGGGGGGGGGGTGCGGGGGGGGGGGGGGTGGGGGCCCCCCCCCCCCCCCATTTTTTTTTTTTTTTTTGGGGGGGGGGGGTGGGGGTTGTTCCTCCTTTTTTTTTATGATAGAGCAAAACAGACAAACAGCCATATAAAATCTAAATCGCGCTGTAGACCTATTTTGGGTTCGGATATTACGAAATCCATAGACTGAAACCGAAACGCGATTTAACTTCACCGCTTTTTCTTCTGTGGACTGTGGTGGTTCGTGACCCGGACGGAATTGAGATGTGCCTACTTCCCATTGTATATACATTATTAAATACTGTTCTAACGCTTGACATCCAAACTGCCAAGTTAAAAATATTTTAAATAATTTAACTAATATATGCGTTTTAAACCGTTAAAGTGTTTTATTTAAATACAGATTATTAGACAAAGTCCGACATGTTTCAGAAAAATTATAAATTGATTAGAAACACTTTGAAACAACATTATTAACGACAATTTGCTGCGTTTACACTAACAAGCCCGTCAAAGTTTAACAATAATATAAAGTTATATGTACCTAAATCTATATATATAGGTAAATCGTGATCTAATCAGAAACGAGGAGATTCGTAGGAGTACTAAAGTCACGAACATAGCCCATCAAATTGGCAAGCTGAAGTGGCAGTGGGCTGGGCACATCCTCTGGACCCGTCGAAAACGGGACGAGCTCCCACCAGGTGGACCGACGACCTGGTCAAGGTAGCAAGCATTCAACTAACGAACGACTGGTCGTACCAGGGAGGCCTATGTCCAGTAGTGGACACCGAACGTCTGAATCGATATCGATATGGGGTAAATACTAAGAGCTTTGAAATTAATGTTATATTTAACAATAAGATACATTCGCTAAATCGTGGGAGTACAGCAAGGTGTAACAAGTCGCAGAGCTTGATTAAACATCGACAAAAATCGTATCAAATCGATCACTTTTTAGGCGGTAAACAAAAAAGCGTCGCCCATTCAACTGTCAAACGTCAAACGCCTAAAAATTTGGCGCGCAACCTGCCCGAACGAATTGGGAAAAGTTCAAGTGCTGCCCGTGAGAATAAACCTGCAGTTTTTTTGCATTTTACGTAACAATCATGAATGGACATTGTACTGTAGTGGCCTCAGCAAATAACGTCATTTGTATTATGAACGCAATCTTTAGCGTACTTTATTTTAACTTAGGGTATGTATAAATTATGGGTTAAAGAGAATATATTTGTTTGAAATTGTACTTACATATTAAGTACGTAAGTTCTTTATTCAAAACTTTTGATTCGATACATATAAATTATACTTATGATATCGTGGGACTCATGGGAAATGACATAGGCTACTTTTTAATGCCAAAAAAGGATTGATAGGGGTTGAAAAGGGGGGTGAAAGTTTATATGGAAATTCGTGGTATTTGAAGCTAGAACAATGAAACTTTCTTCTTTGGCTTTTTGAAAATAGGAGTGGGAGTGGGAGTGAGTGTAGGATTGGGAGTGGGAGTTAGATAGGAGTGATGTGAGGTGAGAGTGTGCGGCAAACTAATAAATTAATAAACAGCCTCAATAATTAAAGATTCTACCCCAAGTACTATTCACGGCTGGGCGGAGTGCAAGGTAGTAGGTTAATAAAAGGGACGATGACGTCGACAGCCGGAACGTTAAGGACACGTTGAGGAGGTTCGAGTCCTGCCCATGTCGTATAATGTTTAATAAACGATTTTTAATTAAAATTGATTTTTAATTTAATAATTGTCAATCCCAAATGTAAATAATTATCCCGAACTTATGCAATAGTGTGGTCGTACTTGCATAATTGGCTTGCAGTAGCCAGGTAATAAAAATTTCTAAGCGTAGGCGTGACAAAGCCCACCTGACTAAAATTCCCAAGCCACGGTCATTAATTCTTACTAATTTATGGACGTAGGCTAAAAAAACGCTATTATTATATTAAATAATATCTTCAATTAAAAAAAATCGTGTTATCTTTGCGATTCACTAGTAAAATTATTTTGTTAAGTACTATATATATTATAGTACTGTATAATATACTTGTTTTTCAAAACTAGGTTTAAGTGTGTAAATTGTATCATTTATTTTCACAGAAAAGTTATAATTTCGTTACAAATATGATTATGATGACGATACAAGTGGTTCATTGTCGGCTCGTTTGTCATTGGTTTAGCACGAATTACAACTTTTTACCTTCAAAGTTTTTCTATGCTTGTCTAGCCTACAATGTCAATAATATCATTATAAATAATATTACGAACAAAGAGGTATTTTCGTCTACTATGTTTACGATTACTTTATAACATGTTTTTTTATAAATTGTAATTTTTCTTTGCAATTTCTATAATCTTATTAATAAATATCAACCCCAACAGAACGCCAACCTTGCCATATTTAGGCTATCTTTGTAAACCTGAATGAAATTCTTCGACAACTTCCCACAGACAATAAATGTTTACACTGGATCGGTCATTAATTTGAAGCGAAACCTTTCATTCAGGTTAAGCTCACCTGCCCGCGTCCTAAACATTTTTTATTCTGTGATATCAATAAATTTTTGATTCAACGAATTTGTAAGATAGTAGGCGGGTTAACACATTTAAATAAAAAATATCAAAGCACATTTTTTGGACGGCTCGATATTTTTATTTGTTCAGCGCAGTTTTTCCCACAGTATCAGCAGGCTAGAAATGCAAAATTGTAGACAAATATATTATTGCAAAAGTGAAACCTTAAGGTAAAATTATATCTTTAAGTAATATTTGTAATTAATTTATTGAAAATAAATAATGATAAAGTGTAAGCTACATATAATGTAATATATGCTAGCTTTATATATAATAAAATTATCGAAGAGTGTGTTGTGCGTGTAATTTAACATTTAAACTAATATGAAATGTGTCAATTCTCGAACTGTGCGGCGGAAGTTGTCGTTAACGGTCTGTAATCATTTACTGAATTTAAACTAAATTTTTACCGACGTTAAAAGTAGCTTTATTGACTACAGATTCCGTTGGGACTGTGAAATTAACGGTATTGAATAAATCGTAGTATAAAAGTAATTCATTATAATTAAGTTTAAGAGTTTTAACTTAATTAGCTACTAATTATTGTCTATATACGCTGTCCCATTAGTGATTGACATTATAAGACAAATGCTGGCTAAACGGCATAATATAGACATCTGAACTTTATTTTTTCCTATAGTATAAACAAGCGATTTATTTCTTTAGTATTCATACTTTATAATGAAATTAGTGATTAAATTATTTTTTATCAATCTATTGACTGTTTGTAACGTAAAATGAATCGTCACATTCAGTATACTTATCTTTTCTATTAAATTATAATCCAATCTTCATTCATTTTTAACTTGAACATATTTTAGATAAACACATTTAGATATAGATTTAATTAGTGCACCCCTAATAGCAATAAATATTTACGTAACGTTGACACTGACATCTTATTCAAAAACAAATTGACGCGGCCACGGCTTCACGCTGAGAAAACGGACTTCCGAATTTTATAGATGTTATGAAAGGGCAAACGTGGGAACTAGTGTAATTTGTGCTAGAAACGTTTAGTGCAAGATGCAATGAGACAGTTTGTAGAGCTTTCAATCATCATGAGGCACAGCATCATTCCATGTCCGTAACGGTCGATTGTATTTATAATGTGACCAGACTTATCGTTTAAACTGTAAACGGTCCCAACCTCTAAAATACTTCAATGGAAAAAGTAACGACGAATACTAACTACTTTTTTTTATGTATTAGTATTATGTACAGGCATATCTTAATGAAGGTTTAACTTGTACGTATCTAAGACTAGATGTTCCGCGTGGAACAGTTATTTTGGGGATCAAAATTTGTTATCTTTATAAATTATAGCTATTACCAACAACGTCGTCCGCGTACCGTGGTTCTAGCAAGTTCATATTGCAAGACAGATATATATTCGGACATTACTTTAGATCATTTATATTGGAATCATACTTTCATACGTATTTTTTGGGTACCTATCTTGAACTGTTTTCGCAGCGCACGCTACGAAAAACCTTAAAGATGAATATTTTTCTCATTTTAATTTTACCCTGCTTCTATTAGTCACAGTGTGATGCTTATACCCTCCTCGATAAATGCCTAAACCAACACAAATAATTTTTCTATTCGAACCAGTAATTCCTGAAATTAGCGTGTTCAAACTATATTTACATATAGTATAGCAGTAACTATTAAGACTATAAATATTATTAAAATGTCAATAATCAAACTTGTACACGTAACATTTAAACATTACTTCGTTGTTTGAGCACTTATCATTCCTATAACACTGTCACCAATAAATAATTTATTTATGAATCGTCTTATTCAAAATGCAAGTGTTCTCATGACACAATGACACAGAGTCAAAATATTTTGAGAAACATCGATTGTCTATTTAACGTAGACCGGATGTCCGTACTTAGCTATTTTGTTGCGTAATTTTTTATTTCTATCAATAGAGTCTACGTCTATACGTATGCGCATGATGTATCGATTCGTGGGCAATTTGAAGATGTATAGAGGCATTTTGTTGTCGTTCTTGTTGCTTTAGTGCTAAGCAAAAGAATTCTAATATTGAATGGATTCGATTTACACAAAGAAAAATAACTTTATTTATTTTTTGTTTAAGATAAATAAGCTTGTGCCATCTAGTATGCTAACTGAGTGTTTAAATCCTAATTACTTAAGTCAAGAAAATTAAATAATTATAAAACAATACTTAAAATTTATACACCAAAACTTACCGTGTTAAGTTGCGAGTTGTTTAAGATGTAATAGTACATATGATATAATCGTAAGTTGAAAATTAAGAGGATTTATATAAGAAAGCAAAGTCTTTAATTTTCAAAGCGCAGTATTCATACGACGTTTTATAACATTTTACGAGGATCGACATTTTCAAATAAAAAATCACAAAAGAAAAACCGCTGAATTATTTTTACTTGTCCACAAATAAGCGAAGCGCGCGCATCAACGTTTTTTTTTAGGCAAAGGTACAAAACTGCCAGTATAAAGTAAATTAATATTTTTGTGTTTTTGTTACAGATAAATTAAATGTTTATTTGTTATATTTTATTTCCCAAAGTTAATTTTATTCATAAAATATTGACCACTTTCTTGACATAAAACCTCTTTGCTAAGATTTTTAAAAGTATCGTTCATTTTTAGACGGAGTATCTTAAAAATGTATTTAAAAAAAAAACACGTGCCTTTTACATTACATTATCGCACAAGTACGTAATGAGATACATTACGATATTGAAATTGGTGTAATTACAACCACTTTACGAGCAAATATGTTATAAAAATTGTTACAATACAAAAGCCTTTTAAAACAGTGACAAAAATTAAAATTCCCGTGTTGGTTGTTTGGTATTTTTTAAACGACTTCAAAAAAATTGAAATCAGATTGCTTGTTTTATTTTAATGTTGTTATGTTAAATAGTTAAATTAGTAATTTAGCAACGTAGCATATAAATAGTTAGGCTGCATTGTGGTCAAAGTTGTAAAGAAACTACAAAATGTTTGCAAACTAAGAATGTAGGAATAAATATGTTTTGTTCGAAAACGTACTAATCACGGCACATTAACACACACAATAACAACATGTAATAACAATACATTTTTACAAATTAGTAAAAAAACTTCGTCAAAGTTTTTAAAAATTTCTTAACTCTACTATATTTCTGAACTTTTTTAGATTGAACAAAAAAAATGCTTACTTATTACTCGGCGAAATATTTTTGTTACTATTAGAAGACGCTAATTTTTGAATTAAATATTATTTTATTTACCGTGAAAATTGTGATATTGACAAATTGCCTTACATAGGAGTGCATTTAACCATAGTTATAGGACTCAAGTCCTAGGGCACACAATATTTCAGAGACTAACTTTATATTGTTTGATGTGATATATTGTGGAGTAGAAATAAAAGGGTTGAATATTAATAAATAAAATTTATTTTTTAATTTTAAACTTTCGTAAAATCTTCTTACATAAAATATTTACACTGAATATAGCAATGTGTGTTCATAATTTGGTCCTTTGATTATTTGACATTTGGTGATTGAATACAAAACACTGATGCGAGAGGGTAATCCGGAAAATATACATACCTACTTAAAAAAATATTATCACTATTGAGTTTATTATATGTACAATATATTAACTATATCTCTTTAAATAATCAATTCTAGTTCTTCAAGTTTTCTTTACTTTTCTCAATATCCGTACAAATACGGAAAGCCGCCAACGTGCGGAACCGCAGATAGTGGCACAAAAACGGGCATCATTCTCTCAGCTTGGATGAAATGCGTTCGCGTGTGCTTCTTCAAATGGTCTCGCCTTCCAAACTTCTTGCCGCACGTCTGACAGGGATAGGGCCTAACACCGGAGTGAATTCGTTTATGACGCGTCAACTCTTCATTCCTAGTAAAGGTCTTACCGCAATTCTTCTCATCGCACTTAAATGGCCTTTCCCCGGTGTGAATCCTAACGTGTCCCTTTAACTGACCGTTGTTAGAAAAGCCAACATCACAGTGAGGACATTTGTACTTCTTAGGTCTTTGCTTTCTTGCGTTCAAGACTTTGGCTTCGTTTTCCTGCTGTAGAATTCTTGCGTATTCCAATTCCATTGCGTAACCTTGAGCTAAGGATTCGAGGAGAAGGGGATCAGTTGGTGGAATTCCGAGGGAACTAGCAATGTCTGTTGGAAGGTACTCTTGCATGATGGCGGGGTAGTTCGGTGTCGTTGGATAAGTGGTATATTCTTCTTGGTGTTTCGTTGGAAATAGAATCTCTTTCTTCGTTTCCGTCGGTTCCAAGAGGCGGTCACAACATTGACTTAGGCTTTGGACAGGCGAATCATAGGTTATAGTAGAATTTTCATTGCTCAAGTCTGGTTTTATGTCTTCGGAATCTTCGGTGGTCGTCGACACAGTGCTATCTTGTTGAACGTTTCGATCGCTATTCTTGAAAGTCCCACGAATTTTTCTTAAACGATTTTCTCGCTTTTCTTCTGTTGAACGTTTTCTTTTTATTGCTTTTGCTTCGACATTTATCGCATTTTCCGAATGCATTTTTTCATCGTTTTCACTAACATCCCAAGGTCTGAAGAGCTTGGACAGCTTTTGCTGAGACAACATGGCTACAATGTATCACACTCGATCGCAAGAACGGACTGGGACCCTTTACGTTTCAGCAACTTTTATATACATTCCTTTAACAATAAATTTAATAAAAGCCAAAAGAAGAGGGATCCCATTGAATGGCCGACAGAGACAAAATATTCAATTGTTGCACACTTCAAAATGCACTAAATTCTTTTTGACTAAGACGTCTTCAAAATTCATACCAATTCAATTCGTAGCTGGGAAGATTTAGAGTTCAGAATAATTTTAGGCTCTCGTGGAGTTTGATTGTTTTGCTTTAGAGAGTTGTCGTAGTGTTTGAGATAGGGGTGTGTAATGTTATTTATGTTGATTTTTGTGCGTGGTTCGAAGGCGGGCCGAGGGCAGAGCGTTCCGTTTGAGTGGTCCCGGCCCTTGCAGCTGCAACCTTGTTTGTTTTAATGGTTTCGACAATTGTTGCGGTTCCCGTTATGTTACAAACGCATCCAATATGTGGCTTTATACATAGATATAAATTGCGCCGTTTTATGGGAGAGTTGTCAATTTTCATCCCCTTTTAAACTGCCGAGTTTAATTAAATGCCATGTGTCGTGAGATCTATAAAATTAAACACTCATCCTGGCTCCGTTATGGTAAAAGGCATTGTTTAGAATTTTATTAAGCGCATTCTGAGTTCGATTCGCAGGAATCGAAGTACCTAATTAGCTTCGGTCGGGTCGGGGTGTCCTTGAAATTCTGATCTATAAATTTCAAGTAAAATAATACAGTGAAATAGATGCAGATCTGTCTTAATTCCTAGTAAGTAAGTAAGTTGCCTCATTATATTAAACACTGTTTTCACGAGTTTCACACTAACCAAAATTAATGTCTACTCCCATTGACTACAGAGACAAGACGATTTTCTTAATAATGGCAAACTTCTTGGTAAATTTTTACAGAGGTTACGCAATATAAGATAACATTCGCGGGATGCAAAAGCCCGAACAACTGTAGCAGAAAATAGCGACCGAAAGAAATATAAAACAATGTACTAAAAAAAGTTAAACCCAGATTTGCGAATAGTGAGCCAAACAGGCTGTTCGCTTCATCATTTGCGTCGTCAATCGCAAGTTCTTCAAGCGGTTAGTGGGCAAGTTTAATAATTCTAGCGAAAAAGTCAACAAATCAGTGATTTCCTGGATTGCAATAAAAAAGGACTGACACCGAATTAAAATTGATCGAACGGATCAATTGATAGGCACACAAATCCAGACACAATGCTCTTGATTGCTTTTTGACATTTCGCTCGGTTTCCGAACGAATTGTGGATTTTGGCGCGATCTGTCAAATTTTGATGTCGCCCGTGATGGATCGCGATCAAGTTGATCTTTTTTGCGTTTTTAGCTTACATCAATAAAATGTATGCTTACTAGTACTAATTAAAATTTTATAAAAATGACTATTTCTGTCTATCCCATCTATAAATAACCTAAAAAATATATTGGTGTCTTCAAAAATAATAATATTTACACCTAAACAAGACGCGCTTTCGACCCGTGATGCCTTTGGATATTCAACAATTCACTGAAACCGAAGCGCGATTAAACTTCACCGCCTTTTCATCTGTGAACTGTGGTTCGTGGCCCACGCATTTAATATCCAGATTTCCAGATGAAGCTCACACTCATTCAGTCAGTTTGTGTTGATTGGAAAAGTTTTGGATACCTTGAGGACCGAATCCACGACCCAATGCTTATTAGCCATATATTGCTACCATAACACCAACGAACTCGTTAGAATCCCGATAAGTCTTCATTTGCTAAAATATTAATATTATTATATAAAATATAAATAGGTTTCTATATATATTTTTTATGTCATCTTTTTTCAGTAGGCATTAATTTTTGTGCAAGGGCTTCATAGCAAGGGCAAGGGGTGCAATTATAATACTTGATATGATTGTCAGCGAATAAAGAGAGTATCTGAGAACTTAACTATTTCAGTAGTTGTTAATATTACGACAACTTGTAGCATATAATAGCTACGTAAGTAACAGTAGTTCACTGAATAAATTTTAATTCAGTACTGCGTACTATCTATCTTAAAGAGTCTATAGAAATGCGAAATCAACGGTTTTCGATTAATCAAAACTGACAAGTTCAAGAGAGGCTTATACAAAATTTTAGCCTTTTAAAGTTTACGAAATCGCGCCTTACTATATTTAGTTAGATGATGGATCGCACGATACAAAAATGACACAATAGTGTAATCTTAAAGTATCAAACTTTAAAGGTTTCATAAAACTTCGCATTTTATCGCGCATATAATATTAGGAAACCATCATTAAATAGGTACAATAAATCTTCAAATTCTCCATTTAATACAATTTAATAAACTCGTAAGCGTATTTCTTTTTGAAAATGATATAAATCTCAGAGAGTTCAATAGATTTAAGATATTTTGAGAAATTCCGTGACGACTCTATAACATCGAATTTGGTTCAGGTTTTTTTATACATTGTAAGAGAGTTTACTACGCTTGTCAGTAAGCCTCAATGGTGAGTAGTATGTACAGGGTGAGTCGTGTCGATTAGTAAAAACTTATCTTAAATATTTAAAAGTTTATATGATTAAAATTTTTCATTTCGTTAAGAACACGTCATAATCGCAATAATTATTACGTACAGCTGAACGTTTTGTAGTAAATATTTTAATAGTAGGTAGATAGTTATTTTTAAGTATGTTGTTTCTAAGCCTTAAAAACCCACAAAATATAAAACAGTACGTTCTTGCTTTTGTTTGGTTAAATAATAAAACAGTGAATATAAACATTTTTATGACGTCCTAAATTTAATTATTGTCACATTTAACGAACAGCCTGTATTGAAAATGGCAATCCGTGTGGTCCATATTTTGGTAAAATCGCGGTCAAGTTAGCGCTAAGAACAAAAACAGGCTATAAATTTAAAATGGCTGACAAGTTATTGTCTGTTGTCTCCATTCAAGAGAGTTCAGACTCGTTGTCGCCAGTGATCTGTGTTCATTCATTCATCTGTGGAAATGAAGTTGCATAGACTATATAAATTAAAACAAATGAATCCAGCTCAATTTATAATTCAAATGTTGCTAATAATCTTTATTTTATGTTTACTAGTAGAATTATATTATTTTAAATTTATCTTAGTTTTAAATATATATAATAATAATAAGTAAAATTTTCGTAGGAAATAAATTATTACAGTTCGTCGCGCCATAAAAATCCCGCAGCGTACTAATAATAACGCACAATATAATTTAATAAAAATGAAATATCACATGATGTTGTGGTCTGGAATCGAACCCCACTATACGAGGTCAATGGGGAGGGGCGCTGGACCCTCATTTCTAGTGATTGGGGTTCAGGAATTAGGGTTAGGGAAAACTACAGTAAGTTAGGGTGGTGACACATTATGGAGATAAGAAAATCAATGAATTTTTAAACTAACTAAGGCCTCATAATATTTTTTGATATCGTTTTGATTTTTTTTTACTTACACTTAGGCTTTTTTTATTAGCAATAATGAGCTTTCTATGTTGTAAGGCAGTAATAGTTCACAGCTTTGATCTTCTTTCCAAATTTATTTGTTTAGAATTAAAACATACCTTACAAATTAAATATTATGACATGAAGGGTGAAACTAAAAATCCATCTTTATTTGTCCTCAAAGTATAAGTGACTGTAGAATTATGATTGATTAGCGATCACTTGCTGCAGTAAATTATGTTACCATTAAGTCAAATTATTACTATTCGCGTGATATAGTTATTTAGAGCAACATATTGTTTATTTCTCATACAACCTTCTCAGTTTTTGAAATTATATTTGTTACCACCATGTCATACGCGTCTGATGTTTTTGCAAGTCAATCTTAAAAGAGACATGTTCTGTTGGGGATATTATTTTAGATCAATTAAAGAATGATTTTTGCAAACATACTTTTCGATTTCTTGAACCATTTTGGCAGCGCATGCAATCGAAGCAAGGAATAAAATAATTTTCCCCGTTTTCCCACATCTCTGTTTCTTCGCGTCTATTGGTCGCAACCGTTGTAAGGTTAACGCAATATATATTATAACAAACAAACACATATAGTATACATGTGTAAAATATTGATGTTTTGTGAATTACTTTTGCAAGATGTTTCTTAAATTTACCTATAAAAATATTGCCTGCTCATAGTCCCCGTTTTCTGCCTATGTATCTGTGAGTTCTTAATCTGTATAAAATTTTGTACTTGAGTCGAGAATATATTCGAATCCAGCTATACCCGTCACTTAAATAATGTACTTAGTAACTTAATTCCTGGCCAACCGTTCCAATCCGTAAGATATCAGAAGAGAAAACGAGCGTGATAATTAATTCATTCACATTTAATAAAAAATAAAAAAAGGCATTAGATTTTAATATGTTTATTAATATGAGAATAAATATATAAACAATGAAACGAAATAAATGTTAATTTTAATTAGATAATCGACATAAGAAATTACATTAAGAATTACGTATTTCCGGTTTACGTCCATACGTTGCGCTAAGCTAAGCTCCCTTACCTCCTAATCTTTTGATAGACCACTAAATACCGACACGATTTTGCTTTTGATAAAGTATAGAAGATACCAACTTAGTAGTGGAAACTAAACGAAATAAATAATAATAAGATAACAGAAGAAGCGGCTTGAACAAACATAACCACACAACCCTCTCGCTTCACTGCTTTTCGCAATAAAGTGTCACCGACTTTGAGGTGTAAAGGTGCTAACAAACAAACACTCGGCCCCGCCCCAAGATAGACGCCGACACTATTCTATCAGGCTGTCATTCAACTCTTTACACATAGGGACACTGCTTTGACATTACAAAGCATACATATTTTTATTTCAAATATACTGAAATTTAACTTTATGATACTAAATTGATAATACTGTAGTTTCCTTTTTAATTTGTATTATTCGATATACATAAAAAAGCTAATAATATGACGGGGCCGTTGAACTAAC